ACCCTGCTGCTAACTATGATTGGAGTTGACCTCGGCGCCATGTAGGAGTCTCCACACGCCAACGCAAATCGCCCAGCCATGGTCAGGTGAGTGCATCGATCCACCGCGCCCTGCACATTGGCGCTGACGCCTTACCAGTCTTGACCTTTGCCCTCACTCTTGCCCCCGTCCAGCAGCATGTCCCAGCTACAGCAACTCTGCCATCGTCAGCGCCACCGCCGCGCCGTGCTTGCCTGGTCAGTATTGTCGTCGCGGCGCGCTTCCGCCATCCTCTGCTGCAGCACGCTGACGATCTGCTGGTATCGCATTCCTTGGGTCAGAACTCTCATAGCAAGCAGCAGAGTCAACCTACAATTTTTCAGATTGTAGGTAGGCGTAGCCAATATACGATTTTCAGATTGTAGGCAGGCCTTCTACACAAATGATTTCTGGATGCAGACAGGCCATGCCGATTTTTAGATTGTATACTAGCTACGATTTTCAGATTGTAGCTAGACCGGTCTATCTACGATTTTTTGCATCGTAGCCAGGCAGCGATCAGTTGCATCAGGTACTGGCTTCGATTGCAACGGCTATCTACGCTACTAGACACTACAATACAGTTGCAGGGGCAAGCGTTTGACTGCAGAACATGGACGGAAGGGGAGGTGGAAGAGAGGAGGTGGAAAGAGGGAGGGAGGCAATCAAAACCCCTGTCAGCATTGTCAAACGGCAGCAGGACATGCGCCGGTAAGGAGGCACTCACAGCAAGGGCAGGCCAGGGTCGGCGTCGATTTGGAGCAGTGGTGGCTGGTGAGGAGAGAGAGAGAAGGGGAGGAGCATTGTCAGCATCGCGCTAGCCGGGTGCAGGCATCGTCGATGCGGCAGATCAACTCACTTGTGGCAGTCGGAAGAAGGTGTGTGCGGTGGTGGCAAGTTGGCGTCAATCGTGGTGGCAAGTCAGCGTTGGCGTTGGCAGTGGCATTGAGTCGGCGTTGGTGGTGGCGTGGATGTCAAGGCCGGTCGGGTGATGCAGGGCTGAGCGCGACCGAGGTGGGACAAGGCGGCAGGGGCAGATGCCAATTGGTGGCATCAAAGTGGTTGGGTGGCGTCAGCAGGCGAGGGTCAATGGTGGTCAGGAGGCGGCGGCGGGCGAGGGTCAATGGTAGTGGTCGGGAGAGAAGGAGCAATGGCGGGGAGGGCAGGCCTTTGTAGCAAGGCATGCAGGCGGGCGGGCGGGCAGAGGGCCTGTGTGAGCACGCATGCACGCCAGCCAGTGAGCCTGCGTGAGCACGCACGCAGGCCTGGTGGCGTGGCCTGGCCTCCACACTTTTTTTTTTTGGCGCGCTCGCAAGCTTAGTCAGCCGCACGCGCCAGCCAGCCGGCCCCTAAGTCAGCCAGCAGCCGACCTACCCGCCTGAGCCAGCCAGCCAGCCAGCTTGACTGCTTGTTGCAGCAGGCACAGCGGAAGCAGAGGAGCGGGGTCAATCATCGGAATCATTGGAGAGGCGATGATTCCAATGATTGACGGTGCGGAGGCGGCAGGGACACGGCCGTGAGGTGGCAAGGCAGGCAGGCAGGCAGGCAGGTGGGGCTACGATCTCAGATCGTAGGTAGGCCCAATTTCGGATTTTGGATTGTAGCTAGTCGTAGGTAGGCTACGCATTGGAAAAATCGAAGATAGGGATCGATCCCTGATTTTAGATTGTAGCCTGCCTACAACCAAAATTGGGCCCGACCCTGCTGCTAGCTATGTCTGCTCGCCGCCACGCCCTACATCAACACGCTGCTGCTACCAAGTCTGAATGTCATCGGGTGAGTCCCGCGATTGGTATCTGCTGCACCAGTCGCCGCTGAGCCTGCTGACGCCTTCCTCTTTGACCGCCGCTGCCATCGCCACCCAATCGCCACCTGCAGCCACCGCACCGACGGTCGGTCCCTGTCTTGGTGGGTCAACGACGCCACCTGTTGCCGGCAATCATGAATGCCTGCTGAGCCTGCCGCTAACCCTTTTGTCTGCCTGCCTCCTCTCTGCCACCTCCCGTATCCTTACCCTGCATGCTGTTGTACACTTGCCCCCGCTACAATCTGCAGGCGCAGTTGTATTGTAGTTTCTAGTAGCGTAGGTGGGATACGGTTCTGCAATTGAAGTCAGTATTTGATCCCATTCATCGTAGCTTAGCACTCTGCCCAAACATCGCTGCCTGCCTGCAACTCGAACATCGCTGCCTGCCTGCGACCCAAACATTGTACCCTGGCTGCGACCCAAAGTTTGCTGGCTTACCTACGATCCAAAGAATCGTAGCTAGACTGGCGTAGCTACGATCCGAAAAATCGTAGCTAGACCGGCGTAGCTACAATCCGAAAAATTGTAGCTATGCTGACAAGTAGCTACAATCTCAAAATCGTACTTAGACAGGTCTAGCTACGATCTGAAAATCGTAGGTAGTATACGATCTAAAAATTGGCATGGCCAGTCTGCATCCTGAAATTGTTTGTGTAGAAGGATCACCTACGATCTGAAAATTGTAGCCTGGCTACGCCTATCTATGATCTGAAAAATCGTAGGTTGGCCCTGCTGCTAGCTATCATAGCTAGGGGCAAGCTTTGGGCCACGCTTTCAGATATCGTAGATCTCGTACGATATGGCAGTGCCGTAGGAGATCGTTCATCCCCTACGGCACCCAGATGCCTGCTTACCGTAGGTCTACCCCCAAACCCACAGCCACATGTATCTACAGGCATTGTATTGCTAAATCTAACTACTAATGTGCGGCAGCGTGGCGATGGCATTGGTGAGTGGCGGGGCGAGCAGGCAGGAAGGCAGGTGGCAGGGCGGCAGCAGCAACAATGGTAGAGCATTGTCAGCAGCAAAGTAAGGCGGTAAGGGAGGAGCAGGCAAAGTAAGAGGGGAGCAAAGGAGTCAGCAACGGCGCACAGCAGAGCGGCAAAAGGAAAGGGCGGCAACAGTCAACTCACCAGAGCGGCAGCAGACCAGCAGGCATCGGCAAGGGCTGTGCACGCAGGCGGAAAGGAGTGGAAGCACGGCAGTCAGTGATCTCAATCATCGGAAACGTCGGAGAGGCCCTCTCCAACATCTCCAATGATTGACGGCGGCAGCAGGGTGAAAGCAAGCAGTGCGGAGCAGCAGCAGCTGGCAGCTCACCAGGTGGCTGGCTGGGCCGGCTGGCGGGTGGCTGGCTGCGCTTGGCTGGCGGGTGCTGGCTGGCTGACGGCTGGCTGATGGCTGGCTGGCGGATGGTGGCAGGTGCTGGTGGGTGCTGGGAAGTGGTGGCGGCTGGTATCGGGTGGTGGTGGCAGGAGGGCAGGAGAGACGGGTGGGTGGCAGATGGATTTTGCAAAGGGCGGGGTGGCAAAGGGGCCAGCGCGCGCGCGCAAGGCCTCCTGAGCTGACGTAAGCAGAAAGGGCCATTTTTCTGCGTAGGGTAGGGTCGGCCCAGGGCCGTAGGAGGCCCTACGGCCAAAAATGCCGTGGCTGCCCCTCAGAAAATGGCCATGGGGGCTTGTAGGGGGCCCTACGGCCAAAAATGCCGTAGGAGATTGCCGATTTCTGGCTGTAGGGCTGCCTACGGCCATTTTTAGCGTAGATGACCCCCGATTTCCCGATTTCAGGCCGTAGGCTGGCGTACGGCCAAAATCCACCTGCCCTTTGACGCTGAAGAAGGACGGACGCACGGGCGGAGGACTAGAGCAGGACAGGGCTGGGCCGAATGGGAGATGGTGGTAGTGGGAGGAGGAGGGAGGAGGGCCGGGTGGCAAAAATGCTCAGTCGGGCCTCTGCCCGTCTCGCTGGCAGGCAATTGCCTAGCCAACTCGGCCAAGAAAAAACGCGCGCGCGTCAGGGTTGGCGTGGCCCTGGCTTCGGGCCCGCGTCAACGCTATATGAGGTGGCCTACAGCAATTTGGGCCGTAGGCATCCTACGGCTGCTTACCATAGGCCTACCTTTGCACCCCCAGCCGTCGGAATTCTCAGGCATTGCATTGCAAAATCTATTACACAACTGCGGTGTTAGCAGGCAGGCAAGGTGAGCAAAGAAGGGCAGCGGTCGGCTGGGGCAGCGTGATGGCAATGACATGGGTCAAGGATGGCGGCAGTAGTGCAGGGACCGGCAGAAGGGTAGAGCAGGCAGAATGCAGGGTCAGTTGCAGGCATAAGGGATTCCCAATTTTTCTTATCGCACAGGCTGTGCGATCCAGGATTTGAGAGTCGTTATGCACGTGCAATCTAAAATCCTGGCTACTATGAGTGGATTTCAGATCGCAGGCAGGAAAAATTCAGGATCTCAGATTGCAGCTGATTGCACACCTGCTGCAATCTGAGAAATTGCACAAGCTGGCTGCAGCTGGATTTTCAAATCGTTATACAAGTGCGATTCATAATTTTCTTTGACCAGATCCTGCTGCTAGCTATGACTTGGCACTGCCGCATGCTAACCCTTAGTTGGGACTTGGGTAGCTGCGGGGGCATGTTGAGCAGCCGCCTAACAATGTCCTGGTTTGACCGCACAGCAGGGATTGTCTTCGCATCGGCAGCGATTGACGAGGAAACCCATGCGGAAAAGGATCACGTGAATATCTTTATGAGCCGATCAGCAGCCCACATGATTTTAAGCTGAAGTCCAATGACGTCAACATGCATTGATAGTGTAGGGGCATCATGAGTCGTTGCCACTCATCATCTGTTCAGGATGGTTGTTCGACTCGACTCGACCGGGGTTCGAGTCCCCGTCAATGCATTTTTTTTTTGCGCTTGTCATCGTTTCGACGCTGGCAAGAACGCCAGCAGAGGAGGGAGGGAATAGCAAGCCGGTCGCAATCGTATCTGAACAACGTATCAGGCTGCCTTGTTTTCTCTATTGCAAATGGCATCGAGCTCGTCGGAGAGCTATCTAAAAAGTCCGTGAGTCCTGGTGTCCGCGCCGTCGGGCGCTGTGAGGCGGGCGCAGAGGGCAACGTTGGGCGCTGGGCGGGTCCTGTCCGGTCAGGAGCCGGAGGCTCCTTCAATTTCGTGAGCGGGCGAGCGAAGCCTTTTCCTCGTCTTCTTGGGATGCCGCCTTCCTGTCTGCTGAGGCGGCGGAGATCAGGGATTGTTGGGACTGGCCAAAGATTGACGACTGGAGCGGGCGCTCGGATCGGCTCAGCCTCCGCATGACGTCGCCCCACGCCGTCGACTCGAACTCGGTGAGCGAAGGCGCTGACCGGTCCTCGTCTTCCTCGGAGGTCGTCGAGATGGTGATGGCCGGCCGTGACGGACGGGTCGGCGTCGAGGGCGAAGACGCAAGTAGCTGCTGCTGCGTCTCGGTGGGTTGCTGCTGATCGTCGTCAGGCCCGTTGCTCTGTACAGGAAGGGCCTCTGTGTCGACGACGATCCGTGGCAGCTCGGGTCGCGATGCAAACGGATCGGCGACGACGGGATCAAACCGCCTGGACGTCTTGAGGGTGAGGTATCTGCGCCGGCAGTAGACCATCTTCATGACGCCGCGGACGCGCTCGAGGTTGACCTGGTCCTCGATCCGCTCCATGAGCTCCCTGCGCTGGATCAACTCCTCGACGCTGAGGGCGTCCGAGTCGTTGATGAGCTTGTGGTGGGCGAGTATCGTCAGCATCGTGGTGAACGAGATGCCCTTGGCCTTGGACTGCGACAGCAGAGCCTCGTGATAGATGCGGTTGAAGCGAATGCGGCGGGTCCGGAGCTCTGCCGGGTCGACGCGATCGAGCGCTTTGCGCAGCCGCTGCGCTTCACTGCCAATCTCGAGCCGGTTTGGGGACTGCGGCCACATGAAGTGGCCCTTCTCGCCCAGCTTTCCGTCCTTGAAGGGCGACCGCAGAGGCGATGCCTCTCGGATCCTGTCCAAAGGGCTTTTGGGGGCCTTGGACGGGCTGATGGGGCTGGCGAGCGGAGTGTTGGATTCGAGCGCCGCCACGAGCGCCGAGACGGAGCAGTTGGCAGGGTAGAGGTCGACCTCGAGCGCGCCACCCAGGCTGCGCAGGAACGGAACGATGTCCGACGGCGCAATGTAGCCGTCGCGGTCGAGGTCGAACCTCGCCCAGGCCTCCTTGTAGGAGCGCATTTCTTCTCTCGACAGCTTCGGCTTGCCCCCGAGCTCGAAGAGGTAGGAAAAGTTTTCAACGACGGTACCTGGGTGGCGGAGGACGAGAGGGTCATGACCCGGGAAGGGATGCACGAGTCAGCCAATCGAGCGACGGCGCGACATAGTGTCGACGGACGCGGCCACATGTCTGCATCATCGCTCCGACTCACCGGTGAACACTGTGAGGGCACGAGGCGCAATGCGCGGGTGGGCGAGAGGAGAACAGACGATCAGGGACGTCAGCGCGAGCTCGGGCAGTACAGAGGCTATCGGCCCTCGCGGCGGCCCACTCACTGTTGAGGAAGATATACATCGAGATGACGTTCCAGGTGATGAAGAGGAAGAAAGCCCAACCCTGACTGCCGCAGTCGGTGTCGAGGTAGCTGGCGGCCGGCGTACATTGGGGCGGCGAGACGGTGTAGTCGTGCATGAACGAGTTCCAGGCCTCACCAGTCGACATCATGCTGAGGAAGACGAGCGCGTTGATCAGGCTCGAAAAGTTCTTGTTGTACGTCTCGTTTTCGCCCCACTTTGTGAGGCCAAACACCTCGAGCAGCATGATGGCCCAGACCAGGAACATGGTGAGCCAGAGGAGGAAGAGGCTGAGGATGGCCGGCAGACTGGCCCACGCCGTCTTGAACAGCTGGTTGAACGAGGTAAACTTCTGAACCAGCTTGAAGGCGACGCAGGTCAGGAAGATCTTCTGGAACTGAATGTTGAAGTGCTCGCCCGAGTAGTTTTGCAGCAGTGGGATCGTGGTGCCCAGGGTGCCAGATACGACGACCAGGTCGTAGAGGTTCCATGCGTTGGCCCTGAAGCTGCTCCAGCCGAGGCCGGCCAGCCGTACGCCGATATCGCATACGTAGATGACGGTGAAGACGAGGTAGATGATGTCGCGGATGCGGTCCACCGAGGGCGGATCGCTGTACCGCTGCGTCATGAGCACCACGATGTTGGCCAGGTACATGAGCGTCATTGCCCGGCTCCACCAGCCGTGCTTGTCGACGGCCCGCTGGTAGCACCACGAGCGCACCGGCTCCGTCGGCCGGACCTTGGGCCGTTTCGACGGCGTCTGCCGCAGAATGAGCTTCTTCAGGTCGATCCACTGCCGCTGCTCGGCCGTTTGGAACGCCGCGCCGCTAAACTGCTGGAAATTTTCGATGATGACGGCGACGAAGAGCGTGAGGACCGTGGTGCTTCCGATGAGGTTGTAGATGAGGAAGAAGAGGGCGTTGACCTGCCGGTTGTCGTTCTGCAGCTGGCGATCCTGGCCGACGACGCTCATCGCGGTGCTCATGACGTCGATCCATCCCTCGAGCGAGATAATCTCAAAGAGGATCAGCAGCGAGCTTTTGAAGTCGTCAAACGACCACACGCTGCCCTCGGTCGGATTGTGCCAGGCGCGTGGGGCCAGGAAGGTCCATTCGCCAGGCGAGGGCGACACCGCGAACTCGCCGAAGCAGTCGAACTTGGTCAGGATCGACCCGTCCGAGTCGTTGCACGAGTAGAGGACCCCGGCAAAGAGGTTCTGGCCCCAGACCGCGTACGGGATGATGTAGAGGATGGAGAGTATTGACGCATCGAGGATGCGGCCGGCGCCGGCGATCATCACGGCATGGAACCTGCGACACAATCGGCAGGAAGACGAAGATCGGGGCAACTTGTGTCGGTCAGCAGCGGGTCGAGCGGCCCTGTCTCGCCGGACGGAGGCGCGGGATCCCATCGGTGCTTGGAGAACTCACGTGTTGCGCATCAGTGACGACAGGCTGTCGAGGAAGGGTCGGCATCGACACGGGATGAGGGTAGCGGCAGGCGTCAGAATCCGCAGCATCACGTCGCTAACGCCACGCGCTGAGGCTGCAGACGCAGGACGGCGGCCATGCGTCCACTCACTTGATTAGTCGCAGCGCCCTGAAAGCCTTGAGAGCTCGGGTGAACCGGGACACACCGCCGATGACTGCCAGCTCGGTGCCGACGTTGATCAGCAGCGTCACGAGCACAAAGAGGTCGAGCGTGTTCCAGATGTTGAGGACGTAGGCGTTTGGCGTGAACGCCACTCCATCGGCAACGGTCTTGACGAGAAACTCTGCGAGGAAGAGGCTGGACAGGCTCATCTCGAGGATCGAGAACCAAGAGGCCCGGATCAGCCCGTACTTTGCGTAGTAAGCGCGTCGGTAGGCCGGAGTGGCGATGCCCGCCGACACGACGGATCCCGCGATGCCGATAAAGATGACGATCTGGAAGACCCTGTGCCGGATCGGGGAGCAGGGCCGCCCAAACAGACGCTCGCCGTAAGACGACGGGACCAGGCTCTGGCAAAAGCGTCGGAAGCGGCTGTGGTTGGAGAAAAGGAAGTAGGACTTGTCGTAGGACGGGTGGCTGGCGATGAAGCGTGCCTGCTGCAGTCGGGCTCCATCGGTATCGGTCACGGGGTAGGAGCCGTAATTGATGTGCCCTGATTGCGCCTCGACCGGCAGTCCCAGGTCGGTGCGCATCCGCTTCAGCATACGCTCGCTGGCAAAGAGTCTGGCGGCGCTGTCGTCGGGGTCGTGGTCGAACGCGGCAGACTGCCGTTTGATGGCCGCCTGGAAGACCTCTTCTCCTGAGAGGCTCTGGCGGATGCGGCGGCTGCGCAACGTGTCGAGCGGCACAGCCTCCTCGGGTGTGTCGAGGCGCAACACCTTTTTGACGGTATCGAGGGTCCACAGGGCCTTTTCCCCGCCCGAGGCGGCCATGAGGTGGACGGAGTGCTTCCGACGTGCCTTTTCGTCTATGGCAGCGCCCTGCAGGGCGGAACCGCCGACGATGGCGTTGGACCGCGCCTGCTCGCCAGCGCTGCCCGAGACCGAGCCTGCTGGCGCCGACCCAGTCTTCGCGGCGTTTCGATCGCGAAGGTAGCGGTAGGGACTTAGCTTGCGGAGCAGCTTTGCCGTCGTAGACGCTTCTGGCACCTCGTTGCGCCGCAGATAGTGCTCCAGCTGCTGCTGACGCTTTTCGCCCTCGGCGATGCTGAAGTTTTCGCTGATGACGGCAATGAACATCTGCAGGACAATGACTGCGGCACGTCGGCGGTCGCCATTCGGGTGGGAAAGGCGATCAGCCCTCCGATACCCCGTGCTTCTTGTTGCGGATCGGGCCAGCTCATCTTTGCTACTCACAGTTGGCGAACATGAACCAGCCGCTCAGGAAAATGGCGCCGATCGCCGCCTGTTTGAACTGCGTCTCGTTAGAGAGGACGCCGTACAGCACGTTTACCCAGTCCTCTGAGGTGAAGATCTACGTTTATGGATCCCGGAAACAACATCAAAGTCCGACAGGATCGAGCGGGTTGAGCGAGAGGACCAGAGAAAGCAAGCAAGGCGGGAGCTGGCTCGCGGCGGCTCACCTGGTACATGGCGAGGAAGGCGTTGAAGAGGTGCTTGAACGTCATTTCGGTCCACTCCCCGTCATCTTCCTGAGGGATGTCGCCTCGAAAGAGCTGGACAGCGATGAGCGCCGCCAGCCCGACCATCATCAGTAGGAAGAGGACCATGTTGAGAAGACCGACCATGGAACCAAACACGCGGACCAGCAGCACCCTCATCCGCGGAACGGCCGCAATGACTCGGTAGAAGCGGGCGACCTGGAAGAAGGTGAGCCAGGCGTAGACGCTGGAGTGCTTGATCGCCGGGATCTGGATGATGGACGTGACGCCGGCCAGCACCAGATCACCTATGTTCTGCTTCGACCGCAGAAACGACCGCCAGTCTCCGTCGAGGACGAAGGAGAGGAAGCGCATCAGGATCTCGACGTCGAAGGCAATGGTGAAGAAAAGCTCGCCCTTGTCACGATTCTCGAGCTGCTTCGGAGTCATCCAGGTGGCGCGCGAGGCTTGCAGGCCGAGGTCGGCGACGATGGCGCCGATCCACACGAATCTAGTGTAGCCCCACACCCGCTTGTACACGTTTGCGACGCGCTTCATCCGCAGTCCCATGGGCCCGGTGCTCTGCTGCTTGACCGGCCCGACCTTGATGCTGGAGACGAGCGGCGCAAGGATCAAGACCGACGATGGAGCATCGGTCAGCTCGCAGCCTGAAACGGAACCGATCCGGCGGCAGCGGCCGCGACTCACGTTCGATCCGCGAACGCGCTCCGATTGGTCTGGGCGGTCAGTGTGGCGAAGCTGTTGGTGATGACGGCGACAAACAGGTTCGCCAGCCAAAAGTTCATGATGATCAAGCCGATGATGAAGAAGAGGCAGGATGCGTAGTAGTCGGCATCCATCATGTCGTACATGACGCCCGACCAGTTGTTTGCTGTGCCGGGAGCGGCGAGAAGATGCGCAAAGGTCAAAGATGGGAGCGGCGCCGGTCAGTGTCGCTTCGATGGAGCGGGCAAGACGGGGACAAGGTGAAGGCGGCAGACCAGGAGCGTCTGCTCGGCTCTCGACTCACAGGAGATGACGATGACGTTCTGCAGCAGGGCGGCGAAGATGTTGTCGAAGCTCGCAGTGCCACCCTCTGGGTTCGAGTCGGTTTCTTGGCACACCTGGCCTGCCGGGCACAGGTAGCCTTTGGGATGCGCGTCGGAGAGGACACCGTCGATCTGGATGTATGGCCGCTGAGCGCGCGTCGCCATTTCGATGTATCCGCCGCAGTAGTTGGAGAGGGTGTGGTTCGTGCCCGGGTCGCCCATCAGGTCGCCCACCCACACGCAGTTGCGGCGATACGAGCCCTTGAAGCTCTGGACGCCAATGATGCTGAAAAGCAGCATGGCGAAGGCCGTGAAGAAGGCCACCGTCGTGAGGATCGGTGCGGCCACCTTGAGCGACTCGAGGATCGTCATCGTGCCCTTGGTCGCCGTCAACAAGCGTGCGCAGCGGAGCACGCTGAGCGCCCGAAAGATGTAGAGGTGGCGGTCCGGCGTGGCCTCCTGTTGTGCGCTCGCGAGTCCGAACGCGATCCAGAAGCCGATCACGGCGAGGAGGTCGACCCGGTTCCAGCTGTGGCGCAGGAAGGCGTGATTGACGGCCTGGACCCGCTGTGTCACAAAGGCGCCGGCAAAGGGCCCCTTTTTGTTTTGCCAGAACTGCGCCGCGTCCGATGAAGGCAAGACCATGGCAGTGTTGGCCCTGGTCAGGTTCCTCCCGGGCGGCGGCGGTGGCATGGCGCCCGATAGGGGCATGTGGGCGCCTGATCGTGCAGGGACCCCGCCTTCGGCATCGGAACTGCCCTGCCTCGCCATCGAATAGGCAGCCCCGGAGGCGGGTCCGGAAGCGGCCGAGTGATGCGACGCATGGGAGGCGTGCGCTCCGTGGAAAACGCGCTGCGCCTGGCCCTTGAGCGCGCCTCCAAACTCGGAAAAGGCATCGAGGGTGTTGGATCGCGACATCTGCCGCCGATGCTCGTTCGCCTTGGGACCGGACTCGTCTGCGGGCCCCTCGCGAACGGGCTCTTCGGTAAAGACCGGCGGAGGGTTGATGATGAGACCCGACACGATGATGCGCATGGCGATCTCGACCGTGTAGAAGCAAAAGATGGCAAGGAGCACGGAGTCTTCGGGGTAGTCGAAGTAACCGCTCTTGCGCGGGTAATTGTAGACGTTGCGGCTGGACTGGATGACGAGCGCAATGGTGTTGACCAGAATGAGGAGCAGGATCAACGGCTCGACCCACCACTTGGCCAGGAACGCTGCCAGCAGCCGGCGGAACCTGCTTTCAGGTCCCCAGATACCCAGGCTCTTTCCTCGGAGCGTCTGCAGTATGTCTGGCAGGTGGGTCTCGTCTCTGGGAGGGTCTGGCCGTGCGGCTGCAGTGGCGACGGCGGCGTAGCGCGCTTCGGTCGACGAGTCGCTGTCGGACCCGGTGTCACGCTCCTCGAGCCGCACGTGGCTGCGGCGGCCCTCGAGGTGCACCACACGCTTGCTGAGGCGTTTCATGCTCTTGCTCATCCGGGATAGGCCGGACCTAGCGCCATACAGCGAGGGACCTTGGGACATACCGGCCGAGGCGTAGATGTCGGCGCTCGACTTGTGTCTCGGACCAACATCGGCATCCTCGAGCTGATCGGGCGAGTCAACCCTGGCAAAGTCTGCGGGGCCTGATGCGAAGTGTGCGTGGGTACGAAAGCGTTGCGGATCGGTGTCCGAGGTGAGGACAACGCGGTCCGAGTCATCAAAGTCGTGGAGGCTGTCGTCGAGCCATCGCTGCGCAAAGGGCGCGCTCGAGAGACTGGCGGACGAAGGGGCGTGGCACGGATGCTGATAGGGTTCTTCGCCGATGGCGTCACCTTGGCGGGCGCGGTGGGCGTCGAGGCCATCGGCGCGAGTGATGGTGGGAGCAGCTTGGAAGGACAGGTCGAGGGGGCCGTGGAAGAGGCCGGCATCGGCGGAGCTGCCGCTGCGCTCGTGAGAGTGCAGTTGGCCGCTGCGCGGTGCGGACGGTAGGCCGGAGGGCGTGGCAGGCGTTGCAGGATTGGAGCCAGAGGCATGCGGGATATCGTCGTGGGTGCCCCAGCTGAGGCGGTGCAGGAGGTGGTCGACGGGGGTGGCGCGTGGCGAGGCGGTTGGGCTGCTGTTCTGGCTGCTCGAGGCGAGCCACGAGGGGGGTCTGTTAAACGCGGAAGCCGGAGAGGGAAGGCCGAGGTCAGGCATGTCCTGATTGCCGTAGTAGTAGCTGTTGATGTACCCCTCAGAGGCGGTGGTGGGGACGCTGTAGGCGCTCGACGAGTTGCGCGTATGGGCGACCGAGGGCGGGTTCTGCGGCGGGGTCGTTTGGGGCGAAGGCGGCTGCAGGTTGACGGCGGGCGCGGTGTGCGACGACTCTTGCGAGTCCCGCCGAGAAGCCGAGGCCATGGTCGCCGACGCAGACGCAGACCCGCCGAGCGGTCACGACAGGCAGCAGAGGACGTTGCGACTGGGACGGCGTCAAGCGTCCATTCGAACGAGGAGAAGACCAGACAGGATCCTGTCCCGCTGGATGGTTGTCGTGTGTGGGCAATCGGGCCCGGCCTGGCTCTAGTGCGTGGTAAGGTGCCCGAGAGATGAGTTTGCTCAAATCGTGCGAGGCTGCGGGTAGACGTCGGGGCCAGGATGTCCTGGTAGGGGGGCAGAAACCAGAGCAGTCGAGCGTCGTGATGGTGGTAGTGGTGGTAGTACTAGGTGGTGGGTGTCGGTTGACGAGGCCGAGCAGTGCTAGCCTCGAGGTGAATGAAACCCAAAAAGCAAGCAGGGCGGGCGGTGTGGAAGCACAGCATGCAGCATGCCGCACCGCCCGGCAGCCCATTTCGGCTGGCGCCGCCGACCTTTTTTTCTTTATTTTTGCCAAGACCGACGCCGTTGCGCTGGCTGGCCGGGTGAACGGGCCGCGCCGGATGACGGGGTTGCAGACAGGGTCCACCCTTGCTTGCCTGCCTGCCTGCCTGCCTGCTTGCCTCGCTCCCTCCCTCGCTCCCTACTCCGCCTGCCTGCCTGCGTTTGACAGTCTAGTGGCGCATCTCCAACGAGAGCCAGGACGTACGTACGGGGAGGATGCGCTCAACCGTGACGGCGAGATCGGAGAAACCCTTCTTTACCTTGGCTTCTCTGGAGATGCATCACATGTATGGATTTGCTGTGCTGCCGCTGTTCGCTGCCGACAGGAATGCCGCTGGATGAGGGAAGGCTGCCCGGAGGGGAAGGGCGGGGCGTAGCTTGGCCTGGCGCAGTGCTCGCAAAGCCTAGAGTTATGTATGTAGCACCAAGGTGTCCCAACCAGGCCCGCTGGTCCCCCAGCCATGTCTGGAGCGTTCGTAGGTGAGCATCCTTTTGGCCCGACAAGCAGCCCAAGTAACCCAACGTACAAACTTGCAGAGTCTGCCGTCTGTCGTGGCATCGAGCGCGAGCTCAATATCGAGAGCGAGGGTAGGTTCCTGGCCAAGCAGGGCGTGCCGGTAGGGACCCCTTGGAATTTGGCCCCGAGGTGGGGCCGCGCTGCTTACAAAGGCTTAGCAAAATTGAGGGGGCGAGGTTACGCGGCTAGGCCCAACCAGGGCCGCCGCTTCTCCACCTGCGCTCGGTCCGCACGACTCTTGACTGCCTGCCTGCCGACCTGATCTAGACCTCGAGCCGCTCGTCTTGCCCTCCCATCACACATTTCCTCCCTCGCCTTGCAACCACGCACGCTCTACCTTCGACGTCAACCCTCAACAGCCGCAGCCCAAGCACACCATCACCATGTCCAGGTCCTACGATCGAGGTGAGCCTGCGCCGAGCTCGTCTGATCGTCCGGACCTCATCGCACATTGGCAGCTGACCCGCTTCGATTCCCCATCTCTCTCTTTCCCGGTGCTCGCCTCACCTTTAAGCCCTCACCGTCTTCTCGCCCGACGGTAAGTGTAGCTTCGATCACCTGCGTTTGACCCAGGGTCATGTAGCTGATCATCGCCACCCGCTTTCGTGCATTGCACGCATTCCCCTCGCCCTCGCCTAGGCCATCTGTGAGTGCCAGACACCCCCGTCCGCCCAGCCTAGACGGCACCGACTGACCTGCCCGCGCGCGCCTCACTCTTTCCCGTCTGCAGCTTCCAGGTCGAGTATGCTCTCGAGGCTGTACGCAAGGGCACCTGCGCCGTGAGTCTGCCCGTCACGACGACGATCAAAGACTTGGCCAGCTCGACGAGCTGACAGCTTCCCCGCTCGAATTTCCGCCTGTCGCCACCACACCTGCTCGTCGCAACCAGGTCGGCGTCAAAGGAAAGGACGTCGTGGTGCTCGGCGTCGAAAAGAAGAGTGTCCTCCAGCTCCAAGATCCTCGCACCATCCGAAAGACGGCCATGCTGGACGACCACGTCTGCCTCGCATTTGCCGGTACGTGGCCATGCCGGATTGCGCACCTCTGCAATCGCATACGGAGAGGCGATTCTGTGTCAGCTACGTGAAGTGCAGCCTCTGATCCCCCTCTCTTGTCTGGATCCCCCCTCCTTCCCCGCGCGCCATGCGTGCCCCCTCGGCAGGCCTCACCGCCGACGCCAGGATCCTGATTGACAAGGCGCGGATCGAGTGCCAGTCCCACCGCCTCACCGTCGAAGACCCCGTCACCGTCGACTACATCACCAGGCACATTGCGGGCATCCAGCAGGTGCGTCTCGGGCTCAAGGCTGCGGCCCTTGCTGCCACCTTTGGTCGTTGTACTCCACCTCGCTGACGAGCCTGGCCTTGCACCCGCACCGGCGCCCGACAGCGTTACACGCAATCCGGTGGTGTCCGCCCCTTTGGAATCTCGACGCTCATCATCGGCTTTGACGCCAACGAGAGCACCCCGCGCCTCTACCAAACGGAGCCGTCGGGCATGTACTCGGCCTGGAAGGTGAGCCGGACCATACCGATCCTGACGCTCCATGGCGGCGATGTCGCAGGGTGTTAACGAGATGGCATCGCAACCATGTGCGCGCTTGGCGTGCTTCCATTTCGGCAGGCCAACTCTATCGGCCGCTCCTCTAAGACGGTACGCGAGTTCCTCGAAAAGAACCACAAGGATGACATGACAAAAGACGAGACCATCAAGCTCGCCATCAAGAGCCTGCTCGAGGTCGTCCAGACGGGCGCCAAGAGTGAGTCGAGGCCTGGGCTTGCAACGCGCCGCCGCTTCTCGGGCCAGAGAGATCGGCGATGCTAGTCAGCCGGCATGTTGCAGCTCAACAAGGCACGGAAGCTGACCCACCCCGAACCCTGGCTGCTTCCCACGATCCCTCCTCCTTCAGACATCGAGATCGCGCTGATGGAAGGCCATGGACAGGTCAGGGTGAGTAGCCAGCTTGCGTCTGCAGGCCGGACGCCCCCCTCCGTCCACCGACGCTTCGCGCCGACCCAGGCTGACCATCCCGCCGCACTTCCACGTCTGCGCCATCCAGAACCTCGAGCTGTCCGAGATTGAGAAGTTCGTCGCCGAGATCACCGAGGAAAAGGAAGCCGAGGCGGAACGGAGGAGGAACCGCCTCGCCGCCACGGCGGGCGCGCAGGCGTCGATGGGATCCGGCACCAACCCCTGAGCTTCTTTCGCCGCATGTCGTCGCACACGACGCGCTTAGGCCCATGTAAGCTGTGCGGACCCTCTCGAGCCAGGCCAGAGGTGCCCACGCAATGGCAGCTTTTTGCGCGCAAGCTGGAGATTCCGCCTTCTGCGTGGCCGCCGCACAGAAGCGTCGCAAGCTTAGACGGAGGGTGGCTGGAGGACAGGAAAGAGAGTCGAACATTCCAGCTCCCGTGCTGCTATTGTCCCTTGGACCACCAGGAGCGCATCCGCTCGCCCACGGATCCAGCCGCCGGCGCGGTCCGTGCGGTCGAGTTTCGATCTGCAAACATCGGCGAGGCGTCGTCCTCTCGGAAGCCGTCCTCGCCTATCCTCGAGCCCAGCGCGGGATCGCGCCATGCGGAAACGGTGTCGTCCTGCTCGTCGACGCCGTCGATGCGGAGGCCCGTCATCGGCGGTAGCTCGTCGTCGCTGTTGTCGCCGCCGTCGTCGTCCGAGTAACGCGCATCGCTGCGGCTGCGGCCAATGAGGCTGCGGTTGCGGCCGAGGAACGACGGCGGCAACTCGTCGCGATCCTCGACGTCGTCGTCGAGGCGGACCGGTCCGTGGGTTGTGGCATCCTCGGGCTCCTCGAGCGCTTCGGAGCCATTGAGTTTGCGCACGACGACGGGGATGAGTACGGCGACGCAGACGCCGCCAAGCAGAAGCACGTTGCGAAGGCTGAGGAGGTTGAAGTCGTCGGCGCTCGTCATCTCGTCGAGCTTTTCGCCTAGCGTGGTGTGGATGACCGAGACGGCAAAGATGCCGCAAAAGGTCGACAGCCAGAAGAGGCCAATGTCGATGCCCAGGTGCGGGGCGAGCAGGTTGACGACGTTGTGCGGCGGCAGCGGCATCATGCTGGGCGGAGCGAACGAGCGTGCGGGCGGTGGGTGAGGGTCAGAGGGTGCGGCTCCTTGGGCTAGCAGCGCTCTCCTCGACGGCGCAGGACGGCTCACCGGATGACGATGAGGTAGGATAGCATGTTGTCGTTGTGCTGCGCCAACTTGTCCTTCCAGGTGTCGATGCGCGCCTTCCAGCTGGGCAGAGCCACCAAGACGACGCCCAGGAACTTGCTGATGAGGTAGCAGATTGTAGCGCCGGTGGCGACCGACTGCGCCCGATAGACGAGTACAGGCATGAATCGCAGGCCCTGCAAGTCAGGTTAGGGTTCAAGGTCAGACGAGGAGTGCAAAGCGGGGCCTTACTCACGGCGCAGACCAGAGGCAGAGCGATGGGGACGCCCCAGAGAGCACCGGCCAGGATGCTCATGTACATTGAGCCGGGGATGGAAAAAGCTTGAAGGCTGTGGCGTCACGGTGGATGTGCATGGCGTCAGTGGAGACGAGCGATTGAGCGGCTGCGTTGCTATATCAAGGGGGCGGCGGGAAGCAAGGGGGCTGGTCCAAGTGTGCGTGGCACTCACAAGATGTAGACGATAAACCAGCAGAGCATGACCTGGGCAAAGTTTTCCGACTTGTAGTGCTGCAGGACGCGGTTGAGGTCCTTGAGCTGTTCGAGGGAGCGTGGGATCTTGAAAGCTGGCCGATCGGCGCTGCGTTAGAGACAGAGATAGCGGGATGGAAGACGACAAGAGGGAGAGGGACAGAGCGAAAACAAGATGCGAGTGGCAGTAGAATGGTTCGGGATAAGCAGGGCCGAAACACAGGGATTGCGGCGAACAGAGGATAAATGGAGCTACCCACTCGTCAATGACAGGCAGCGCGAGCCACAGGGTGCCTCCGAGACCAACGAGGCAGACGACAAAGAGGATGAGGAGCTGACCGCCGGCGCGAAGCAGGAGCCGGCGGCGTTCTAGCGGGTCGAGGACGGGGGCAGCTGGTGGCGGTGCGCCTGGGCGTCCCTGCTGAGCGTGCCAGGGGTCGTCTTGATCATCATCATCTGGGGAGTGATGCAGGCGGATGGAGATGGACGAGTCGGAGCGTTGGGCGCCGCCGAGCGTCTTTAGCGTGTGGCGGGACTTGATGGAAGCGGCATCGTCGTCGGCGGCCGGGGTGGCGGCGGTGCCGATGGCGAATGCGTGAGCGTCGGGCGCGTCTGGTGGTGATGGAGCGACGGGCGCGCCACTTGCTGAGGCCATGTTCGGGGCCAGACGAGGAGCGAGAGAGGGGGCGATGTCGGCGCGGCTAGATGGAGCGGTTTGGTGTGGATCTGGGCAGCGACGATGGGCCTGGTTGGGCGGAGAGGGCCAAGTGGCAAGCAAGACGAGCTGACGACCAAGCAGTAGGACGCTACTCTGAAGGCTGACGAGAAGACGGTGATGGCGGCGGGGACGTCGGCGGCGCTGGTGGTGGGCAGGGTGTCGGCGAGAGGCAACGGAGAGTAGGCAGGTCGGGAGGGCCAGCGTGCAGGCCCGAGCTCGGCTTTGAGGCGGCGGTGCGGCGGCCCCTGCGCTGATCCAAGAAAGGCGCGTACCCGCGCCCCGCCATTTGTGGATCCAGCCGCCCAAAAAAAGTCGAGGAAAATCCGAGAAAAGAGAGAGAGAGTGGCGCAGACCACAGACATCGAACGAGCCTCGGCGGCTTTGCCGCTGGTGGGCACGGCCGTGCTTGCCCTCAGTCCGGCGTGGTGGCAGGGCGAGTCGAAGATGGCCCGAGGGTCAACGAGGTTTCTCGAGCATCGAGCAGAAGGTGAAGTCTACCAACCGGCCTCTTGCAGGTGAGGAGACCGAAGTCGGAAGCCCCCCAAATGGCCGTGGTGGCCTGAGGCTGCCGGCGGACGAGGCAGGGATTTTTAGGGCGCGCCCTCGAGGCCAACTCGCCGCCGAGCCGGGCGTGGCCAGCAGATCGCGCCAACGGCTTCCAGGGGGGGGGGACGAGCGAGCGTGCGTGCATGTTAGGCCTGGGTCCAGGTCGGTAGATCGAGTACTCTAAGGCCGCCGGCCCATCCAACCGCGTGCTGGGCCTAGGGTGTGAACGCTGAGTCGCGGCCAGAGTGCCTCGCTCCCTGCTTGCGTGGGTGCGGCCGAATCGGCCTGCCTGCCTGGCTGGCCACACGGCAGACAAGGCTGACTCACCCAGCCTCTTGCTCTTGCACGCCGCACGCACGCACGCACGCACGCACGCACGCACGCACGCGCGGATGGAGCGAGCGTGGCCACTCGACCGGGCCTGAGCTGGCCGCCCCGCTCGTCGCCCGCCACCATGTCTGCAGGCATCCGAGCCAGCCAGCCTGCCCTGCTGGTTGGACGGGGGGCCCTCAACCCCTCAGTCGAGGCTTGGGGCCCGCCTGCTGTCCTCCAAGCCTCTCTTCATCGCGGCGCCCAGACACCTTACACTACTCTCGGCCTTTTTCGCTCTCACCTGGGCATCCAAGTCGGCGAAGCAGAAGCCTTCACAGCGAACGGGTCTGACGGGCACAAAGGCGGATGCCGTGGCGGTGGTTTCGCCATCCTCGATCTGCTGACCCCCCTGCCGCGATCGATCTCGAGGCCTAACGGAGGTGTCGCTGGCTCGCTACCTCTTCTTGCTTGCCTTTTTGCGGGACGCCGAGGCCTAGGACGGACAGCCCGACAAGCAGGTGCTGACGCCCTCGCCTCGATCAGGCGGCGTCGTCCAGCTCAGCGACGCCACCGCTTGCTCGAGCTCAGGCCGGGTCGCTCCCTATAAAGCCGCTCTGAACGGCTGCGGGACCGCGAGCTTGGGTCGGCTCCTTCGGATCGCCCACCTATCCCCTCCGCCTGAGCCCTCTTTCCCTCTCCTTCACCCTCTTTCCCTCTCCTTTCCCCCCTCCTCCCCCCCTAATTCCCCCCACCGGTCCGCCAAGGCCGACCCTATCCCATCCGCCCCTTCTTACGAGTGTCGAGTTGCTTGGTCTGCTCCTCTCTCAACCCGTCTCCCCTGGCGACGACAGGACTCTGACGAGTGCCGTCCCGACTCTGCGCTCGCTGCAGCTGTCCGACGGCTTTCGAAACGAGCCCTCCCTCTGATAACCCGGACTGCGATCGACTTTAGCGACACGTCGACATGGCTTCGACCAAGGAAGGCCCCATCGAGGGCGCCAGCAAGCAGGAGCAGCTCTACCGCCATCCCAACGCCAGGAAGACGCCAGAGGCCGAGCCTCGCGACGCAAAGTCGACCGACGAGGGCTTCGCCTCGCCGCAAGAGGCACCCTCGCGTGCCAGTCAGAGCACCCCGGCGTGTTCCGACACGGTATGGGACCCCATCCACGCCCTGTCTCGACGCTCGCGCAGCGACACCGACGACTTTTTCTCGCCCCTGCTCCAGCTCGATCAAGAGCCCGGATCGGCCCACTCGTCCGGACCCCTCGACTATGCTGACACCTTCGCGCGCAGCGAGAGCGACCCGATCCACTCGACCCAGCCCGAGGAGCAGGCTCGAGCCGCCGGCGTCATTGGCAAGCCGCCTGGCACTGAGCAGCACAGCGACTTCGGCCCGCGACAGCGCAGCCTGGCGTTTCCGAGCTACAGCGCCTCGGACGCTGGCCGCGGCCGGGTCGAGCCGACGGCAAAGGGTCAGAGCAGCCCCACCGGACTCAGCAGCGAGACATCAGAAGATCTGCGCAGGCTCTTCTCGCCCGCCGGTCGCGGCTTCACCGAGGCGCTCGAGCAGTCTTCCTGGCGCAAGGGGCCCGTTGGCCCTGTAGGCACGCATCCGTGGAGCCGAGATCCGTCGCTTGCGGAGCCTCCACGTCCACTTCTGTCGATGCCCGGCCCTCGCATTCATCCAGAGGTCCTCGGCACCTTCCTAGGGACCCACATGCCTCGCACCGACCCTCACTCCTCAGGGAGCAGCAGCAGCATCATCGACCCGTTTGACTTTTCGCGTGGCGGCCGCAGCAGACGCAACACGGGCTGCTCGGACAGCCTCGGAAGTTTTGGCAAGAGCTCACCGACGCTGCTGCACCCGCCCATCTATCGGCCGACGTATGTCGACAAGGAGGTTCGTACCCTAGCATCGCGTCTTGTGGCGGCACGTTTCGCTTTCGGCCCGATGAGCGTGGTCGGACGCTGACGTGCTGCCGACTGCGTGCCTGCTCCTGTCCCCACCGCACAGGTTCAGACCGAGGACAGCGCCATCATCGACGAGGCCAACCGCATCCGCGGAATCATCGAACTGCGCCAAGCCCGCAGTGACATGCACCTTGTAGGCAGCGTTTGAGGTCGGCCACGGCGCCTTGACTATCGAAGGTGTTCGCACTGACCGACTGGCGGGCCTCTTCAACCTCACCTTGCTCGCTTATCAGCTCTTTGCAGAGAACCGCGGGCTCAAACGCCAGCTGTACGATGCTCTCACCTGCGTCCGAGCTCTGCGCCAGCAGCGAAGCCAGGAGCTGCCTCTGGCGGCGGGCTTCACTTCCAGTCCCGGTGTAGCCGGGATGCTCGGACGTCTAGGAGGAACCCCCGGTACAGGCATGGTCGATCCTGCTCTCCACCAGGCCCTACCTTCCGCCTACTCCGACCCCGCCGCGATGTTGCGCAACGTGCCGCCGGCCGGCTTCCACATGACCGCGGACCCGATCGCCATGCAAGGCCTGCAGCAAATGCCGTCGGTCGACCTCTTTCGTCACGGGAGCGCCGTTGCTGCCCCGCCCGCCGCCGCAAGCAGACCGGAGATGCCGGCTTCGCTCAACCAGCAGAGGATCTTGGCCGAGCTGGCCAGTCGAGGCTTGGCGATGGGAGGCTCCCACGAGCTAGGTGCTGTCAGATCCCCCCTCGACGAGGCAAACCTGTATGCCAGCGCATCGAGTGAGGGTGATCGTGCCGAAGCTGCGGCCGAGTCCTCGACGTCGAGGCTCACGAGCACTGCCGGCTGGCCCTCTCTCGCAGAGGCCCAGAAGCAGTTCGCTAGGGCCAAGGTCTCGACGCCGACGGAGCCTCGTACTCCTCAAAAGGGTTCGGAAGAGACTAGTCCTAGGACGGAGGTCGCTCTCTCACCAGCCAAGCAGAGTGATCTGGTGCGCCAGATTGCAGATGGGCGAGGTCAGGAAGCCAGCATAGTGCTGCAGCAGCAGCTCAAGTCGGGCACCGCAGATGCAAAGCGTTCCGTCGTCGGACTGGTCAAGTCCTGCATCCTCGCCCTGTCGCACGATCGCCACGGCAATTTCCTGGTCCAGCGCGCTCGTAAGTTGCTTCTGTCCGAGGCCTCGACCGTTCAAGGATCGGTCTATACTCGAGCTTCGCCTGACAGTTGCATCTTGGCCCGCATCCGTCGCAGTCGGCGTGGACGCGGATCTTGCTTGGAGTCTCAAGGGCCACTTTGTCGAGCTGGCCATGTCGCAGTTTGGTTGCCACGTCGTTCAGAGGGTGAGTCGATCCAGCATCGCTGCTCGCCGATGCCAAGGTTCCTGACCCTACACCTCCACATCTGCACGCCTGGGCAGGTCCTGGATGGCGAGGAGCGCGTCAAGATGGCCGTGGTTGAGGAGCTGCTGAGCTCGCGGCTGGAGGAGTCACTCACGTCGAGGCACTCGGTTCACGTGTGGCAAAAGGTTCTCGAGATCGACTGGACGCACGCCAGCTTCCGATCGACCATCTTTGCAGTCATGAACCGACAGATGAAGGGCAAGTGGGCCAAGACGGCGCGACAGGAGACTGGCAGCATCATCTGCCAGAACATTTTCGAGTCGGCCGACGCAGACGAAAAGGTGAGTGCGCCCGCGGCGACCGAGCCTCGTCCCTGCGCCCCCCTGGTCGCTGACGGCCCGACGCGCGCCCCTACCTTTCCCATCGTCGATCACGCTGTCTTCGCGTCATACCCCAGAGCGACTGCCTGCAGGAGGTGCTGGCCGAGGCGGAGGAGTGCGCGTCGAACCAGTGGGGCGTCTGGGTTGTCCAGGTTAGGGTCATCGCTCGAGGTCCTGTTTGACCTTCTGCGGGGTTCCCCCTGACCCATGTTCGCCCACCCTCTCTGGATCTGCCTTCGGCCTCGCTGCAGCACATCATTGAGCACGGTTCCGAGTAAGCGACGGATGTGGAATCGGCGCGCACCCTCATTGACGACGACGTGCTAACGCTCCTGACTCGCTTTTTCTTCCCCGGCGACTCTGCCAGCCCGGAGAAGAAAGCGGCACTCGAGGGACTCCTCCGATCCGCGGTGAAGCTGACGCTCTCGCAGTACGGTGAGTCTGGCGCTTTGAGGGGTGCCTGCAGTCGGAGGGCGACTCTTCTGATGCAGGATGTCGCAACGGTGCCGCTTCGCTGCTGTCCCATGCCCGGTCGACCCTCGGGAGCACAGGTCAAAAAGCCATCATGAGTGGCCTCAAGTCTGGCGACCGCACGTTTGTCGACAAGTACGTCGAGACCTTGTGCGAGACGCATCCTTCCGGCTCGTCGGGAACTGGCAGTCGACGTTCGGCTCTGGTCGACGTCGCTCTGGCTCCGCAGGGCCTCCAGATTGTGACGCAGGTCAGTGTCCCATGCTGGTCGAAGCCGTTGAAGACTGTTGTGGGGCCCGAGCTGACCGGTGCGGCCGTTTCAATCTGCCGCCGCTTGCGCCACCGATGTGCCAGCTGCTCACGTCGGTTTCGCCCGAGATGCGCGAGAAAATCATCGCCACGGTGCGCAAGAACTCGGTCTTCCTCAAGGGCAGCAAGACGGGCCTCAAGGTCCACCAGCTCTGCGAGCGCGCGCGCGCCTTCTCCGGCTATTGACAGCGTGGCGCGTCGATTCCTTACCCCCATGCCTTGCCCGTACCCGCTCCGACAACCGGCTCGACCCTGGTGACGCCAACGGGCCGACGACGCCATCCCTCTGATTATCCTCCACGGTCTATCGACGCCCGCACGTCGATGTCGATTCCTCCGCCTGTACGACTTCGGAACACCCCGATCGACGGCCGCCCATCATCGGTCGACCGCAAATTTGCTTGGTTGCGCATGGTTTGCGGGTGCTGGCGTCAGGGATTGGATGTGGCGACGGGGCGGGAAAGAGGTACAAGTACAGCGAGCCGTGGGCGAGGCGGCGGCGGTCAAGGAGGAATCAATTGCGAGGATGGGGGCCTCTCTGCTAGGTGGTTACGACGGCGAGGGCTAGGCATGGCGAGCCTCGGCGTCGAAGAGGGCATGGGCGAGCTGGTCGCAGCGCAGCTTTGCGAGGCGGATGCAGGCGTCGAGGTTCTGCTGGTCCGACTGTGCTGCTGCGGGTACTGCTGCGGCAGCGTCGCTCTCGTCGCGTTTTGCGATTGTTCGGAGGCTGCCGGACTGATAGAGGTAGCAAGTGTGGGTCTGAGTGCTAGACTCGGCGGGAGAGGAAGGGGCGAGGATGCCGATGCTGGCATGGGAGTTGACGAGCGAGGACTCAAAGGCGGACGGGTCGGCCAGGAGTTGCGCGCTGGGCATGAGAGAGCGACAGAGTCGTCGGTGTGGGCGAGGATCGGGACAGACATGGAGGAAGGCGGTCAATGTGGGCCGAGGTGACGGCCGAGGTGGACGACACTGGGCTCGAGAGGACTCACGCCTCGAACACGCCAAAGCTGGCGCAGAGCGGGAGGTTGTTGAGGCGCAGCTTGGCCGATCCGCCGTCTGGGTGGTGCCTCGTCTCTGACGTTTCCGGGTGGAAGACGGCGTTGGGCAGCGAGGTGTGACGGAGGGCGGCCATGGATGCGAGGACGGCGGCGTCGAGGGCGTTTCCGTCGTACGAGATAAAGGTGATGTCGAGGTAGAGGCACCACACCGCTGCGCCTGGCTGGATGACGAGATGGGTACGATCGAGTGTCGAGGAGCTGTTGAGGAAAGTGAGGAGCCGGTCGGTAAGGACCTGGGCCTCGTCGCCCGGTGGACCTGGCTTGAAGCGGGTCGACGAGAGGGCGGGTAGCTCGACGTTGGGAACTGCAGGGTGCATGATGCGGGGATGAAGTTGGGGAAGGGGGGAAGGAAAAGGACGAAGACGATGGTGCACATGGGGCGAGCGGGTGAGCGGCAGGAAGCACGGCCGTCGTTGGCTCAAGCGACGAGGACATACCGAGGAAACCCTGGTCGGGCCTGGAGAGGAGCGGGGTTGCGACCTCTGCCTTTACTGCGGCGATGCATACGGTGTTTTGGAGCTTTACGAATGCGCTGCCGTGCGCGGTCGATACGGGGCCGAGGGAGATGGTGGCGGGGCGGAAGTGGTCGAGGTGGCGAGCGTCTTCGCGGACGCCGGCGTCGAGGAAGCGGCGAAGGTAGGCCGAGGGATGGAGCCGCTTGAAGGTGGTGGCAGCCACCTGGTCCGTGTAGGACGTTGATGCGGCTGATGGGGCCGCGCTTGGGGGTGAAAGTGCGGCCATGGGGTCGATGAGGGTGTTAGAAGTGAGGGTGAGGAGAGCGAGGCGAGGCGAGGCGAGGCGAGGTGTTGGAAGGGAAGCGGCAGGCAAGGTGGCCAGGAAGAAAGCCAGGAGGAGGGCCGTCCGTCCAGACCGACGACCGCGAGGCAGAAACGCGGAAAGTGGAGCAAACGTCGCTTCTCGTGCGGTTGCAGCCAAAAAGCGGACGTCTTCGTGGGGGAACGGGGGCAACACCGAGTGGGGGAAAGACAGGGTGGTGAGGTGGGCACAGACCCTCCCGCTCTTGGCAACGGCGTGGCCGGGCCTCGGCTTAAGCTTCGTTATGTTGCTTCTTCCTACCCACCACTCACCCACCCTCCCAATTTCCCTGTGACCGCCTCGATGGATCCAGGCCCATCCTCTCCAGTCGCGCCCGCGGTATCGCCGTCGTCGACCGCTTCGGCCCTCGACCGCCTGCACCGCATTGCTGCACTGCCCACAGACGCACACCTCGCAGCCTGGCTCAACGACCACCTCGCACACCACGCCTCGTCATCGCCCCACCCCTCAACCTCTCAGACACAGGCGCAGACGCTGACGACCACCGCAGACGCACTACGCACCGTTTCCATCGCCATTGCATCCCAGCGCGAATCCGCAAGGTCAGATATCCAACTCCTCATCGACCGCCTCGTCGACATCATCCCAAAACTCGGACTCGACCTCAACATCACCGCACAGGCCGCCAAAAAGCTACAGTCGCACATCGACGCTGCAAAATCGGCCCTCGTACAGCCACAGACCAGCCAGCGCCCACCCCAGGCAGACGACACACACAGCGACGATGCCCGCGACCCACCCTCCGCCTCAGTCGACCACGCCCTGGCCCGCATCCGCACCCTCTCGCACCTCAATCAATCCCTTGTGACAACTCGCAACTCGCTTCGGGAAGCGCAGGCATGGTCCACGCTAGAATCGCACGTCACCTCGTCTTTCTCCGAGCATCGGTGGTCGGAGGCCGTCGACCGCATCACAAAGGCGCGAGACTCCCTCAACCTCTTCCGCGCCGGTCCTGAAACGTCTCCGAGCAACGACCGCGTACAGCTCCTGGAACGCCTCACCGACGCGATACAGCAGCATCTCGTGCCCATCCTCGAGCGGTCAATCAAGGACAGAGACGTAGAAACCACGACCAAACTAGCCCATCTCCTCAACCGCGTCGGTCGCCGCGAATCCGGCTTTGGCCAGACCTACCTCGCCACGCGCAGGCAAGACACGCTTCTGCACTGGGCGCAGCGCAACGCCGACGTCCCGGACTCAGCTGCGGCTGCATCGGCGCTGCCCCTCCTCAACTCTCTGTTTGCAGATGTGCTCGGCATGCTCGGCGAGGAACGCATCTATGCCGACAAAATCTTCCACAGACCTAGGCAGGCCGCCGAGTTTCTCCTCGCCGCCCTCTTTGACGGCCTCGAACCGAGCCTGCATGAGTATCTCCAGCGATTTGCGTCCCTCGATGACGTCGAACACCAGCTGGCGGCGGTTACAAAGGCGTACCAGAGCGTCGAAGGCGCGTCAAAGTCCATCGCCGACATGCTCCCTACCGACGAGGCCGCCAGGGCTGCAGGCCCACCAGACGATGTCGACGCCACGTCGATGCCGCCCGTCGACGCGCTGGATATCGCGGCCATTCCGTTGGCTGCGACGGCATTGCCTTGGCAAGATGCCCTGCTATTGCCCTTTCTCGAGTGGCAGACGAGCTTTGCGACACTGGAAGCCCGCGCCATGGCGACGCGCTTGCAGGCGGCTCAGCTAGCAACAGGTGTCGGGACGGATCGAGCTCAGCACCTGCGCGAACTCGTTTCATCGGCGATAGAGGCGGCGGGCACCTCTGCTCGACGGTCGCGCACCCTCACGCGGGGCTATGCAACGGGTCCCCTGATTGAGCGGGTCGAGGCGCTGCTCTGCTCCATCCTTGACTCACAGAAACGCGACCTTGTGTCGTACGGACAGGCGGTGGTGGATCGAATTGCCGAGCGGGGGCGGCAACGAGAGCAGGCGTCGACAACGACGACATCGTATCGCAGTTACGACGATCGCGAAGAGGATCTGACGACCGAGGACTGGGAGGACTTCCAGCGCGGCACACACGTCCTCGCTGCCTGCCGCGACGTCGTGTCGCGCATCGCTGCGCTCGAGGCGACTCTGGCCGGGCAGCTGGTCGAAGTCGGGGCGCTGTTACCTGCCAAGACATATGAGGATCTCCGCTCGTCGAGCGAAGAGGGTGCAATCTCGCACATCGACGCCAGCAAGGACGACACTGCCAATGATAGCACCAACAATAGGAACGGTGACGGGCTGTCTCCGCTAGACAGGTCCCCACTCAACTCTCGCCTCCTCCGGCACTGGATCGACCTGGCATCTCGCTTCCTGTCGTCGTCAGCGCGTCCCAACGCCAGCTCGATTGCCCACCTGGTCGGCTCGACGACAACATCACACCGCGAGCTCAAGCTCTTCGCACAGACGCACTCCCGCATCCTGATGCTGGCGAGGACGACACAGAAGTACTTGCACGATGTCCTCCTCGCGCCGTTCACGCCAGCACTGTCGGCCTACGTCACTTTGCCGCTCTGGACGGCGACTCGGCATCCAAGCGCGGTCAACGAGTACGACCTGACGATGCCCCAGTTCAGCCTCAGCCCTACGGATACCGTGTCGAGGATCGGAGAGGGGCTCCTCAACCTGCCCCGGTTGGTCGAGGTGTACGCCGAGGAGGAGTGGCTGGCCTTCCCGCCTGCCGCCGATCCCCTCGTCGACGGCAAAGATGAGCGGGGTGAGGTCGCAGCTTCGGACGCGGACCGTGGCGGAAAGCCGGGGGCCGGTACCGAAGCGACGGCAGCGGAGACGCATCGACGGATGCACCGACAGGCCTTTTCCACCACGTCTCTGCCGCCCGCCTCGGATCTTGTCTCCGCACCGACGCCGGCGGCATCCACCGCCAACGGCACGTCTTCGCCATCGGATCGTCAGGACAATGCACCGGGGACGCGGACGCGGGAGGCGACGCTGTCGCTCTTCCTCTCGGCGCTGCTCTCTTCGTTCCTCTCGCACCTCTTCGGCACGGTGCTGCCCTCGCTGCCACGCCTCTCCGAGGTCGGAGCGAATCAGCTGGCCACGGATCTCGACTATCTTGTCAATATCTGCGCTGCGCTCAACGATCGGGATAGCCAGGCGCGGATCCAGGCGTGGAGGAAGGTGTGCGCTCTGACGCACCAGGATGGGCTCGAGATCGCCCGCTGCGGTGGCGGTGTGAGCGATGCGGAAACAAGCGGAATCATGCAGAGAGAAGACGAGGAAGCGTGGAAGGTGATTGCACGGCTGCGAGGGTGGCTGGCATAGCATGCGTTGTGACGGGCGTCCCGGCGTAGGTCAATATGATTTGTCAAAGCCCCTGCTCCCTCGGCCCTGAGCAACGCGCGCAGCGTCTCAGCGCCCCGTCTCGTCCTTAACCTCGCTCGAGCTAAAGTTGAGGATGCCCGCCTCGTCGAGCAGTCCAACGACCTTTTCGGCCTCTTCGCACTTCATCTTGCCGAGGACGCGGTTGACCTTGTCGAGCTCCTTTGTCTTGAGCGCCTCCTGCATCTCGGCGTCGAAGCCGCAGAAAATCTGCCAGCGTCGGTCGAGAAACTCGCGCACGCGGTCCAGGTCCATGCCCTCGGTGCCCTCGCCCTCGAGCTGGATGTGCTCTGGCGCTGGGCCATCGGGCACCTCGAACGAGATGACCGTCGACGGGTCCTCGGCCACGAGCTGGATCTGCTCTTCGCCCTCTCCGCCACCGCCGCTGGCCGAGGATTCCGAGAGCGCCTTGGAGCGGTCCCGGATGCGGGTGTAGGTCTGCAGCACATCGTTGAGGTAGACGACCGAGGCGCGTCCGTCGCCCGACGACATCCTGTCGCGTGATAAGGTAGGAAGGGAGGCCAGCATCGGGTCAGCATGGTCCGGGATGGAACGGCGAGCTTGGCCCGGCGACGATGCGACCGCTTCGTCGACTCACTTTCGGAAGAAGAGCGCCACGCCGTCCTTGCCGAGCTTGTTGCAATACTGGATCATGAGGCCCTTTTCGGTGCATCTCCGGGCGTAGGCGCTCTCGCCGCGCATCTCGGCCTGGAACGCTTCGACGAGCAGCGCGTCGGTGGTGCCACTGTCTTCGCGCAGCAGCTCCTTGTGCGCCGCGAGGAACTTGAGCGCCACCTCGAACGCTCCTTCGTTGAGGTTCTTGGCCGGGTTGAACGAGGAGGGAAGGGAAGAGGCCGATAGGTCGAGCGACGAGGGGATGGTCGAGGGGAGGTTGGCAAACTGGCGCATCGAGGTGCTGACCTCGGGAACGTCCTCCTCGTCGTCGGTCTCTTCGGCGTCCGAGTCGGCCGCCTGCGCCTGCGACGAGGAGCCGGCAGCGGAGGGCGAGTTGAGCGTCTCGATAGACGTCACCTTGGACGACTTGGCCGGCTTGGCCGGCTTGGGCTTGGGCGCAGGTTCGGGTTCCGCCTTGGAGACGTGGCCGCTGCTCCAGCCTTCGCGGATACCGTCGCTGGTAATCTTTTTGGCGTCCTCGGCTTCCATCTTGGCCAGTTCGTCCTTGATCTGCTGCTGCCTTTTTGTAAGCTGCGACGAGTGGTGCTCGAGCTGCGCTGCCAGGCCCTCGATGAGGGCAGGGTCCGAGGGCTCCTTGCCCTTGACCGACGGCTCCTGGTTGATCTGCAGGAGCAGCGAGAGGATCATGTCGTCGATGGTGGGGCCATTTGGTCCGTCCTTGTTGCCTCGCTCCTGCCGCCCTGCCGAGAGGCGCGACACCTCTCGCGAGTAGTATGCGGGCCCCTCAGACTTTGTCTGCTTGAGAATCTGTGGGGGACGAGCCGGAAGGGATGCAAGCATCGATCACGCAGGCGCTCGATTCGTCAGTCCTGTCCTCGTCTAGGCTAGAGGCCGGAGCGGGCTTGCCGCGCGACTCACCTCGTCGACTCTTGGCTTGAGTTGTTCGTTTGTCTCGCTCTCGGCCTTGAGCTGCTGGATCTCCTGCTTTCGCTGCTCCCGCTTCTGGTGGATGTCCTGCTGCTTCCAGCGGACAAAGGATTTTTTGTCGATGTTGGGGTGGACCTCGATGTCGGAGTCGTCCGAGAGCTCGAGGTTGTCCCACTTTGAGTAGTTGAGTTTGCCAACCATGGTGGGTGCGCGGTCGCTGTCTGCTGCTTTCGTCGGTCGTGCTACCTGTTCTGGGGTCCGCTGAGTGCGAGGAGGAGACGTACAGTGTGGCCCGGATTGAATGAAAGGCTGGGATCTGGTGGCCAGAAGAAAGGGCGATGCGAGGCGGGGGTGGCGATGGCGGTGGTGGTGGTGGCAGCAGTGGCACTCGAGTGACAACAGTACGTAGTAGTGTGGAGCTTCTTGTCTTGACCCCCTCTCGGGCGTGGCGCCGCCTCTCAAACTCCCAGACGCTCGAGCCTCCGCCGCGCACGGCTCAGCTCGACGCGGCTCCACCTCTCGACCACGCTTCGAGAAGTTTCGCCATCCGCTGTTACCTCATTTACCCACTCGTCCTTCTCGCTGTATCAGGAGACGGAAAACAGCGGCTCGCACATTCGTCTTGGTGGGCAAAAGACAAACAGCCGATGCGATAGAATGGGTCGCGACATTGCTTGCACGGCAGCGGGGTAGCGCGAGGAAAGCCAGGGTAAAGAGTGGCCAGAGGCTGCATTCCGTGCCAACCGCCCATCGACCACGCTCGATGAAGGTCTCTCTCGGTCCGCTTCTCCGCCGTGCTGAGTCGTGTAAAGTGGCCAGCGATATGTTCCAACGACAGAGCGGTCAGACACAGCTGACACCGGTAAGCATGATCGAAGGGCACAATGCCAGGTTCTTCACGACTCGGGCAACACAGCAATCGTAGTGGCGAGATGGTATCAGGATGAGAGGTGACGGCGGCGCAGCAGGATGGCCTGGCGCTTGAGTGTGATGATGTGATGATGCTAGTGCAACTCCGGCGACGGGTGAGATCTGATCGGCGGCTCAGAGGTTGGGCTCCCAACTGACACCGCAACCGCAGCCGGCGCCTTTGGCCTGCGGGTTGTTCTTGATGGCGAATTGCGACCCAATCAGCTCCGTCACGTAGTCGATTGTGCTGCCGCGGACCAGGGCGAGTGAGACGCTATCCACCAGGATGTTGATGCCCGGGTGCACTTCAAACTGGCTGCAGAGCGGTAGAGATGCGCGGCGGAATGGCGATCGGGGTCAGCATGCCGAGACTGCTCGGAGGGGACTGACCGGCAAGCGCACCGCAAAGTACTCACAAGTCGTCCTCTTCGACCTCTTCAGTGATCTCCATCTTGTACTGGTAGCCGTGGCATCCTCCTGGCTCGACGGCTACCCGGAGCGCGAGGCTGGGGTTATTCTCCCTCTCCGAGACCTTTCTGAGTTGCTGTGGCGGCGAGAGGGCAGGCAGAGGACAATGAGATCAGAGTCTGTTTGTCAGGCCAAGCTCTCGAAAGCGTCGAGCGATGAGGTTGTGGCCAGCACTCACGTTGATGGCGCGTTCTGTGGCGATGATTGTAGGTTCGCCGTCGCGATAAACTTCTGGCTCCTCTGGCTCCTCGGGCTTCCGTGTCAATGTGGTTGCGCTTCTCCGTTGGCCCATCGTTGCGACGCCAAGGGCCGAGAGCGGCGATGGCCGTGCCGAGGATATTGTTGAGAGATAGTGAGCGGTTGCGGGAAGGAATGGGTGCGCCATTGTCGCTAGTCTGGATGATGCGGACGAGGCGGCAAGGTGGCGCAAACGGCTGGCACTTGCGCCGCGCCGTGCCAGTTGGGCTGCGGCGCGCTGTAATGCCGGGAGGCGGAGGCGGGATGATGCTGGTGATGCCATGGCGGGCGAACGGCTTGCGCGATGTATGGGATGATGCTAGGGAGTCGAGAATGCGATGGAAGACGAGAGGCAACGACGGGTGGCGGCGGAGGAGGGCCGGGGTGGATCCCGAGCAAGCCTTTAGGCCGCCGCTTGGAAATCCGGCCGTTCCGAGGTGGGTCATGGCCATGGCCATGGCCTGGCCAGGCCGCCAGCAGGGTCCCGGGTCGCGAGTCGGCGAGTGTGGAGGGCCACAATCAATTCGGAGCCTTGGCTTGGTCGTGGCTCGTGGGTGGGCCGAGGCTGGCCAGAGCCTCGATCACCGAGCAGCTGCGGTGGTCGGTCGTCCGACTGGAGAATCCCGACTTCCGAAGCTGACCCAGTCGGGCGCGCGCTGCCTGCCAACTGCCCGCTCGCCCAGCCAGATGGAAGATCGAGGGGGGTGCCGGGCAGAGGGCGAAGGAGAGCAGGCAGGCTAGAGGCGTACGAGAAGCAGAGGCCAGCAGGCCCGCAGAGACAGGCACAGCGGCAGGGCGCACGCGGGGGGCCACTCAGAAGTCAGAAGCCAGCAGCAGCGAGAGCGAGCGACAGCGCAGAGAGCGAAGGAAGCCGTCTCAGACCTTTGCACGGCAGCGCCAGCGGGCGCACCTCGGACACCGTCCAGCTTCACCATCACCTGCACCGCACCATCACCAACACTCCACCCTCCAAGGAACCCCCCTCCACCCTTCGAGGTGAGTCTCGCCGTCGCTGTCTCCGCGGACCACCACCTGCTCCGCATTCGCCATTCAAACAGACGCAGACGCTGCTCTGCACGAGCGGTGGCTCACCACAAAGGATCCTTGCAGCCGGCGTCAACCTCGCTGGGTCCCAACTGAACGGCCGACTGATACTTGTCACTTCGACCTTGCTTCCTCCTGTGCCAATCCACCGCTTCCTCTGCACCCACAGAACCACTCACAATCATGTCTGCCACTGTCGAGGAGATCACCGACGACGTTCAGGACGTGAGTGGTTCCTCGGCCGTGCACTCCGTCGCACGAGCGCATACCTGCTCTTCTCACATCTATTCTGGACTAACCCGCGATCTTGTCCTGGTCCTCAACGATGCCCTCTGCCCCTTCCACGACACGTTCAGCTCAACGTCCAGGAGAACGTCGACCTCGAGGAGGGAGGCGAGGTCTCGGTCACCGACAAGGTCCAGTCCCGTGCCGAGCGCAAGAGCCGCAAGGCCCTCCAGAACCTCGGCCTCCAGCGCGTCCCCGGAATCACCCGCGTCACCATGCGCCGTCCCCGTGGCGTGAGTAGCGCGGTAGCCAGACAGAAGCACACGACAGCTCGGCGAGCCAGTGCGTCGACACCGCATATTGAGGGCTGTCGGTCGAGATGCGACGGCCATCAGACTAGCATCGCAACCTCTCGAGCTGTCGGAGCAGTTGGGGACCGACGGGACGGCTAGCCTTAGTACAATGCCGGGCCTTATCGTCGTCAGCGGTCACTGACCTCGCACCCTTTGCCCCCTGGCTCTTCCCGCACCGTAGCACCTCTACGTTGTCTCGCAGCCCGAGGTGTACAAGTCGGCTCACTCCGACTGCTACATCGTCTTCGGCGAGGCCAAGACCGAGGACATGAGCCAGTTCGCCCAGGCCCAGGCCGCCCAGCAGATGGCCCAGGCTGAGGCTCAGGAGCGCATGCTCGCCGAGGGCTTCGCGCAGCAGGGCGCCTCGGAGGAGAAGAAGAAGGCCGAGGAGGAGCCCGAGGAGGACGACGACTCGCCCATCGACGAGACCGGCGTCGACGCCAAGGACATTGACCTCGTCATGCAGCAGGTGAGCACCTCGGCCGGCGATAGGCCAACGAAAGATCGCCCCGAGCGCCATTGCCGTTGTTCTTTGCTTTGGCCGTGGGACTGACAGCAGATCACCCCGAACCTCTCGTCTGCCTGACTTTGACAGGTTTCTTGCTCCCGCCGCAAGGCCGTCAAGGCCCTCAAGGAGAGCAACGGCGACCTGATCAACGCCATCATGAGCGCCAGCTAAACGGCTCGCCTCTGCGCGCCTCGTTTGCTCCTCGGCTCGGCAGGAACAGGCGGTCAGGAACTGGGCGGACGGCCTCTCTGCTTCCGACACCAACCTACTCACCACCTCGTTTCCGCCTCTGTGCGTTGTCTTGTAGCACACCCTCCTGCCCTTTTTGCCGTCTTGCTGTTCGACCCCTCTTTACCCCTCCATCGACCCAAAAAAGGAAATGGCATGATGGTGGCTGCAAGATTCGCGCGTGGTCGACAGGTTGTCGTGCTCGTTCCGGTCGCGCTATGGTAGGGTTCGTGCTGTCGGCAGTGGAAAGAGCGGCGCCTGACCGAGCCGCAAGGCGGCCGTGTTCTTGGATCGGGTCGAGACAGACTCCACCGACGTCGCGCGCACGTTGGAAGGAGAGTGCTGCGGCCAGATCCGATATGGCCAAGTCTGCAAGACACAAGCAGCGTCGATGGTGACGATGACCAGTCGGGGTCGGCATCCGTAGGATGGCGGCCGATGATTTCTACCATCGAGGCATGGACGAGACCTCATGTCAGGGCGGGCACAAGTGAGGTCGCAACTTGTCCGCCGGCCCCTGCTGCATCTCACGACGACGAGGATATTTCTTGGCGCGGATCAAGAATCCCGGGCGATGAGCGACACTAAGGCCGCAGACGATCTGGTGAGCCCAACAGGGTAGTTGTGGCGACTGATGGCGCGTCAAGGAAGGAAATGCCATCACCGGTGAGCTTGACAGCATTTTTTGGGCGCCACTTATCCAAGAGATTGCGTTCCCAAGCGGGCCTGTCCTGCTCGAGAAGCGCTTCGACACAATCGGAGATCGCGGCGGGCTCATAGGCTTACATACACACACTTCGGTTCCAGTCAACGTTCCTCCGCGACAGGCCGGTTTCCTTGCGCGGAGGCAAGAGCAAGGAGAACGACGGTGGGCGGAACACGTTTCAGTGGAAGCTCAATTATTCGGTGGAAGCTCAATCGTTCAGTGAAAGCTCAATTGTTCAGTGCAACGGTCGCCACGCAACGATGCGTATATGCAGGGATCGTATGAACCAGAACCAACGCAACAACGAGCTGGAAAGACGAGGAAAGCCTAAGAGACCTAGGGTCGGGACAGTGACAGCCAAGGAGGCGTCCAGAGCAACGTGGAAGCGCAACAGGGGGCTTGTCGAGGGGGAAGCCCAAGGGACAGAGCGGTAGACGAGTGCGGCGGCGGCAACAACCGCCGCCGCGAGCAACGTCCTCCATGCGCCTCGCCCGTTCCTCTCCCTGCTCGTCTCGTGACACCCTGGATTCCGCCATCTTGCAAGCAAACCCCTCCGCTTCTGCTCGAGTTGCATCGGGTGCTGCTCAGATCCGGGAACAAGTGTGGATGTAGGCAGCCTGACATAGCCCCTGTGCGCGTCGAGCAAGACCAATGATGGGCAGAAACTTCATTCTGATATCGCGAGATGTTTGTGAGGAATTCAAACTGACAGGCAGGGGGGCTGCTGAAATTGAGAGAAAGTTGAAGGTGGTCACGAAGACGATGAGGGATGAGGGGATGGCGGTGAAGACAGACAAGAGAGGCTCGTCCTTATGTACAAAAGAGATCGGGTTGAGGCTCACTTCATTGAGCTGATGACCTGGAGAACAAAGGAGCCGTCTAGCATTTTGCCCGCAAACTTGCCGGATGTGGTAGAGGGGGGTTGGGGAGGTAAGCAGCGAGCTGGGTGTGCAAGAGACGAGACTACTGCATCTATGGATCGACACCCACTCTGGACGGCCCGGTCCGCGCCCCTCGACTGTGCCGCTCGCTTGCTTGTCTGCCTGACGCGAGCTACTTATGCTGAAAACCTCCCCCGGCCCCGTTTGCGGTGATACGACAGCTTGCATGATGGTCCAGAGTGACTGGGAACGATAGGACCGGGATGGATGGGTTGGATGCTCTCAGAGCGGGCTTTCTGCGCGACAAGGAAAGTCAACTCAATGGCGAGAGTGGTGTATGTACATCGGCGAGAGCGTGTGATGTGCGGCAACGTTGTGGCAGCAACGTCGTAGCCAAGGCTCGCAGGGGCGGGCGAGGGTGAATATCAATTGTCCACCGGTACCGCTGTGCCGTCGTCGACAGAGAGTAGCGTTGGCTACACGCCATGGCATTCAGCGCAAGCTTGATATCGGAAAGCAGAGTGCGGCAAAGGGGCGAAGACGACGCTAAACAGTTGGACCGGCGCCGAGTCATAACGTCCGTCGTCAGCGTCGTCGTGGGCCTGTTCTGCTGCCGCGCGCTGGCGGCGGCTGTTGCGTGGCTCAGTTCAGTGGCTGTTCTCGGCGAGTCGGTGGACAGCCGCCGAGGGTGTTTTCGAGACCGGCAATAAGAATGCGGCCCGCGACCTCGACGCGGGTCCCCGCGCGGTCGGGGGTGCTTTGTATGGCGTGATGGTGCTGAGTCGCTGCAGGCGTAGCATGAGTTGGCGTGGGGGAAGCAGCCGTGCGTGGAGTCAGCCCTGCCCAGCCCGCCTGGCACCCGCCCCGAGGCCGCGGCCAAAGGAAGAAAGAAAAAAATCCAGGCGGCTTGACGCAAACGCAGGCAGGCAGGGGAATTCGGAATCGGGCCATCCGAGAGGCAGAGGCTAAGGCCGAGCGGGGAACACGGAAAGGGTCCGCCTGCTGCATGGCAAGGCAGGCTGAGCGGCCTCGTTGACCTCCTCCTCGCCCCCTCGCCCCCTCGGCTCCTCGCTCTTGCCCTCGTCTTCACACTCAATAGACGCCCTCGGCCCGGCCCTTGCGACACGCTCTTACACACTACTGACGACGACGAAGACCGGCTGAATCGCAGTTGGAAGCAAGCAGCGCCCACACCGACTTGCTTCTACTCGGTCCATTCCGTCGCCGTAGCACATCGACGGACGCCGCTGCCGCCGCCGCTGCCGCCGAGGATGTCGCCATCATCCTCGCCCAACGGCGACGCCACCGCGGCCTTGCACCGGCGCTCCGAGTACCTCACTGGCATCCTGCTCCTCCTCGTCGTCGTCATCCTCTGGACCGCCTCCAACTTCCTCACCAACACGGTCCTCACCTCGGGCTACGACAAGCCCTTCTTTGTCACCTACGCCAACACCTCCAGCTTCGCACTCTACCTCGTCCCCTTTTTTCTTTCCACCCGCCTGAGGGCAAAGGTGTTTGGCGGGGCCAGGACGGATCGACTGGGGGCGCTCAGGCTCGATGCAGTGGGCGAGGCCGACAGCGAATCGGCGAGCGAAGGGTGGCTCAAGAAGCTCGGGTTCGATCTGCCCCCTTCCCCGTCCGGCCCCGGTCGGGACGAAGGCGAGAGTGAGGCAGAGAGGGGCACCTACCGATCAGTGGCCAACGACGACCGTGCCGCCGCACCTCGATCCAGCAGTCCCTTGCTCTCCCGCCCCACGTCGACGTACAGCACCAGCGCACGCCGCATCTCCCTCACCAACGCGATCCGGCCCAATCTCGACCGACCACGCTCTCTGCGCGCTTCCAACGCCTCGCTCGTCTCGCACTCGGCGCGGCCCTCGTCGATCGATGGGCGGCGCCCTCGCACAGAGATCCCGGTCTTTGCTGAGATTGGCGAGGGCGACCTGACTGCAGCCGCCATCCCGCCAGACACGTTGCCGCCGCTCACGCTGCGCCAGACGGCGGTACTGGCGTGCCAATTCACCATGGTCTGGTTCGGCGCAAACTGGAGCATCAACGCCGGCCTTGGCCTCACCTCGGTCGCCAGCGGCACCACCATCGGCAGCGCCAGCGGCTTCTTTACGCTCGGCCTCGGCGCGCTGCTGGGCGTTGACAAGTTCACAGTGGGGCGCATCGGCGCTGTATCGATGTCGTTTATCGGCGTGATGCTCGTCACGGCGGCCGATGCCGGCAGCAGCATGAGCGGCGGCGGAGGTGCCGGCGGTCTGGTGTCCGCCTCTTCGTCGCTCGTCAAGCGGGCAGTGGATGGCAGCGGTGCCGCCGATGGTCCCATGGCCACGCTGACAGCAGCCGCTTCGCCCATCAACGCACCGCTGGGCGACATGCTCGCGCTGCTGTCGGCGTTCCTGTACAGCATCTACGTGATGCTGCTCAAGGTCAAGATCGGCAGCGAGGACCGCATCTCGATGCCCCTCATGTTTGGCATCGTGGGCGCCTTCAACATTGTCGCCCTCTGGCCCATTGGCGTGCTGCTCCACGTCACGGGGGTCGAGACGTTTGCACTGCCGCAGGACGCGCGCACCTGGGCTGGCGTCGTGGTCAACATGTCGATCACGCTCGTCTCCGACCTCGTCTACCTCATGGTGAGTCGCGACGATGGCGAGAGGAGGGGACATGGCAATCGTCGAGCTTGCCGGGCAAACCGAGCGGGCTCATGAAGTGCTCGAAGGATGACCGATTGACTGACCGATGACCCTCCCCGTCACTCTGCCCCCCTTGATGAACGCGCAGGCCATGTTGAAATCCTCTCCGCTGGCATCGACGCTAGGGCTATCGCTTACCATCCCACTGGCGGTAGCGGGCGACGTGTACCGAGGATCTCACTCGGGCGGGCGACAAGCCGCGCTGGGGAGCATCTTGGTGCTCGGCAGCTTTGTGGCCATCGGAATCGCCGACAACATCGCGCTGCGCGACGAGGCGTCCCGCTACGTCTCGATCGGCGACGAAGACGAAGAAGACGACGATGAGACACTGTCACAGGCCACCACTGACGAGGAGCAGGGGTCGGGAGGGAGACGGTGGAGTCGTAGCCAAGACGGCGAGCAGCAGGAGCAGGAGCACGAGGAAGGTGCGATGAGGTCGAATCGAGACGGCGCATCGTCACCGCGGCTCTCCCGCGAACACGCTGCCGTCCAGGGGATAGAAGGAGACGCAGCGCAGCCGAGAGGCAGGCGGACACAGAGATGAGTTCTTCCTCGCCGTGTCCGGCATGTGGAATAGAAGCAGCAGATGCTCGAATCGAGTCGAGTCGAGTCGAGTCGAGTTGATTTCAACGTTTGTCCCCGCGCGCACGAGAGAGGAGAGAGGAGAGAGGAGAGAGAGAGAGAGAGCGGATGTGGTGTGTGTGCCAAGGGTAAAGGGAGTGTGTTGGTGCCGGCCGGTGTCTGTCGACGATAGCTGAACAGTGGCAGGGAAGGGTGAGAGGGGTAGAGAGAGTGACAGGGAAAGGAGGGTCCTTCCGGATGATGGTACGCAATCGATAAGAGGAGAAAGGGCCGTAGCGATGCGATGACAGCCTCGAGGTCGGCACCAGGCTAATCTCGCGCTGCCGACAGTAGTGCCGTCGACGCCCGCTCTAGTAGATGTTCCAGCTCTTCCTCCACTTGAGCCCCTTGATCTTGTGGATATCGCCATCGAAGCCGTAGCTGTTGCCGCGGAACCACCAAAACACGCCGACGACGACGAGCGAGGCGGCGAGGAACGACGCGTTCTTGACGCCCTGGCTCAGCGGCTGCCTGCGCACGGCACGTCGCTTGACACCGCCACCGCCGGCGGCGACGGCGGCATCTACGCTGGCGAAGCGGTACCAGGCGGTGGTATCGTTCCAGAGGAAGTGGTCGAGGAGGTGGGCGAGCATGAGCACCTGGAAGTAGAGGATAGGCAGGTGGTGGTGCAGATAGCACACGCGTCCGAGCGACAGCATGGGCGCATAGTGCAGGATCCAGCCGAAACCCGCCACCTTGCCGACGTAGACAAAGTGGTCAAAGTCGCGCGGGCTGAGGTCCTGGATGCGCCGCTGCTGGCGCATCAGGTACCACAGCAGCGTCACCACGAAAGCGCCGAGCGAGAGCGACGACGTCCACCAGATGGCCGGGTTGCCGATGAGGTAGTACTTGGTGCTGTTGTCGGCCCACGAGTTCATGCGCAGGCCGTTCCAGAGGAAGGGCCAGTCGAACGGCTTCGACGCCAGGATGTCCTCCTTGTCGGCGTCGGGAACGAGCGCGTTGTTGGACGTCATCATGGCCACGTTGAGGTGGATAAAGTCGCGCAGGAAGGGCGAGCGGTAGAGCTGGTTGTTGCCCTCGGGCAGCTTCGTGTTCCAGTGGTTCTCGATGTTCCACCACGTGTGCTCGTCGCGCGGGTTGTTTTCCTTGTCGCACGACACCTCGACCTGCTTCCAGCCCCACTGCGGCAGGATGGCGTTGGCGGCGCGCATGTAGCAGCCGAGCTGCTGGTGGCGCAGCCGCATGCGCGTCGTCAGCGAGCGGATTGGATCGCCCTTGGCCACCTTGCCGTGGACCATGTCGTCGACCACTTCCACCACCCAGTGGTCCTTTTCGTCGCCCACGACGTCGTCGCCGTAGCCCGAGATCTCGTAGTTTTCCTTGGTCACGGGGGCCGCGATGGCGTGCGAGTGGATGTTGCGTCGGGTCATGTTGTGCACCAGGCGGATCGTGTCGCCCGCCTTGAGCATGCGCGGCGGCTGCGACGCCGCCTCAGTGTCGTTGGCCGCCGGCAGCTGGGGCTCGTTCCAGGGCGGCGTGATGACAAACTCGTTGTTCTCGTCCTTGTAATGGTAGCACGTCACCTGCTGCTGCTCGGAGCCCGTGGGGTAGGTCTGGATGTGCGAGTGGAGCAGGCCGCCGCCGTAGCCCATGTTTTTGAGCGTGATGCGGCTGCCAAACGCGGCCTCGGGCGGCGACTTTGCAAAGTCGTTGCCGCGCAGGTGCGACTGGAACAGGCTGCTCATCTGGGCGTCGCCGGGTCCGGATCCGCTGAGGATGAGGAAGTGGAGCTTGAACGAGGCCATGTAGACGCTGACCGGGATGACGATCAGGCAGAGGATACGCGCGCACCAATGGCGGGCGTAGGTGCGGGCGGGCATGCGGAGGTCGCCCAGCTTGTCCCAGAGGTCCTCGACGGTGAAGACGCCGACCAGGGCGGTGACAAAGAGGCCGACCCACTTGACGCTCGACACGCAGCCAATCGAGAAGCCGGTAAAGGTGAGCCAGAACCACCACATGTGGCTAAAGGGGGCGTGGCGGTACTGGTTGAACATGACGAGGCCGTGGACGGTGGCAAAAGTGAAGCAGAGGAGCATCGAGTCGAGCAGGATGAAGCGCGAGATGACGAGCCAGCCATTGTCAAAGAGGACCATGAGGGCGAGGAGGTGGCGGGCGCGCCAGTTCCAGCCCAGACCGCCGCTGGTGAACCAGGCGAGGGGCACCATTGCCACGCCAAACAGGGCGAGGATGACGCGCATGCCGACATAGTTGACGTCGGCCGGGTAGACCTCGCCGGACTTGAACTCGAACTGGCCGCGGTAGCCGCTCAGCAGGCCCGCGAGACCGACGAGCATCTTTCCGAGCGGGGGGTGAACGTCAAAGTAGAACTCCTGTTTGAGGTAGTGGGAGCCGAACTTGCCGAAATGGGCCTCGTCCCAGATGACGGTGTTGCTGCGCCCGATGCCCCAGAGGCGGGTTACGAGCGCGAGCAGCGTGTAGACGAGGCCGACAAACTCCTCCTGCTCCATGAGCCATGCCAGCGTCTCGAGGTGCGAGGGCGCGGGCTTGTGGACGGGGATCATGTTGGCGTACTTGCTCGACTTTGGCGGCATGGCGGCGCCGCCGGCGCTGAAGCCGGCCTCTGCGGCCTTGTCGTAGGCGGCCAGGTTGGTGGTGGATCCGGTGCGGGAAGCGGCCGCCGACGAGGCGTTCGAATCCGAGCCATTGGCGCCGTACGGGTCGAATCCGCCCGCTGCGAACCGCCGGGTGGCTGACGCCGGGCTGCCGTTGGCTGCGGCCGCCCTGCTGTTGACGGCCGAGGACACGTCCATGTAGCCGAAATGGGAGGCTGGGGGCGAGTGGGTGGGTAGGATGGATTGGTTGTCGTCCTGGTCAATGTACCGCTTGCGCCAGGCAGGGGGTGCGTCTTGGTAGGGCGATGCCGTAGCCGCGGCGGCGTAGTCTTCGCTGCGGTCGAGCGGGTTGTTTGGCGCGGTCGAAGGGAGGGTGTCGGAGGTGAAGGCCGTGGCGCTGCTCTGACGAGAGTGGAGCTGGCTGCTGTAGGGCGGAGGTCCGCCGAAGCGTCGGAAAGCGGCCGGGTTGGTAAAGTTTGACGAGGTGGAAGAGGTGGGCGACGAAGTCGTGCTTGCGCTGGCCGCAACTTGGCCGTTCAAATCGACAGCGGCGAAGCCAGGGTGCTGGTGGTGCTGACGCTGCTGCTGTCGCTGCTGCTGTCCGCTGCGCAGACCAGGCGAGGAGATAGCGTCGTTGGAGGCTGAGGCGTTGGTGTTGGTGGTGGTGGTGGTAGACGGCGTGGGCGTGAAGGGTCTTGGTTGCGACTGCATACCTGCCGTTGCCGTCGGCGGGAGAAGCTTTGCTGTCGGCGATTCCGGGAGGTCGCCGTGTCACAGAGTCAGCTGCCTGCCAGTCTGCCTGTGTGGTTGTCTTGTCGGGCCAAAGCGCCTGCCGACGTGGCTTTCTTGATAGAACGCTTCGGAGCGGAGGTGGGTGGTGGGTGGTGGGTGGTGGGTTGTGCAGCGGCGCCGGTTTCGGAAGTGTGCCGATCCGCCGAGCCTGTCAAGACCTTTGAAGACCGGACGAGATGGAGTAGTCGATCTGCTTGGGAGCGCTCCCTTGGCCTGATGAGCAGCGGTGGCGGGAGAAGACGAGGGAGATGGGTTGAACAGATATGGTTCGGGTGCAGGCCGAGGCAAGGCGATGGAGCGAGCGCAAGCTGGGTCAGTTCAGGTCGGGCCAGGTAGGTCAGAAGGCTTGGCTTGGGCCCTGCCTGACCCTGGCTCGCCTGGTGCCAGGCTGTTGGTTGCACCCTGCCGGTGGGCCTAGCCCTCTGCCGGTCCACACAGCCTTGCTTGCTTGCTTGGCTCTTGCTTGTGGGTTCTTGGTTCCCGCCTCGGCCACGGGCCACACCGAGGCGGGCACGGGCGCGACCCTCCTCCGCCCTGTCGCCCGGCCTGGAGAATCGCCCTTTCCTCGACGGCAGCCTGCCCGCGCACCATCCGTCCAGACGAGCCCGAGTGTAAAGGTAGTTAGTCTGAGGCTGCCAGCCAATACCGACGCCGAGCTGCTCTTCTCCTCGTTTCCGACCCCGTCGCAGGTACTGGAGGCGGCCTTGGCCTGCGGCGCGCGGCCCGAACAAGCATCCCTCTGGATCTGCTGGTGGTCTCCGCGATCCCGGGGGGCTTCCTCTGCCGTCACAGCGACGGGGACGCTCGGATCCGAAGCACGCCGCGTGGACCCGCCCGCCCGCGCTTCTCCACTTTTCCTAGAAGGTCGCTTGGCTGGCCTGCCAGCCGGCCAAGCTGGCTCGTTTGGCGCGCTGGCATCCGTCCACCTCCAACTCCAGTTCCGACATCTTCATCGGCCGCCCGGGACCACCTCGCACAACCGTCTCGCTGCATCACCACACACGATGAGCGACACTTCCATCCCAGAGCCCACCTCATCTGCGGCACCGGCAGCAGCGCCGGCTCCCTCGTCGGTCGACTCTGAGCCTGCCGCCGCCGCCGCTGCCGCCGCGACTGCCCCGGGAGAGTCTTCGACGGATTCGACATCGGTCGACGCCGAGACGCTGGCGCGACAGAAGCGCGAAGCACGCAAGGCTCGTATCCTCTCCAAGGGCTCCGACCGCCTCGCGCGCATCACCAACACAGGACGTGGGGAGGGTGCATCCGCCTACCTCGACGCATCGTCGCCTCTGGGTCCTTCGCGGCCTTCGAGCGCCGTCTCGTCCACCCCGGCGTCCCCCGCCCCAGGAGCGGCAACAGCAAGAGCGGGCGCAGCCGCACCCGGTGCGGACGAGGATCCGATGGAAGTCGACATCTCCACCCTCCCCACCATTTCTTCCGAACAGGTGAGGAGGGGCGAGGCCGCGTCCGGGAACCCTTTCCTCGACATGGGTGGCGCTGGTGGACCGAGCGGGAACCCGATGGAGGCTCTCATGGCCATGATGCAAGGCCAGGGCGCTGGAGGAGGTGGTCCTTTCGGCGCGGGTGGCCCGGGTATGGGCCCAGAGGGCGCACAGGGACCGCCAAACCTCGAAGGCCTGCCTCCCCAGCTGGCGGCCATGCTGCAGAACATGCCTGGCTTCGGCGGCGGCGCGGGCGGTGCCGGTGCCGGTCCCGGCGGCGACGCACAGGGCCCCCCGACGGCGCTGCGCGTCAAAACGTTGCCGGAACGTCTGTTTGACGTGCTGCAGGCAGGCCTGGTCGTGCTGCTGGCCATCTACTTTGCACGCTCGTCGCTCTTCAACGACGATCACTCGTCGTTTGCGTCGGACGTCGCGTCGGCCTCGACGCTGCACACGTCGGCCACGTCGGCCACATCGACGCTGCACCGCTGGGCACGACTGGGCTACGAGCGGCCGCTCGAGTCAGAGTGGACCTTGACCAACCTCAGCCTCAGCCTCGGCGCCGGCGGGACGGCCTTCCCGCTCTTCTGGATCTTTATCACGCTCGAAATCGCGCTTCAGGCCATGCGCGTCGTCCTGTTTTCCTCAAAGACGCCGCCGCCGCCCTCGATGCTCGGCATGCTCGCCGGCCTGGTCCCCATCCCCAACTTTGCCCTCTACGTCCGCCTCGCCGCCAAGTACGTCGCCCTCATCAACGCCTTTGTCAACGACCTCGCCGTCGTCGTCTTCGTATTCGGCCTCGCGGTGCTATGGGCTGGCTGGAAGGTCGGCATCGACGCCGTCGGACCCGCCGCGGCCTTGGTCAGGGATGAATTGTAGCTTCGCACGCGCATGCACGGCGGCGCGGCGCGGCGGCCATTGAAGCCGTATGCACGTGAATTCAAACGTTGGACGCCATCTGTGTCACGTGTGGATCTGAGGACCAGCGAGGACGGTCAAAGATGGTACGTGGGTATGGATTCACGGTCCCTATCGGTCCCCATCGGAGTGTGTCGACTCGTCGGACCGCTTTAGATCACTCGATCCTGATCTTGAGCGCCTTCTCAACAGCCTGTCGGGTGGGCGCGAGTGCCTGCCCTCCATCACGTCGTAGAGGAGACAGGGACCGATCAGTAACCGCACGACAGACTCAGCTTCGTCGGCATGCAGCGGACGGGGAAAAGGAACTCACGGTAGCCACCTTTCTCGCCGCATCGACGCCATGCTCCTCCTCCGCCTCGAGCTGGACATTCTGCATCTTGTCCAGCGACTTTTCCAGACTCGAGACCATCTTGCGCGCTCGCTCTAGCCTCTCCTCCTTTTCCCTCTCCCTAGCCGCATCTCCCGCTACACCTTCAGCATCGACGCCGGCGGCGGCCGAGGAGGAGGACGAGAGGTTGGAAGCCTGCACGTCTTTCCAGTTGGTCGCCTTGTTCTCTGCCGCGTCCCCCAGAGGTGCAGAGCTCGGAGAGAGGCATGACCATAGCTGTCGGAGGAACTCGGTCGTTGACGCCTGGATCGATGTTGTCGTCTTTTGCAGCGTCGCTGGTAACGTCTCTGCATTGAAGCAGGCGCGAAGCGGGCCAGGGGGGCGAGAGGGGACGGATCAGGTCAGCAAGCCACTCGTCGATACCGTCCGTCACTCCACGAGCGATTGGTCGACCCACTGAGATCGTTGACGCCCCTATCCGTGGTGCGGCTGCGGACGTTGCGCAGCATCACCTTCATCGCCACCTCGCTCTCGCCCTTGCGCGGCTTGTAGTCGCCCAACTGGGGCATCCATCCCTTGATGTCGGCATCGAACCGTTCGACGGTGGCGCGCACCTCTTCGATCGTGCGCGGGATGCTGCCGTCGTCCTCGTTGGCCCGTTTGCGCTTCCGTCCCACCCCTTCACCCGCCGCCTCGTCGGCTCCATTGGCCACCGACTGGTTGCGGTCCTGGCTCTGCGGATACCCGTCGAGCTCGCTCACGTTGAGCCGCACTCGCTCCGTCCGTTCGGACTCGTTGAGATCGTCGATTTCAATCTCGCGGTAGTAGCGAGCTTTGATCGCCTCGACATTCTCTCTCGCGGTGGGGTCGTTGGCGTCGTACTCCTCGCCCACGCCACCGACGACGCGGCGGGCGCGACGCTCGGCCTCCTCCTGCTCGCCCAGGGCCGAGTCGAGCAGCGATTGGGAATGATCGTTGAAGCGGCGCATAAGCGGCAGCGTCCTGCGCTCGGCGCCGGCACGCATGGTCCAGTCCTTGGTGTTGCCCGTCTCCTGGTGGTCCTCTTCGGTCGCCGCCAGGTCGAGCAAGCGGTCGTGCGGGTTGCGCAGGCGGCGCGGCTCGAGCTGGTCGTCCTCGTCCTCGAGGTACTTGTCAAAGACGGGATCGTCCTGGACAATGTGCTCCGATGCAGCTGACCGCGCCGACGTGCGGAGGCGGTGGTACAGCTTGGACTGGAAGTAGCGCTGCCAGAAGGCACTCTGGTCGAGCTTGGATGGCACGTTCTCCTCGTACGCGCGCGCGACGACGGGGAACTGCTCAAAAATGTCGGCGATGAGCTCGTTGGAGACGTTGAGTTTGAGCTCGCCCGCCTCGTTGTGCGCGGGCTTGGGGTCTGCGAGGCGGGCGTTGCGGCCTCGGCGCTGCTCTAGCCTTGCGCGCTCTGCGCGGATGAGCGCCTGGCGCTGTGGATGAGACCAAAAATCCTCGTCTTTCATGGCGCCGCCGATAACGACGACGTCCATGTGAAGGTTGCGCAGGTTCTTGTCGGAACGGAGGACGCTGACGCGCAGCTTATTGTCTGTGAGGGGCATGAGCGGGTCTGAGGCCGTGTCGCTGCGCTTGGCGAAAGACTGTCCTGGTGAGCTCAAGCCGGAGCTGGAGGCGACGTCCGGAGTGGCGACTCGCCTGGCAGCCGGGGCGGGCGATGAGGGGACCGAAGGTGGACGCGAGCTGGCGAAGCCCGCAGTGAGCGGGGTCGAGGAGCCGCTGGCGCTGGCGCTGGCGGCTGGCTGCTGCTGTGCTGCCCTGTTGTTCATGATGGCGGTGGTGAGCTCGCTTTTGAAGGCTTCGCGGTTGTCGAGAGCGGTCTGCGGCTCTGCGTTGAAGATGAGGAGCACCTTTGACTTGCCTGCGACCTGGGCGCCGTTTGCCAAAGCGACCATGAGAGCGGTCTGCTCTGCGCCCTGCTTCGATGTCTGGAGGCCGGCGATGTCGACGTAGTTGATGGTGAAGGCGGCGACGCTCGAGGATGTGGTCGAGGGGGTCCAGGAGAGGGTGCCGTTTGCGTGCGCGGCTAAGGTGCCGGCCACCTGCTTGAATGCGACGGCCGCATGCAGGTGTGCAGTGGAAGAGGTGGCCATGAGGGGAAATTTGGCGTCGAGGGAGTGGATTGCAGAAGATGTTGGCTGTGATGATGGAAGGAGGCTAGGGTGCGTGCGGGGAAGAGGCGAAGCCACAGGCCGGGGCAAGGGAGGGGTGGGCCATCAGGCCGGCTGGAAGCGGGCGCGGAAGTCACGAGTGAAGTTGCAAGTGGAGACGTCCGGATCCGCCCCAGTCGCAGCAACAGGCGCACGCTCATCAAGCTGTGCTGGCTGCGCACGAGCCGCCCTCGCTCCTCTTTGCCCGGGTCCCTTTCCTTCCCTCTCCCACCCCGGGACCACCATCGCATCGAGCCTTCTGAAGTCGGTCTTCGTCAACGCACCGGTCATCGTCAAGACACCTCACTCGACCATACCCGCAAGCGCAACAGCAATGGAAGGCTAGCCTGGAAAAGCAGCAGAACCGCAGTCTCATCCTCCCGCTCCGCCCCTCGACGCTGCCGGCCACGATGTTTTCCATACCCCGCCGTCTCCTCTTTGGCGACCAGTCCAAGCTCGACTTCAAGCTGGACGCCGTCAACGGATTCGCCCGGCTCTACAGCGAAAGGCATATCCCCTACCACGACAGCCGATACTGGTCCGGCTTCCTCCAATTCGACTCGCCCTCGGACATCTTTTCGCTGCTTAGCCTCGCAGACCTCCGAAAGGCCCGCCAGCATGCACCCGAGAACATCGTCACCCTCGTTCGCGTCCTCGTAGCCCACCTCGAGAGCCTCATCGTCGATCCCAGCTTCAGCCCGCCCCCGGCTTCCATGGCCGCACAGGCTTCTGCCGCGTCCTACCTCGGCAGCCTCTCGAGCTGGAGGATTCCCGGCACCGGCGCAGACTCGCAGCAGGGCCAGCAGGACCAACGAGACAGGGCTAGAGAGGCCCTCAACGTCGTACGCATCCTGACCAGGACCTTGCCAGCTGTCCTTGAACACTCTGAGCCGGCTTTCGAGGCAGAAGTATTGTGGAGTCAGGCCCCCGCTGCCTACGACGAGTCGGCAGAGGCAAGGCCAGCCCAGGGGGCAACGTCAACCCCAGTGAAGCAGGCAGCGGCAGGCGCAGACGCAGCCACTGAGAGCCAATTCGTCATTGATGACGATGACGACGAAGACGACGATGACGAGGCCGAAGGCGGAGCCAAGCGACGGAAGTCAGCAAACGGCGCCAAGGGCCCGACTAGCACAGACGAGGACCCGCTTCAAGCCCCTACCACGCCGTCAGTGCAAGGCGCGCGGGAGGACGAGGACGGAGTGCCGCCTGTTGCGCTAGGTGAACGCCTGATCCGCCTCACTATCGACCTTCTCTTCTGCTCTGGCTTCACGATACCCTGGACCGAAGAGCAGCTGACCGACCTGGCACCCGGCCGCTCGCCCAACAAGATCCACTACGCAATCTGGGAGGCCGGCGTGGGCAGCTCGGTCGACCTGCCAGGAACCACGCGCCAGCACACCGCGAATCGTAACGAGGTGCTCCGCCTCTTGCTCGTTCTCCTTTCCAAGAGCATCTACGTGCCGGCCGAAAAGCAGAGCTCCTTTGTCGACCCAGCGCTTCGCTTCACCGTTCAAGAGCTCGAGCGCGGCGTGCTGCTGCCGCTCATGTGCAGTCTGCTCAACACGAGCCTCGCCAACCCACGCAGCTCCGTCTCGGCCTGGCTCGGCCTCCCCAGCGTTGTCGGCGGCGGTGTCGGCAGCGGAGGGAGCGGTGGTGGCGGGGGTGGTGGACTCGGCAGCCTCGGCCTCGGCGGATCGAGCGGCGAAGAGGTGCAGACGTCGCTTGTCTCGCAGAGTCTGCAGGTGCTCGATGTGCTGCTCAGCTACGAGCCGCCGCAGCCCAGCGAAACCGACACCGCCAGCCTAAGCACCCTCGGCCCACCACAGCCGGGCCCGGGTGGCAAGAACATTTTCCGCTTCTATCTCTCCAAGCTGCACCGCGAGGCCGACTTTGACTTCATCTGGACCGGCATGGCACGAAGCCTTGGCGAGCATGTCGCGTCGCCCATCCAGATCCTTGCCATCCAGATCCCAACGACGGGCGGCAGCAGCCGGCGTAACGCGGGCGCCAACTGGCACCTGAACCAGGTGGCCGAGCGGCTCATGCTCCTGTGGCGCCTGCTAGAGCTCAACGCCAAGTTCCGCCACTACCTGCTCGACCACCCTCAGCGCGCGCCCGCGCTCGTCTCGTTCTTGCTCTACTTTGCCCTCACCTACAAGGACAACCTGGCACTTCAAGGCCTGGTGCGCCTGTGCGCCTTCATGCTGCAAGACGTGTCAAGCCATCGCGACCTGGGCGTACAGCTGGCTAAGCCGGGCAGCGCATCGCGCGTCCAGCTGCCCATGTCGAGGCTCGGTCTGGTGCCCGGCGCTACGGCCATCGACGCGCTCGTCCAAGCCGTCTACTCGCTCATTGCAACCACAAAGGGCCAGCTATCGAGCCTTTACCCGCCCCTGCTCATCACGCTCACTAACACCGCCCCGAGCTGGCGGTCTCTCTCGATTACCTCGTCGACCCGCCTCATCCACCTGCTCCGCTCGTTTTCCCAGCCGGCCTTCCTGCTCTCGGATGAGAACAACCCGCGCCTCCTCTTCTACGTCCTCGAGACGATCAACTCGGTCTTTGCGGTGCAGTATGCGGCCAACCCCAACCTGGTCTACGCCTTTGTGCTCGCGCATAAGCTCCTCCCGCCGCTCGAGCATTTCAGCCTGAGGCGCGGGGTCGAAGAGGTGTGGAAGAAGCGCAGGGCGCTCGGCACAGATACCCGCGATTGGTTCGAGGGCGCGCCGAGGCTCGAAAAGGTGCCGCTACCTCCGCCGACATCGTCGTCTTCGCCTTCGTCATCGTCGGTCCCGGTCCCTGACGAAACCGCGTCTGGGACAACTCCGACGGCAGATGGGGAAAAGGCCGACGACGACGAGCGTGGCGATCGACCGGCAACCGCGCTGGAGAAGGGGAAAATGCGTCGCATCTCGACTTCATCGTCATCGACGGCGGCAGCGGCAACAGCAGCGGCCGCCGCGGCCGCGGGAGGCGAGTGGCAGAGCGAGTTGTCCAAGTACTCGGACGAGACCGTCGAAGCAGCGGCGCGCAAGTACATTGGCAAGAACGGCTTCCGGCCCACCCAGGCGTGGGTCGAGAGCTGGCAGTCTGGGTAAGTCTGTGCAATCGCTCGCCGAGCTTCTGTCGTCGTCCCGTGTCGAAATGGAGATATGATGCTGACCCCATACAAATTGGTGAAAATCGGTCCCTTCCTTCTCGCGACGACGATTCAGGTTACCGTTGCATCCGCTCCGTCTCGTCATCGACCGGCTGCTTCCCGAAGTGGAACGGATCGCATCCGGCGCCGATGGATCGTCTTCCCAGTCCAACCCCGCCGGCGGCGGTGGCAATGTCGACGAAAAGGTGCTCGCCTTTATCCGCGAGCAGGACATGACCGGCTTCCTGCCCCCGCCACCCAACGGTATCCGTGAGTGACATCTTCGGTCCTTTGATGGTTGAGCGGCCTCATCGACGCGGGCGGGATAGTCGCTAGACTGCCCTCTTCCCTCTTCCACGATGCGATCGGCCAACCTTGCATGCGTCGTACAGATCCGAGACCGTGGCAATGGACGCTCCATGCTTCCATCTGGCTCAAGAGCTACCTGTGGGGCACGATCTACGTCTCGAGCCTACTGCCCTAGTAAGTCCCCCCACTTCGCCTCCTTGACTCAGAGATCGATGCACTGACACCCCGACCGTTCCGCCATCTTTCAGCGGCGTGTGGGCAGATACCCAGATAGCCCTCTTCCGCATCCACGAACGTCCAGACCCAAGCGCCGCCGCTCACAGGGCGCCGCCGGCTTCGGGATCCAGCACGCCCTCTTCCACGCCGGCCTCGAACCCTATCGCGTCAACGACTGGCGGTGGTGGATTGAGCGATGCGACGAGACAGGATCTCGGCCTCGCCACGCCCTCGTCGGCCAAAAACGAGAACGCAGCGGCAAGCAAGGACGACGAGACAAAGGCGGAGGAAGTCGAGATGAAGTAGATTCCGCTTGCTTTGTCTGCACCGACGTCGCGCTGCTTCCACCACGCCGTCATCGTCGAGACAGGCTCGATGGAAGCGAGATTGGCGCTCGAAGGCAGGACACGGTATTGATATCTCGATGGCGGCCAAAGTCTTTAGTCGATCTGCATCGGCACCCTCGCCACGTCCTCGACCGTATTGTCCGAGAGCACATCGTCCTCGCGCGCCTCTGCCGCCGGCTCATCTCCCTCCTCGCCCTCGAGCGCACCGTCGAGGGCGAGGTGCGGCGGCGAATTGAGCAGCTCATCGCCCTCATCCTCATCCTCGACACCCCTCACCTCGTCCGCTGCCCCCGCTGCGCCGCCATGCGCATACCCTCGGCGGAACTCGACCGCCGTCCTGCGTCCGAACGGGTCAAAGTTGGTCGTCATCGGCCTCGCACCGCCCGGCGCGGATCCGGGCACCCTCCGCAGCGGATCGTCGCGGAAGGAGGACGACGACGTCGAGTGGATCGGACGGAACTGGGGCGAGGTAAAGTAGAGCGGGTGTCGGTGTCCCGCGCTGCTGCCGAGGTCGTACGACGACGACAGGTCGGTCGGTCGCGCCCCGACGCGTGTCTGCGAAGAGGCGCGGACCGACGAGACGGGCCGCATCACCTCGGGCGACGTGCTAAAATTGAGCAGCAACGCCGCGGCCGACGTGTCGCTATCGGCCAACCCGGGCACCGCGCGGTGGTCAGCATGACCTGCGGAGCCGTCGGGAGCCCCCGATGAAGCCTCGACATCGCCGGCGTCCCTTCGAGATGGCGACGGCGTGTTGCCGCTGCTGCTGATGGCAGTCTCGGACGACCGCGGCGAGCGCGTCTCGCGCATCCCGCTCTCGGCGCCGTAGCTCGAGTAGGGCGTCACGCTCGCCGTGCTCGTTCGCGCCCGGCTCGCGGCAGAGTAGGCCAGCGGGTTGAACGGGACAAAGTTGGGCGACTTGAGCGAGAGCTGCTTGAAGAGGAACGAGCTCGAGTCGCGCCTCTGCGGATCGCCTGGCGTGGGCGCTGTTGCCGAAGCCGCAGCAGCACCAGTGCTGGGCATCGGGCCGTGCGAGGATAGGGGCAGCGCGGCCGGCGGCAGGGGCTGGAAGCCGTAGGCCTTGTCCGTCCGCTTGGAGCCCATGTCGCCGAGGAGGATGGGCGACTCGGCGCTGAGCGACATCATGGGCGACGACATGGTCGTCATGGCAGTCGTCGCCGGCGAGATGAGGAGCGGCGTGTTGTGGCCGAGGCTCATGATCGGCGACGTCTCATCGCTGTCGCGGCTGGAGCTGCTCGAGCCGTGCGCTCGGCGGCCGCGAGCCGACGATGACGCTGCCCCGCGCTGCACGGCGGGACGGATGGATGCGGGGCGGGTGGCGGTGCTCGTCCGTCGCTTCGCCATCGGCTGTTGACCCTCGTCGGCAAGCTCGTCATCGCCGTCGTCGTCGTCGTCGAGACCACTAGCGTCGCCGTCTTCATCATGACCCGCGTTCGCACGCGCCTCACGGCCCTCCTCCTTGGTCTCGCCAACGATCGACCTAGTCGGATCGGCGGTCTGTGATACCGATGAACGCGCTGATGTGGCGGCGGCGGCGACTTCGGCGGATGAAGATGGCACAGGTGCGCCCTCGACGCCGAAAGGGTTATCGGCCGTGGGGATCCACGTCGGCTTCTTGCCCGTTTCGAGCTCCTCGATCCTCGCCTTGAGCTCAAAAATGTGGTTGATGGCATGGGTGAGCACCTCGAGCTTGTGCAGGCCGAGCTCCTCGTCCTTGTCGTTGTCGCCCGCCTTTTTGGGCTCAGGCTTCTTGCGATTGCGCTTTCGCTTCGGCTTGCCCGTCGCCGCGTCGATGAGCGTCTTGGGCGCGCCGCCAGCCGCGATCCGTGCCGCCTCCTCCTCCTCCTCCTGCCGCTGCCGCCGTCGGTCCTCGAGCTCCTTTGCGCACGCTGGCACGATGGAGCGCAGCGTGACGAGGCGGTCGTTGATCTTTTCCCGCCGCCGCCTTTCGATCTGGCTGTGCGTCGCCCTCCGCTTTGAGTCGCGGCCGCTCTTCTTGGGCGAGCCGTCGGCACCATCCTCGACACCGGCATCGTCGGCCGTAGCGGCATCGACAGCGGCAGTGGCGGTGGCGGGGACGGAAGCTGGTTGCGCGGGCGAGGTCAGGACGGTATTGAAGAAGCCCTTGCTGGGTCCTGCCACGGGCTGGGCGGCCGTGGCAGCGCCCTTCTCGGCCAGGGCCCGCTTGAGACTGCCAGCAGGAGGATGGATGAGTGAGGAGGTCGTCAGGCACCGCCGGCTTTTTGCGAGCGCGACCGAGATGACAACTCACACTGCACCGTCCTGGGCACGAGGGATAGAATCGACAAACATGACCTTGCCCTTGAGCTGCCGAAAGGCGGGCTGTGACAGTTTCAAAGGCGATGGGGTCGGGAGCGCGCACCGTCAGCCCTCGTCCAAGCGGAAACCGGAGCTCTGCCGCACCTCGCGCAACCGCGCGTCGAGAACTCACGGCGTGGTCAGCCAGGTATTTTGTGAGCTCCGTCTTCATCTTCTTGGACTCCTTCTCGCCGCCCTTGAGCGCCCGGTCTCTGCCCACGCCGCTGAGCGCTACATACGCTGTAGGCGAGGGAGGGGTCGTGTGGCCAGCGGCTCGGGCTCCCGCTAGCGCATCGGACGCCAGCACCGCGCAGTCACGGACGAGCGGGTGGGCAGAGAGGTGGTGTTCGAGGCGATCAAGGAGGAGAACGGCACCCTTGTACTCGATTCGGTCGCCGACGAGAGCTGTAGCCAGGTGACCACCCATGCTGCTGCTGCCGGCGCTGACACTGCTGGTGCTGGTGCTGGTGCTGGTGCTACTGTGACCCGCAAAGGAGCCGCGATGAGGCTCGAGCGCGTACCCAGGTGCGGCGATCGCGGCAGGGTGAGGATGGTGATAGTGGCCGAGGAGCGGATAGGACATCCTGGCAGAGAGGTCGCAAGCGGCTGTTGCTGCCGGTTCGTGGCTTCTCTGCAGCCGGTCGATGCCCAAAACGCGAGCTCCGTGGTGCTAGGAGCGAAGCTCTTGTGCCTCGAACGCAGGAACGGAAGCTATGACGAGCTTTGCTCGAGGACGCTGGACGGGTCGGCGTGTCGAGAGATAGGCCGTGAGCGTGAGGGACAGGGCGATGGTGGTCGAAGAGCGAAGAGGTCAAAGTTGTCGGCTGAAGAAGAGGAAGGCTATACTGCTGGTAGTCTGTGGGGCGGGGCAAACACTTGCTTGCTCGTCAGACCCGGGTCGAGGCAGATCACTGGGGAGAGAAGGATCACAGCCGAACGGTCCAGTCGATGGAACAAGCTTCGAAGGACGGGTGTGACCAGGTCATCTTCCGACAGGCGAAGCCTGGCAGGACGACGAAGGGTACGTGGCAAAGATAGACCCTCCCGGCTGCGAGCGAGAAGGCAAGCAGAGGCTACGTTGAGCTTCGAGACGTGGGTCGGAAGCCAGTCCGCACGCCCGTGCCAAGGTTGCGATGTTGCAGAATCACAGGCTGGACCTCTGACTAGCTCCAGCACAGTTCGAGGACACCGCAAGGGGACAGTCAGTCGACGTTGCTCAATTGGCTCCCTGACCGTGTCAAGCGTAGCTGATGATCAAGGGGACCTGGGCGACAAGGGGGGCCGGGAGTCCGGGGGTAGGGTTGGGGGTCGAGGATGGGCATGCTCGTGTGCAGCCTGCGCCCCGCCTGGCCTTTCACGGCGCCCGCGCTCCCATCGTCCAGCGAGGGCAAGAGAGAACGTGAGCAGCGCTGGCTTGGCCGTCGGATCGTCCGACCCTGGTTGCGTGCTGGGCTTCCACTCGACGGGACAGAGGCAAGAAGCAAACAGGCAAGCAGCCAAGCAGACGGCAGGGCCGAGGGCGAGGGGCGAGCGGGGTGAGAGTCACACGAGCTGTCCACGTTCGCAGCGGCCGGCCAAAGCGCACAGGGGCCCGGGCCCCAGGCAGGGAACGTGCTCACCCAACCTCGGCCACCGCCCGCCCCCAATTTTGGCAACACGCCGGCCGGAGAGCAAGAGCAAAGGAGAGCTCTAACGCTGCGAGCGACTGCGAGAGATGGACAGGCCGCTGGCACCAACCCCAGATTCGACAACGACCGGCACTCCCGATGGAGGGCCTCCTCAGCGGTAACTTACAGACGGAGCGGATGGGGAAGGAGGGCGCTCCTCTCGTCCGAATGCCAGCATCGCCGAGCTCCCTCGATGCAGCACTTAGACCTGCGCTCGCTCCGCCCGCCTCCAACGGTCCGGTCCTTTCTCCCATCATGAGTGCCCCTCCAAAAAGCCAAGTCACTCTTCTACCAAACACAGCCGCGCAGTCGTTGGCAGCGGCTGTCGAGGGTGGCCAATACGCGCGACAGGGCCATCGTCTTATACCGAGCACGGACAGGATACGTAGCCCTTGCTCGTTCGCAGGTGGGAGCTCAGTTGTTGGCATTGGCGGTAATCTCTGTATCAGAAGCTGACGGCAACGACACGAGTGCAAGCGTGCATGGTCGTGCGGACGAAGAGGTCACGGCCTTCGAGGCGGCGAGGAGCTGTCCAGCCGTAGTCGCCGCGCTTGAGCCTGCTGGTTGTGCTTGCACATCATGGTCGATGAGCGTCGTGCTGGCACGAGTCAAAGCCAGCGCTTACTGCTGCTGCTTCTTCTCAGCCTCGGCCATGTTGACCTGGTGGGGAAATAGCGGAGAGGGACGTTGCGGCGGGCGCGAGAGCGAGCGATCAGCACATGGTCCATGGCGGCAGGTCAACTTGAGAGCATGCGAGCGTCAAGAGGATCATCCGTGACCCGTCTACCCTTCATCCGCGGCGCCTTCGAGTGCGATGGGCTTCCCGTCGGCGTCATCTCGCCCGTAGCCATCTGAAACTGCATCGGCGCAGCAAGGAAGGGCTTGCGCACCGGTCGATCGCCTGCCGAGGAGGCGACCGCAACGTCGTGCACCGTAGGTTCACGCTGAGCTGGCCATCCGCGAATGACCGCAAGAGCTGGACCGATGCTGCCAGAAGCGCGACACGGCCAGCCAGCACCATGCATGCCAAGGTCTCGCAGGTCCATGGCTGCACATCCTGCTTCCCCAGGGGACCCTTCCATGATGCACGACAGGATACCCTCCACTTCGTTCCGACATCGTCGCTTGTCATGAGGGCACTCACGTTGTCGCCGGCCTTGCCCTCCTTCCACTCCTGGTATCGGAGGGCCATGTAGCCACGTCGCTCGGCAGTGGCACGCTGCTCCTCCTTGAGGACCTCGCGGGTGGCCCGCGCAGCGATCGAAGTGTACTTGTTGAAGCTGCAGGGGCGGTACGAATGAGGCATGGTCGAGGCAGAGTGTCGTCGGAAGGAGGTTGCCCGAGGTGTCAAGGTCGGCAGCAAAGATCAGGGTAGACGTGGTGTCGAGTCGTCAGAGACGGATCAAAGTCGAGGGCAGTTGAGAGGCGGTCGATCCAGGGCGATCACATGGATGAAAGACGGGCGACAGACAGCATGAGAGCGTCGTCGGATCGGTGTAGAATATCCGGGTAGCATATGAAGATTTGGAGCAAGGAGGAGGAAGCGATGTCGAGTCAGTGCCTCCATCCAACGGCTACCAGACTGTCACCGCCAGTGCTACCAGGCCATCTTCAACCCTGAGACTGCGCATCGACTACTCACGTGAAGTGGGCTCTCCAGGAAGCGGCAGACATGATGGGCGAGTTGGTCGTTGGGGGTCGAATAGGTGGTGAAGCGGGAGAGTACGAGGTGCGGTGGACGAGGAAGAGAAGGTGGAGATGCCGACCTGCGATGGCTCGAGGTGCGATTGCCGGCCATGCCCGCCCGCGCCCCACTGCCTGCGCCCCACGCCTTCGCTTCTTCGCGCCAGAGGCACATCAGAGGAGAGCGATCGAGCCTTCCTCCCTTGCTTGCCTTCCTCCCTTGCTCCCTCGAATTTCGGCGAGCGGGCAGCTTCGGATCCTCGCCCGTCCCGCACGTCCGGCATCGGGCTACGTTAGATCGGGCGCGGGCTCCTTCCCAATCGCAACCACCGGCACCAGCATCACCCCGCGCGTCCGTCTGTCGCTCGCAGGCAGCATCTGGACACCCACCGGACGGCACGACAGCGCAGTTTCGGGTTTCAAGTCACATTTTGAGAAGTGGGTGGCGGCCGGGGGAGACCCGTGGTAGAGGAAGGGGGGGGGGCCGGCGGCATAGAAGAAGGGAAAGTGAAAAAAGTACAGCGAATAAAGCGATAAAAACCTGATCCCTCCTCCCCGCTCTCCTAAACAAGGCCGGCCAGACGAACGAGTCGCGCTGCTCTCCTTGGTCGTGTTCAGAAAGGAAAGGAGAGCAGTCGCGCTCGCGCCTCGAACGGCAAAGGGGGCAAGAGAGCAGCGTGCAAGGGTGTATGGAGGCCAGAGAGAAGGGTGAAGCAGAGAAGAAACAGGGATTGAAAAGGGGGGGAAAACGAAGGGGTGCGGTACAGCATGTGTAGAGCAAGAGACGGGCGGCGGACCGATAATGTGACTAGCAACGACCCTCTCCCCCCGCCAGGAAAAGCCGCCGTCTCGCTGCTTCCGAACCCGATTTTGAGCAGGATGATGGGAAGTTTTGGGGGTGGTGTGTGTGTGTGTGTGGGTGCGTGTGTGGCGGGGACATGGCGCCGACGACGTCAATGACGAGCTCCTGCGAACTGCCCTCCGAGCAAGTGAACCGCCACCTTCGCCTCGGAGCTACGCCTTACGCCGACGCCCCACCGCCGCGATGCAAAGACGGGCGAAGCGGGGAGGCCGACCGACCGTGGAGCAGCAGGGGGCTGGCGATCGCGCCTCAACGACCCCCCGCTGACTTCCGCGCCCGCATCCACGTCGACCTCGCCTCGTCACGTCCCTCGTGCCTCCGCCAACCGCGCGAGGCTCTATTGAAATCCAGCCATGCAGACTGCAGCCCACCGCCGACGTCCTCGGTGGAACGTCGCCTCGGCGAACGCCTGCGCTGCATCTTCCCGGCCACGGCCGTGCTTCCCACGGCCGATGCCGGGCCTCGTTCCAGCTGCCGAGCTCCTCGTCTGAAAGCCTGGCCGTCTCCCTGGGTGAAGGGTCTGCCTGCCTACGCCGACGCGATGTGCGCGGGGGCTAAGCGGGCCTGACCTTGCCGGAAAGATGGCAGGCCGCGGCCGCTGCGGCCGCTTAGATGAGGTTGGCGACGTCGAGGGGCATCTCGTCGATCTGGGTGCTGTAGAACTGCTCGATGTCGCGGAGCATGCGGACGTCCTCGGTGGTGACGAAGTTGATGGCGACACCCTTGCGGCCGAAACGACCGCCACGGCCGATGCGGTGGATGTAGTTCTCGCGGTTCGAGGGCAGGTCGTAGTTGATGACGAGCGACACCTGCTGGACGTCGATGCCACGGGCGAGGAGGTCGGTGGTGATGAGGACACGCGACGAGCCCGAGCGGAACTCGCGCATGATGACCTCGCGCTGGCCCTGCTCCATGTCGCCGTGCATGGCCGACACGGTGAACTCGCGCGACGTCAGCTTGTCGGTGAGCCAGTCGACCTTCCTGCGGGTGTTGCAGAAGATGACGGCCTGGGTGATGGTGACGGTCTCGTAAAGGTCGCAGAGCGTGTCGAGCTTCCAATCCTCCTTCTCGACGGCGACGTAGAACTGCTTGATACCCTCGAGGGTGAGCTCGTCGCGCTTGACGAGGATGCGGACGGGGTCGCGCATGAACTTCTTGGTGACCTCGAGGACGTCCTGGGGCATGGTGGCCGAGAGCAGGACGACCTGGGTGTCCTGGGGCAGCAGCTGGAAGACCTCGTACATCTGGTCCTTGAAGCCGCGCGACAGCATCTCGTCGGCCTCGTCGAGGCAGAACATCTTGAGGTTGTCGGTGCGGAAGGCGCGACGGTTGATCATGTCGTAGACACGGCCGGGCGTGCCGACGACGACCTGGGCGCCCTCGCCGAGCTTGGCCATGTCCTCGCGGACGTTGGTGCCGCCGATGCAGGCGTGGCAGTTGATGTCCATGTAGTCGCCGAGGGCGATGACGACCTTCTGGATCTGCTGGGCCAGCTCACGGGTGGGGGCCAGGATCAGGGCCTGGACGGCCTTGATCGAGGGGTCGATGCGCTGCAGAATGGCAATCGAGAACGTGGCAGTCTTGCCGGTACCGGACTGGGCCTGGGCAATGACATCGTGGCCCTTGATGACGGGGACGATGGCGCGGGCCTGGATCGCCGAAGGGCGCTCGAAGCTGGCGGACGGCAAAGTAGAGGGGCAGGGGTTGAAGGCGGCGACGTCAGCATGTGTATCCGCTGCCGCAAGTCGGAATTGGGCTCTTGCGGCCCAGCCAAGATCCGCGTAAGGCCGGGAAACGGGTGCTTGGGGCCAGGGGCGACGTGACGGATTGCCCGTGGCCCTTTGAGATCGTGCAACTACGCCGTCCATTCTGGCCCTGACGCTGCTGGACTGCCGTCGCCACTCACCCGTAAGCGTAGACACCGCGGAGGAGGTCGGGCTTCAGCTCCATGTTGTCGAAGTTGTCGATGACCGACTCCCAGTTAGACTCGATCTCGCCATCGGCGATCTGGAGGTCATTGTTCTGGGGGGTCTCCTCGGGCCTGCGAGGCGGGAAGGCGAAGAGAAGCATGACAGGAGATGCACCAAACTCAAGGTCAGTCACTTGCTCTCAGCTCGGCACTACGAACAGCAGTGGCGCAAGAGCCGCGCGCCGGTGGCGCTGTGCCCCTCTCCCGTTCGCTCGGAGGTAGACATCAGTGCCGTCGCGAGGCGGGCCCATTCCGGCTGGCCGCCTTCGTCCGCCATCGATCCTTCGCCGGGGCCGAATGCGGTGCGACAGGACGGACACATCGCAGCAGCTCGAGACATCGGCCGGCCATACGCACTTGGACATGCTGGGCAGATGGGTTTGAAGGGTCAAGGAGTCGGACTGGACAAAGTCGACGCCTTGGGGTGTGTTTTTTTTGGGTGGTTCGCTGGAGAAAAGAAAGTTGAAGGGCTACGGGGTGCCGTTCAACCAGATATAGCTTGGTGATGTAGAGATGTGTTGTTTTGGTGGTGGTGGTGGTGGTATCGGGGAAAGGTGTCGGTGGCGGGCCACAGCAGCACCCCCACCCACCCAGCCTCGCCCTCTCGATGGCGTCGAGCGCGCTCCTCATCTCTTTCTGCCTGTCTTCGCTCCTCTCTTCCTCTCCTGGCTGGCTGGCCGAGTGCCTGCCTGCCTGCCTGCTGGCCGCCCAGTTTTTTTCTCTCCCCTGCCTCTCTTCCTGGCCCTGGCCCTGGCCCTCTTGCCTGGTAAGAAAAAAATTTCTCGATGGCTCGCCTCGCTCCGCCTGGCCTGGCTTTCGAAATTCACAAACCTGGCCGGCCCTGCGTGGGCCAGTTTGCTTTGATTTCCCTTTGTTAACGAGCCACGCTTCCAGTTTGGAGCAGCGATTAACTAGGATCCGCGACTCAGCCTGGCCCAGTTTCAATTCAGGATGACCAGGGCTGAAGTGCGTGGGGCTTGGGTTTGCTATTGGAGATTTGAATGGCAGGGCCGCCCCTTTGCTTTGACCCGCCTGGTGCGGGCTGGCCCTCCCCTGGCGGCGAGCAAGCAAGGGAGCGAGGATCCGTATCGCAGAGCAGCGTGGTGGCGCGGCATGGTTGCACGACCCTGGCTCAGCACTCGTCCGGAGATACGGCGGCAGCGGCGAAGGGTGTCGATGGAGACGAGATCGGTCGCGTCGTCGTTGCAGGGGCTTCTTCCAGCCCGTATTCGTCGAAAGGGGAGCCAGGCAAGCTTTCCCTGGCATACATGGTTGGCCCTGCGACGGCAGGGCCTGCCCGACAGAAGGCGGATTGAGCCGATCACGAATGGCGCCCGATCTGGCTTGCAGACAGACGGCGGCCCGCGTGGCTCGTTCGCCAGGCCTGCCTAGCGTATGAGGTCAGGCTAGCTGGGCTTGTCGAACCTGCTCTGCTTCGCTGGCTGCCTGGGGGCTGGCAAACGAGCCCGAAAGGCGGGGCCGGCTGGGCAGCGAGCAAGAAGAATCGCGCAGCCCTCCTCATCCTCCACCTGCTGCTGCCTTCCTATCCCCCGCCTTGCCCCGATCCCCGCCCTTTCTTCGTCTGTCGCACCCTACCCGTTCAGCAAAACAGAGCAAAACAGCACCGCAAAACAGCACGGCCCTCGTCGTTCTATTCCTCCCCGACGCTTCCTTAGGCTTGCGGAACAGCCCGGACCGCCGGACGAGGAGCACCTAGCGCGCCAGGGAAACCATCTCGAGCATACATCGATCAAGCACGGCTCCCCCCGCGCCTCTTTTCCCTTGCCATCACCGCAAACCCACACACAGATGAGCGAACCATCAGCAGCCACTCCTCGAGGACGTCCTGCACGCGGTCGCGGCGCAGGAGGGAGTCGTGGCGGAGGCGGATCGAGGGGCGGGAGAAGAGGCAACTTCGGCAGCGCCCTGTCTTCGTCCGACGCCGCCGCCTCCTCCACAGCCTCAGATAGGCCGGCAGCAAGCAGCAGAGGTGGTCGTGGGAGATCTAGACCGCCGCAGAGTGGGACCAATCGGCAGGCACGGCCGCAGCAACAACAGCAGCATGATCAGGACCCTGACAGCGACCACGCGCCGTCGGGCGACGTGGCAAATGGCGACGACCACGGCAACGGCGGCAACGGTGATGGCGACGGCGACGGCGACGACGACGACGAGCTTCCGCCCGAGGGCGAGATGTGCTTCATTTGCGCCGAGCCGGTCAAGCTGTACTCGGTGGCGCCCTGCGACCACAAGACGTGCCATATCTGCGCCATCCGGCTGCGCGCGCTGTACAAGAAGAACGAGTGCACCTTCTGCAAGACCGACATCGATCGTCTGATCTTTACCGCCTCGTCGACGCGCAACTTTGCCGACTTCGACCCGTCCGACACGCCATTTGCCGACAAGAAGCTGCAGATCTCGTTCGAGACCAAGGATGCCATGGAGGAGACGCTAATCCTGCTGCGCTTCAACTGCCCCGACGCGCGCTGCGAGGTGGCGAGCGCCGGGTGGCAGGACCTCAAGATGCACGCGCGGCGCGACCACAACCGCCTCCTCTGCGACCTCTGCGTGCGGCACAAGAAGATCTTCAGCCACGAGCACACGTTGCACACGAGCCAGTCGCTCCAGGCCCACATGAGCAGCGAGCACGGCCACTGCGAGTACTGCAACCAGTACTTTTACGGCGACGACGAGCTCTTTGTCCACATGCGCGACCGCCACGAGCAGTGCCACATCTGCAAGGCGCGCGGCACCGAGGCCGACCGCTGGCGCTACTTCCGCAACTACAACCAGCTCGAGAAGCACTTCCAGCACGAGCACTTCCTCTGCCAGAACCCCGAGTGTCTCGAAAAGAAGTTTGTCGTCTTCGATAGCGAGATGGACTTCAAGGCGCACCAGCTGTCGGAGCATGCCAACGAGCTCACCAGCCGCGAAAAGCGCGAGGCGGTGCGGATCGAGGCCAACTTCACCTACGATGAGCCCGAGGGCTCGCGTAGCGGTCGCGGCGGTCGCGGAGGACGACGCGGCGGCGGCCGGGCCGGTGCTCGAGGGGATCGGGAGCGCGATACCGGCGCGGGCGACGACGCCGACCCGCTCGGTGTGTCGTCGCTTGCAGGGCGCCAGCACGTCCCCGGCGCCGGCCCCGCAAGTCACCAGAGTCGTCGCGCGGCGTTCGGAGGCAGTCTGACGGGCCCTGGCGGCAGCGGCGGCGGCACAGATGGCCCGACGCCGCAGGGCGTGTCGGCGCCTGAGACCAACCCTGGTGCGGCGGCAGCGGCGATGCCGATGCAGGAGCGCCACGCGGCCTACCTCGCCAAGGTCACGGCCATCCTCAAGGGTTCCGAGTCGCGGGTCGCTTCGTTCCGCTCCTCGGTGCGCACCTACCGCAACGGCGAGATGTCGGCCAAGGACCTCATCGACAACATCCACAGCCTGGTGGGCGATCTCGACGACTGCGTCAACGTTGTCAACGGCCTTGCCGACCTGCTCGACGACGACGACAAGAAGCGCCACCTGCTCTCGGCGTGGAACAGCTTCCGCATCGAGCGGACCCAATTCCCCTCGCTCGGCGGCGGCAGCGTCGGCCCGCTGAGCAGCGAGTCGCCCTACGCCGGCATCGCGCGCGGGCAGATCCGCAACGTCAAGACTGCGTCGGCGTCCAACAACCAGGTGTGGGCCAACGTCGACCGCGCCGCCTCGTCGTCGTCGGGCCACAAGGCGGGGCGGCCCCCGGTGATCAAGGAGCATTTTCCCTCGCTGGCCAAGGCGCAGTCCAAGGGAAGCGTCAACATCCCCGGATCGCTGGCGCATGCCGTGGCGAGCAACTCTTCGCTGCGCGTCAACCACGGCAGCACGCCCTGGTCGGCCTCGTCGACCATGGCCGCCGCCAACCGCGCCAGCAGCGGTCGGAGCACGCCGCAGCCGGTGGCTGCGCCCTATGTGATGCGCGCCGGCGCCTCATCGTCTTCGAACGGCATGGTCAACCTGTCCACGCGCAACACGGCGGCGTTCCCCAGCCTGCCCACGAACCAGTCGCGCATGGACCTCAACGCGCATAAGCGGGCGGTGCTGGCCAAGAGCAAGGGCAAGGAGCGCGAGGGCAGCCTGCCGACGTCGCCCGATGCCAGCGGCAGCTCGACGCCCTGGGCATTACCCTCGGGCCGCATCGACGAGTCGGCCACCAGCCCACGCGGCGGCTCGCAGTCCGGTGGTGGATTGGGCAACCTCGACGGCCTCAGTGAGGCTTTGGCTGCCACGTCGCGGGCGCAGCAGCAGCAGCAGGCGTCGGGCGCCGCCAAGAAGAAAAAGTCAAAGGGCACGCCGCTGATTTCCTTGGGCGGCGTGCATCGCGGATGATTGACGGAGGGCTCAGAGGGCTGAAAGTCTGGCCTGGCATCGCATGCAACGCGCGCGTCGCCCATCTACCGCGGCCGACGGGACCATAGATAGATGCATGCCCCGCGGGCAGCGACATTGACGCTGGGCCCATGAGGTCGCCCATCCAGCGCGAGAAGTGTGTTGTCTGTGTGTCAGTGCGTACGAGCGTTGACGATTGCGGGCGAGAAGACGAGAGGCGGGAAAGCGGATACAAGTACAGCCACGGGTGCAGCCCAGCCCCGGGTGTGACGCCTTCGGGGCGAGGTTGTCGTTGTCGGGGCGGGGGCGATGCGATGATAGACGAAGACGATGAGCTATTCGTAGATGGTGCCTCCACCGGGAGCGACGCCCGGCGGGAGGGTATGCTCGATCGTGCTGGCGCTCAAGGTGCCGCCTCTCTTGTCTTCGTTTGTGGAGCGACGGAGGCTCCTTGCCTGCGCGTCCCGATCCTCCTCTTCGGTCTGGGTTGCCCCTGTCTTGCCCTGCTGCTGCTGTTGCTGTTGCTGCTGCTTGGACGAGGCTGGACGTTGTTGCTGCTGGTACCTGTCCGCATACGGATCGGGGATCCCGACGGCCGTCATCAACTCAGAGAAACGACCCCACAGCCCGGCGATGGGTTCGAATTCTTTGCCGACCGAGATGCTCTCCTCCAGCTTGCGGTTGAGTGCATTGCTCGATGACATGAGCGATTCGATCCCCTGTCGTGCGGCCGCGAGGTCATACAGGAGCAGAGAGGTCAGTGAGGTGTCACCGCGAAGAAGCTCAGATTCGAAGGAATAGCAACGACTGCGGTACGCACCTGTGCAATATCGGTGATGAGCCTCTCGCGCTCCTTTTCAAACACGGTGCCATGTCGCAGCGCGCTGGTGTCCACCGTCGAGGTGATGGGCTCAGAGGGCGTCGTGGCCGGGTAGCCGACCGAGTGGCGAGACGGCGTCGTCGTGTCCATGTTGTGATGCGGTGGGCAATCTCGATGCAGTGGCGTTTGCGGTGTCGCTGCGGATGGCGGTGATGGCGCAGGTGGTGTCGGTGGTGGTGGTGGTGTTGGGGTTGGTGTTGGTCGCAGGCTGTACGTGTTGCTTGGCTGGCGGCGCGGGCCCCACGCGCTCGAAAGTGGAGCGGGGCGGGCCAGAGGCAGGCGCGGGGTCTCGAGCAGTCGTGCGACTGAGACTCTTCCAGCGGCGTCCCCGTTCCCTGTTCGCCTTGGCCAGCCCGCAGTCCGACATCGGGGTCAGCTATCTTGGCTCCTCATGAACGGAATCTTAATCGAGTCTTTCCGCCCATTCGGCTCTTCCGAAGCCCTGCTTGACTCGCGGGCTGTGCCGATTGCTTCGCCAGCGAGCAGCGCCTCGGCGGTTTGAGACCTGGACCTCGTCCTATAAGCGAATGAGGGCGTGCGGCGTCGGGTCGCGCTCCGAGAACTCGGACTCGGAGGCAGACTGCCTTCGAGCCGTGGAACACATATGCATGCTGTCGGACCGCGCCGCTTTTCTCTCCCTGGAGAGCATCGAGAATGAGCCCGACCTCTCTGCTCTCGTCGAAGCATCAGCCGGTATGTCGAGGAGCTGCGCAGGTTGGCAGAGCGTAGGAGGCACGAAGCAATGAGGAGGGTGAGGAGAAGACGGCTCGCTTGCTTGCCTGCTTCCGACGCTGCACTCTGTGGCCTGCCGCTGCCATGGAACCCGACCGACATCGGCTGGCTTCCGCGCCGCCCGCGTGCGCAGCAGGCGCACCTGTCGTTGGCACTTCAACTGGCCAGCGTGCATGGCCGATCCGTCGCAGCGGCCTCGTTCCGATGGCAAGCAGGCTAGGCTAGCTGTGTGTCAAGCTATGTAGGACGACGTGGACTGCCCGACAAGCAACGGCGAGGCAAGCCCGACGAAGCAAGCAAGGTGGCATCGACGCCTTACGGCGCTCGCGAGCCGGCACCAGCGACGAGGACGAGGCTGGTCCGTAGAGCTTAGGAGGCTTGCCTGCTTCTTTTCGACGCTCGTGGGCTTCTCTCGGTCGCCGTTGCAGCTGCTCTTCAGCGCTCGCTCGGGCGGACTTCCTTAGGCCGCCGTCCGAGCTGGGCAACGCCAGCAGCACCGGGTGCCGTGGTCTTAGCTTTGATCTTCCAACTTCGGGATGCCATCCCCTCGATGGCTTCGACAGCAAAGCTAGGCAAGGCAAGGTCCCAGAGGCCAGGCCAAGATCGCCCCTCGGGGCAGCCTGACGAGCGCGCAACAACCGCCTCTGCTTCCGGGCTGGCTTGGTCAAACAGCAGCGGCAGCGGCAGCAGGCAGCACCTCTGCATCACACCGTCGGTCCCCGCCGGCCTGCCCAGCCTCTCTCTCTGCTGTGCCTCCTTCTTTTTTTTTTTTTTTTTTTTTTTTTGTTTGTCCCACGGTAGACAGCGGTCAGGGTGCCTGGAGCCTCTCTGCTTGCCTTTCTGCTAAGCCGCCTGCTCGGTGGCCTGGTGGCTCGCCGCTCGCAGCTTGCGTTTTTGTTTGGCCCTGCCCCCCTGCTGCGCGCTGCTGCTGCTGCTGCTGCTGCTGCCTGGTGGCCTGTCTCGCGCGGCCTCTTTTGATGAAAGGATTCCTGCATCGAGGGCGCTCGGCCTCACCCGCCTGGCCTGGCAGGCTGGCCCTGCTTGCCTCTCTGCCCGCCAGGCCTTGCCCCCATCACGAGCCTCGTCGTCGCGAAGCAGCCACGACCGACTCGGCCCCGCTCTCTTCGACACCACCACCACCACCACCATCGCTCCCCATCATCATCCCGGCGACCATCGCTGCCAGCGCCACCTTCGTATCCTCGCCACGACCCTCCAGCAGATCAAGCGTTAGTTGGTCACCGCTCGACGGGCTCGCCACATTAGCCTCTTGCCTACCGCCGCGCGCCCGCCCTGGCTTCATACCGAGTGCCTGCCCCTCCGCCCACCTGCTCGACACGCCCTCTGCCGACCCCTCTCCACCCCACCCTGACACTTTCCCCCGCTCCGACATTACATTGGGCGTGCGACTCCACCACAAGCTAGCCTGGCCAACCTTGCTTGCGTCCTTGGCGTCACACGATCCCTCCCCCGCCAGCTCGCTCACCCCCCTCGCGGCCGTCGCGGTGAGGGCGACGGAGACCAGCTGCGACGATGGTCGACGCCGAGATTCACGTCGATGTCCCACCTCAGCAGCCGCAGCAGCCACAACAGGCTGAGCAGCCCGGAACAACATCCCCGACCGCCGCGGCTGCTGTCGAGGAGGCGACGGCAGCTGCTCAGCTCGTGACCACACCGCCACCAGCGACGAACCCGACACCAGCTAAGACATCGGATGCTCCCGACGACCAGCAGGAGCAAGCAGGAACCAACATCGTGCCAGATGCATCGGCTTCAGCAGCAGCTCCCGCCGATGTGGACCAGCCAAAGCCAAACACTGCCCAGCCTCTGATCGAGGACCCGAAGGAATCCGAGCAGCGACCTCAGGAAGGCGCCGAGGCCATTCCGACAGCATCCTCTCACCCCGCTGCTGCGCAGCCGACAGACAGCGAAGACACTGCGCCTGCAAAGACCTCTGCTGAGATCGACCCCGACGATGCGGCAGTATCGGCGAGGGCCCAGGCCGACACGACCGAACCTGCCGATGCAGCAGCTACGCCAACTCGAGCTGTCCCAGCTTCTGCTCAGGATGAGACCAACAACGCTGATCAGCGAGTCGAAGCGCAGCAGCCGGAAGGTGCGAGCGCGCAACCCTCGGCTGAGGTGATCGACGCTCCAGGGGGTGACTCCGACGTGGTCACTACTGCGGCCGATGCCACCCCTGGTCTCACAGCTCCTGAATCTCCCAATCACCACTCTTCGCCGCGCACGGAAGCGGAGGTCGATGCCGGACCATCGTCGCCGCGGCCTCATGCTTCCGATTCTAGCAGGCACACGACACCCGCCACATCGATGGGCGAGACCTCGGATGAGAAAGAGCGTACAGATGATCACGCGACGCCGAGACAGAAGCACGCAGAGGTGCCCGCACCCCGGAAAGGCGACGACGGCCTGCCTCTCGCCGCGAGCACTGCGCCCACTGTGCAAGCCGCGCCTCCCTCCCAGCAGCAGCAGTCGGCACAAGGCAACGATCAGCAGCAGCCGGCTTCGACGACTGCAGTGACACCTCCGCCTACCGCTGACGATGCCGCCATCTCGACGCCACCGGCGCAGGAGCAGCAGGAGCAGCCGGAGCAGCCTCCGGCCGCCCCGGCTGAGCCCATCGAGCCGATCCTGCCCGCCTACATTTACCCGATGGACCCTTCGGTGTCGGCGATCACCCGGGGCAACCTCTCCCAAGACGGGGTGCCCGTCTTTGAGCCTACCATGGAGCAGTTCCAGGACTTCTACTCCTTCTGCCAGGCCATCGACGAGTGGGGCATGCGCTGTGGCATCGTCAAAATCGTGCCGCCCAAGGAGTGGAGGGACGCGCTGCCCTCGCTCATGCCGTCCGCCGAGGCCAAGGCCGAGGCCGAGGAGCAGGGCGAGGAGATCGTCGACGTCTCGAGGGTGCGTATCCGCAACGCTATCCTGCAGCACTTTTCCCCCGCAGGGTCTGGGGTGTGGCGGCAGACGAATGTCACCCGGACGGTCAAAGTATGGAACGCCAAGCAATGGGCAGACACCTGCATCTCGCCCGGGCAGAAGGGACCGGAGATGGACCGGATGAAGTGGAAGGTCGAGGTCGACGGGGTCACCAACGGCGGCTGGGGGCATCGAAAGCTCAAGGAGGGCGAGCGCGACCCGCACGCCGCCATCCTCGAGGAAGAGGGCGTCCGGACGCGCAGCGGCAAGGCGCGGCCCAGTCTGGCCACCTCCAATGGCGCTTCCGGCGCCGCGGGCTCCACCGAGACCAGGGCCGGCACCAAGCGGAAGCGCGCGCAGGGCAAGAGCCCAGCGGCCGTCGCCGCCGCCATCGGCGATCCGTTGAGCAAGGAAGAAGCACGGACCTCGACGCCTGCTCCGAACGGCGATGCTCGCTCCGTCGCGACCGACGAGGGCATCCGCACGCCCAAGCGGGAGGAAGGGATGCGGGAGCGCGACGATGAGGAGATGCCCCGGCTGGAAAGCCCCGGCGCGACCCCGAGTCCCAGCAAGATCAACCTCCGGAAGCGGCCGTCGCGCAACGTTGCCGGCAACACTCCTCAGCAGGCGCTCGCCAGCAGCCTGCAGGCCTCGCCGGACACGTCGTCGGAGCCGTCCGCCTCGCCTACCAAGGCCAAGCGGTCAGCCTGGCCCGAGTCGACGACGGCCGAGGAGTGGGAGAGGTTCGACTACGCAAACTGCTGGAGGCTCGAGGGTCTCTCGGAGGAGCAGATTGAGCGGCATCGCAGGAGGGCAGCAGCACGGGCCGGCAAGGACGGCAAAGGCGAAGGCAGCGTCCAGTCTGCATCCTCGCCGTTCGACGACGAAGGCGACCTGCCGCAGCCGCCCGAGCCGTCAGCGTGGGACGAGGCGACGTGCAGGGAGATCGAGAGCGAGTACTGGCGCAGCCTCAACTTTGGCAAGCCGCCCATGTACGGCGCCGACCTCAAGGGCACGCTGTTCGACCACCGAACGGCCCGCTGGAATGTCGGCAAGCTCGACAACCTCCTCACCCGGCTGCGCCTGCGGCGAAAGCTGCCAGGCGTCACCACGCCCTACCTCTACTGGGGCATGTGGCGGGCGACCTTTGCCTGGCACGTCGAGGACATGGACCTGTACTCGATCAACTACCTGCACTTTGGCGCGCCCAAGCAGTGGTACTCGATCCGGCAGGCGGATCGCCAGCGTTTCGAGTCGGCCATGGCCGCCGCGTTCCCGAGCGACTCGCGGCGCTGCCCCCACTTCATGCGCCACAAGTCGTACCTCGCCTCGCCCTCGTTCCTCGCCAGCCACGGCATCCGACCGCTGCGCCTCGTCCACAACGCCGGCGAGTTTGTCATCACCTATCCGTACGGCTACCACTCGGGCTTCAACCTGGGCTACAACTGCGCCGAGAGTGTCAACTTTGCGCTCGATTCGTGGCTCGACATCGGGCGCAAGGCCAACTACTGCCACTGCGACCAGGCGCAGCAGAGCGTGCGCATGGACGTCGACGCCATGCTCGAGGAAAGCAAGGAGCTCGAGGAAGTCGACCGGCGCAAGGAGCTGCGTAGGACGCGCGAAGAGGGCCTCCGGGCAGTCGAGGAAGAGGAGCTCGAGAAGCGGCGGAAGCGCAACGAAAAGGCCCGAGAGGCGCGCAAGCTCAAAAAGGAGAAGGACGCCTTGGCTGCCGCCGCCGCCGCCGCCGCCGCCGAAATCGACGAGGGTGGCGGAGACATCAACACTGCGCCATCGTCCGACGCCTCGCAACCGCCTAGGGCCGCCGAGGAGCTGGCGCTGGCGGCCTCACTCGCCATGATGGCCTCGGGATCGACACCGCAGAAGCCCCCCGCCGCCGCCGCCGGTTCGTCTGGGGAGAATCCGTGCGTGTTCTGCCCATCGCAGATCCGCGACGACCTGGTCCGGATCCCGGACACTGTCGAGGCGACCGGGCCGAGGGGCAAGCCGTTGGTCGGCAAGTTTGCGCATCGCCTTTGTGCCAGCTTCATCCCCGAGACCTGGGTCGGCCGGTCCGACGACGGTAAGCACGACATCGTGTGCGGCGTCGACGGCATCGAGAAGGCCCGCTACTCTCTCGTAAGTGTCCATGCTCTCCCCGTCCCCAGCCGGCTTTGGGCCGTGGAACTCGATCCGCTGACATCTCACTTGCTACTACCCTCTCGCCCTGTGCGGCTTCGAATCCCTGCAGAAATGTCAAATCTGCCCAACACCGGCGCTGCAAAAGATGGGCGCCAAGATCCAGTGCACGCGCGGCCGGTGCCCCAAGTCGGTCCACGTCAGCTGTGCGCTGATCGAGGAGCATGGCTGGTTCATCGACGTCTGCACTGCCGAGGTGGCCGATCGCCTCGAGGCCAAGGATGGCGTCGCCAATGGCCCCGGAAAGGCATCCAAGAAGAAGCGCAAGGGCGCTCCGTCGTCGGAGCCGTCATCCGAGTCGCAGCCGCACCAGCAATCGGAGCATGGCCCCAGGGACGACGAAGAGAGGCTGGTCGTGCTCTGCCGCAGCCACAATCCGCTGTTCAAGCAGGCCGAAGAGGCGCGCAAGGCCGAGGAGCTGCGCGACAGGATCCTCGAGCTGCCCATCCCGTCGGTCATCAAGATCAAGTCGTCCGGCGGCGTGTTTGAGGCGACAATGACCGAGGTCAGGGACCTTCCCGACGGCCAGGGCGAGGTCGTCATCGACGATCAGGGCAGGCCACGCAGCGTCAAGTTTGGCCGGATCTTGTTCGACGAGAAGCCGCCGTCACCGCCTGCGCCGCCCGCAGAGGAGCTCGAGCCCGTCGGTAAAAAGGAAACGGCAGCACCGCCGACGACAGTCGAAGCTGCCAAGACGCCGAGTTCGAAGCCGGCTCGCAAGCGCACCGCCACGGCCAAGGCCGCCGCCGCAGCTGCCGCCGCTGCCGCCGAAGCCAAGATCGAAACTGATGGCGAAGCCGCAAAGGTGGAAGAGCTCGCCGCTGCTGAAGGTCGGCCAGTCAAGCGTGCACGAAAGGCGAGCAAGAAGGCCGAGGCTGCCGCGGCCACTAACGCCACGGTGGATGAGCTCGTGTCCTCGAGCAAGCCCACGCCTGTCCGCAAGCCTCGCGCCTCGACAGGAAAGAAGACGTCGGCCGCTAAAGCTTCGGGACCAGCCGCTGCAGCGAACACCGAATCGACAAGCCTCGCCGAGCGCACCAACGCCAAAGGCGAGCCTGTGCTATCGCAAGGCGAGGCCGTCGGCCTGCAGCAGCAGCAACAAGAACAGCAGCAGCAGACCGATCCTGGCGCGATTCCTAGCCCCGGGCCGGGCCCAGCCGCTGTTGCGCCAGGAGCGCCGGACTACGCCAGCCGAGGTCCTCGCCAGGCCTATCACCTCGCGCATCCCGGCGCTCCCTCTGCCCCCGTCTATCAGAATGGCTCGTCGTTCCCGCAATTCGGTCAGAGGTTCGGTGGTTCCTATGGCCAGCCGCCTTCGGTACTCTACGATCCTCGCAGCGGGCAGGGTGCCATGCCCCCTGCGGCCGACTATGGAGCTCCCCATCCAGGCTACCCGGCCCATCAGCATCAACCGCACCAGCCACAGCAGCCGCCGCAGCAGCTTTACCACGGCTACCGCCATCCCGCTGCGCCGGCGCACGACTGGCAGCACTATGAGCAGATGCAGCAGCAGCACTACCAACAGCAGCAGCAACCACAGGCGCCGATGTACGCACATGCCCGGTATGCTACGGGCGCGATGCCGATGCAGTACCGTCAGAGCCCGCATCAGACGCCGGTCACACAGTCGTCGCCCCTGCCGCCGCCTCTGACGAGCCGGACGTCTTCACAGAGCGACTCGACGGTCACGCTACCCAGCTCGACAGTCGTCCCTCGGACGGGAAAGCCTGAACAGATTTACGGCGGCGGCTACGAGCACAGCCCAGAGCATATCTACAGCGAGAGCCGCGCCTACGCCGGCAGCGATCCGCGTGGCATGCTGCCACAGCAGACCTACGTCCATAGCCCGGCCACGCACACTGCCAGCCTCCGGTCGGGTGCGCCGCAGTATGCCGACTCGCCGTCGATGTACCCGTACCAGCACCACCAGGAGCGACGGATGTTGCCGAGCTACCGCGAGGCGCTGGTGCAGCTGCCGGCGCTGTCGAGCTTCGCGTCAACGCGCGATGCCCCGCAGGCCGCTGCCCTTCCGCCGCAGTCGCAGCAGCACCACGCCTCTCAGGACGTCTATCAGTCCCCCGCCGGGGCTCCTTCGGCTTCCGCCTCGGCCGCCGCTCGCCCTCGAGGCTTGGCTCAGGCCGGCTACGGACCAGTTGCAGTCCCCTCGCGCTCGCAGCCGGTGTCCGGACGCGGCAGTGGCGGCGGCTATCCCGCCACGGCGTACGAGCCACAGCCTGGGTACTACCCGTCGCTACCCCCGCAGCAGCATTCGCAGTCGCAGGCGATGGACGCATCTCCCTTGTCTCCCGGTGCGGCCAGCTTCTCGCGGGGACATCCGGCCTATGCCGCCCGCGTCCCGGACCACTCGCCCACGCACTACGGACACGGCCATCCCGAGCAGCAGCCGCAGCACCATCACCATCATCAACAGCAGCCGCTCGCGACTTACATGCCGGCCGCGACCTCGGCGAGCCCGCACCATCAAGACCTCGCTCACGAGCACGCTGCCCTACACGCTCGTGGATACTCGATGCAGAATGCAGGCGCCGCAACACCGACCTACTCGCAGCACGCTTCGTTGGCCACACCGACCGGGGCTATGCAGCAGGCATACCCTACGGCCCAGCACCAGCCAGTCGAGACGTCGTTCATCCACCGCTGATCGCCGCTCGCGACCCTCCGTGTTTGTCGATTGAAGATTGCCTCGGGACACGCTCTAGAGGGGAGTCGTTTTTGCCAGTGACAATCGCACCGCCATCCAGCCGACAACCGATCGACGACCGTGCGCCTGTGCCAGTGTGCCGTCCCTTCTTGCCTCTTGCTCCTTCATCGCGTGCCATCTCTTGACGACCGCGCCGCAGACCTCGTCGTCAGCCTCTTCGCAACTCGTCACTTGCGAGAGTGGGACGCAGGTTCGGGAGACGGCAAGGTGAGTTTTCGGAGAGCCAAGTCTCTCGCACGACTGTGGGCGCCCAGCGTTTGCCTTTTCTTCTATCGTTTGAAAGCCCCTCCCCCGTGCCACCTCTGCCTCTCGCCCATGCGCCGCAGGCCTTGCCAGGTCCGATATGCATCCGCCACAGGTGGCCCGACGGACCCATCGGCGACGACCTTGATGGCATGCCCAATCGATACGGTGCCTGGCTTTCGACCGTGGCCATGACCGGCGTTCGCTTCGAAAACAACGACGACGACGCCCGGGTATCGTCGAAAGGCGGAGAAGACAGGCCAAGAGCCCGGACAAAGGGGGCGAGATGTTGCCAGAGTCTTGTGTGCGGCAGAGGAGCCGCGCTGCCTGCCCGCGGGCCCTTGAAGCTTCTTGGCCACAAGCGGGGCCAGCGGGGAAGCGGGTCTCAGAAGAACGAAAGGCCAGCAGGGTGGGCGGCCAGCCAATACGCGGGGGGCCAGCTTTCCAGCGGCCGGGTACTGTAGCGGGGCCAAGGGCACGGCTGACGAATGAGGGGCGAGAGCCGGCACACGGTAAAAGCCTCGCCGGCATCGGGCCGGAAGGCGTCGCTCGTGCACCCCAGCAGGCACGCAAGCAAGCAAGCAGCATGGTAGGGCAGGGCAGGCCACAGGCCCCCCCTTTGGCGCACTTGCCCCGCTCTGCCCCAAGGAAGCAGCAGCACGCAGTGGACGGATGGCAGGGGCCGAGGACATGGGCCGGGCGCCTGTGTATATCATCGACCGCTCGAATCTCGAAACGGCCTTCTCTCCGTCCCCCATCTGCTCGATCCCATCCTTTCCTCCGTCATTGCATCCTGTCTGTGTGACTGCAGTTCCACGTCACCTCCGCCATATCCCGTCACCTCCCCGCCGCCACCCTCGCGCTCACCCTCTCAGCCAACATGGAGAACAGCCCGGCCCCTCCCAAGTCGTGGCCGCTGGACAAGCAGACGCTTCCAGTGCCCGGCACGCAGAAGCCCGGCTTCTCGGCCATCTACCGCAACGCGGCGGTGCCCGAGCTCAAGACGACGCAGACGACGTACGACATCTTTGCGCGCGGCAAGTCGTTTGACCCAAAGGCGCAGTGCGCCGGCTGGAGGCCCTGGAACGCCGACAAGAAGAACTTTGAAAACTACTACGAGTGGCTCAGCTACGACGAGGTCGAGGAGCAGCGCACCGCCGTCGGATCGGCCCTCACCCACCTCGCCCGCCAGGGCAAGCTGGGCGACGACGTCGGAGACCGCGACTGGTCCGTCGGTCTCTGGGTGCTCAACCGGCCCGAATACCTCATCGTCGACCAGAGCGCGCTGGCCTACAGCCGCCGCACCGTGAGCCTGTACGACAGCTACGACACGCCCTCGGCCTCGTACATCCTCAACCACGCCGAGGTGCGCATCGTCTTCACCACGCCCTCGCACGTCGCCGCCGTGCTGTCCGAGAAGGGCGCCGGACGCCTGCCGCAGCTCAAGGCGCTCGTCGTCCTCGACGCTTTCCGCCTGCCCAAGTCGCAGTGCGACCTGGCCCCCTCGGACCCGACGCGCGACCTGCTGGCCAAGCAGTGGGCCGCCACCGTCGGCGTCGAGACCTTCACCTGGAACGAGATCCTCGAGACCGGCCGCCGCGGCATCGTCGCCCACACGCCCCCGCACATCGACGACATTGTCTCGTTCTGCTACACGTCGGGCACCACGGGCAACCCCAAGGCCGCCATCATCACCGCCGGCATGGGCTACTTTTGCGGCGCCTCGCTCGGCCTGCACATCAACGAGGCCTACGTCCTGCTCTCGTACCTGCCCACCGCCCACATCTACGCCCGCGGCGTCGAGCAGTTTGCCCTGCGCAACGGTGGCAAGATTGGCTTCTTCTGCGGCGACACGACCCGCCTCGTCGAGGACGCCCAGATCCTCCAGCCGTCGATGTTTGCCTCGGTGCCCCGCGTCCTCAACCGCATCGCCGCCCTTATCGAGGCCCAGGCGCGCGCGCCCGGCCTCAAGGGCAAGCTGCTCCGCACCGCCATCGACGCAAAGGTGGCCAACCACGACCGCGACGGCACCCTCACCCACGCCCTCTACGACCGCCTCGTCTTCAACAAGGTCAAAAAGGTTCTCGGCGGCAACGTCAAGTTTATCGTCTCGGGCAGCGCCCCCATCCGCCCCGAGGTTCTCAAGCTCCTCCGCGTCGCCTTCAACTGCGACGTCCGCGAGGGATACGGCCAGACGGAGAACTACGGATCCTGCCTCCTCATGAACCCCAACGACACGTCGCTCGGAACCTGCGGGCCCATCATCCCCGGCGTCGAGTTCAAGCTGCGCGACATCCCCGAGCTCGGCTACACGTCGGCCGACAAGCCCTTCCCGCGCGGCGAGCTCCTCTCGCGCGGCCAAAACACCTTCCCCGGCTACTACAAAGACCCGGCCAAGACGGCAGAGACCATCGACGAAGAGGGCTGGCTCCACTCGGGCGACGTCGTCCTCATCGACGAGCGCAATCGCGTCAAGATCATCGACCGCGTGAAGTCCCTCGTCAAGCTCTCTCAGGGCGAGTACGTCGCCATCGACGCCCTCTCCGAGTTCTACAACCGCTGCCCGCTCTCGGCCCAGATCCTCGTCCACGGCGACTCGTTCCGTGACTACCTCGTCGCCGTCGTCGTCCCCGAGCCCTCCGTCTTTGCACCCTGGGCCAGCAAGGTCCTCGGCCGCTCCATCGCCGAGTCCGACGTCGCCGCCATGGCCGACGCCGCAAAGGACCCCAAGCTCGTCGCCGCCTACCTCGCAGAGTACACCAAAATCGCTCGCGAGAACAAACTCAAGGGATTCGAGTACATCAAGGGCCTGCACATCTCCATGGAGCCTATGAGCGTTGAGAACGGCCTAATCACGCCCACTCTGAAGGTCAAGACGGCAGTCGCTGTGAAGCACTACAAGGAGGCCATTGACAAGCTGTACGAACAAGGTCCGGCGACCGTCAGCTCGAAGCTCTGAAGGGAAGGAGCGAGCCGTGGGGAAGTAGTTAGCGCGAACCCGGGGGGAGGTGGCCACGGGGACGTCGTACGAAGCAATCATCTGTCCATTGTCCTGTGCTCGACGTCTGTGTGGTTGTTGATTGATCGAAGGTGTCATTGTCTTCGCAAGCGGCATGGTCGGATACCATCCCGAGGTGTGAGTGCGACGCGTCCCGCTTTCGCCTATTGGCGCTCCGCCGGGCTTTGATTTTCGCGGCGCACACGGTTGGCGAGCTTGGGCCGTATCCAGTTGAAGACCAAAGCGTTCAGCTTTGCCAATTGCGGTGGACAGGCCGCTGCTGAGGAGGCGGCTGCGCGCCATTACGACGAATTGCTGCTGGAGCACGAGAGGCCCAAATCCAAGGCCCCAACCAGCTTTGGCAAGGCCCGCCGCATCTAGGGATAGCAATCTTGTCTCCATCGCACGGCGAGCCCCCTCCTCGACAAGGTCCAGGCCCGACACACGACAAGGCCCGGAACACGCGGCGAGCCCCAACGCACGGCAAGGACCGCAACACGGCGAGGTCCATTCTCACGACTGAGCCCGCAACACCGAGACCCAACACACGGCGAGGCCCGCCCTTACGACTGCAGCAGCGACCTTCCTGACCGCATGCTGTAGCGCATCGGAAACGCATCTTCGCCGACTCGACCAGCCCCAAATTACCACCCCGCACCATCGCAGTCAATGTCGCACGACCACTCGCGCAGCTTCCAACCGCAGTCCCGGCGTTATACGATTTCCTAGCGCCGCAACCATGGGCAAAGCGACACACGTGCCGCATGAAGATCTTTCCGAATCTCGTTGACATTGCTGCAGCGCGGGGATGAAGCTCAGGTGGCCAGGAACGAGCGCACACCAGATCAAGGCGCATGGCCCGAGGGTATGACGCCCAGAGGCCCGTTTTGCGGCCAGATTTAAACGGCTGTGGAGCACAAGACGTGATGCGCAGGCAAGGTCAGCGCCGAGATCGCCAGTCAATCGCTGGGCAGGCGGATCGATGCTCACCCATCGTCGCGACGACTCCAGGCTGCTCTTCTATCCTTGCGACCGGAGGCTTAGTGGGCCTCCTTGAGCAGGCTCTGGGCTGTTGGGTCGGCGCAGAGGGAACAAGAGAGCGGGTCAGCATTCCGCGGAGCCGAATAGATCAGCCGACGGAGACATCGGGTCGCGGCGGCCGAGACGTCGAAGGGAAGGTGCCATTCGGGCCTCCAGCATAGCGAGCCTTCCACCACCGTTGGGCTGGGAACCCTGTGGCAGCAGAAGGGGCCAAGCCGAGTGCGCAGGTTGGGCCGAGGCAGACAGCAAAGGATGCCTTGTGATGCAGCTTGATCCGGTCGCCTCGGACCTCTGCGCCCAGCAGCCGGCGTTGCCGATGGTTACGCCTCGCCGATTCCGAAGGCATCGCGGGGAAGCCGGGCGGGCATCGGTTTGCCCCAACCTCGAGGGCAGCCCTATCTTTCGCCGCCGAGTCGAGCCTGGAGCACGTCGAGCGAGCGCGGAAGTCGCCGATCGAGAGCCAGTCCGACTAACCGTAAGGGTTCCTGGGGTCCTTCCTGCTCTCCTCGGTGGCGACGAGGATCGTCTGGAGCTTGTTGATGCCAAAGAAGACGATGCCGCCGGCGACCATGAAGGGCCAGGTCGGCTTCAGGATGGGGGTGGGGTAGGCGCGGAAACCGAAGAGAGACATGGTGACTGGCGGAGCGGTGGTTGGTGGTTGTACGGCTACGGCGTGATGGAGACGGTGTCGAGGATGGTGGAGGTGCGTCGAGGTGCAAGATGGTGCGATGCGGGTGCTGCTGCTGCTGCTGCTGCTACCGCCTCGATGCCCCGCTGTGGGCGTTCCTTCCCGACTCGCCCTACTCGCTGGGCGGCGGGGGAGATGGGGGGGCCGTGGCCGGTCGCCTGGGCCCGGCCCAAATTTCGGAGGCGAGGGCGGTGATCGACCGACTTGCGGGTCAGTCAAGCCAAGCCTGGCCCTCCGCGAAATTCGCAGCCCGGTGCAGGCGGAGCGACCCGGCCTTTCTGACTTCCAAGTTTATCGCGCGATACGGCGTCAGGGTGCTTCCCGAGGGCCAAGCAGGGATCGCCTCGCGTTGGGTCAGTCGCTCCGTGCGTATCTCTGCTTCTTTCTGACCATCACATCCGCCATGGGCTCTTCAAAGTCGCGTCTGACGGTGACTTGCCGACGGCATGGTCCCGACGCCGAGACAAGGTCCAAGAGCGGGCGTGAAGTCTTCGGATCGGCCGAAGGACCTCTCGACGTGCTAGGCCGGATCATCCGCCGACGCCCATCGGCCCGCTGGCCAAATTGGTCAATCAGGATAGCGGCAGGGACCGTCAGCTCAAGGAACAGCAACCGCTCTTGGCTCTGTATGGGCACCTGTGACAAGCATCGATTCTGGCGGGGCACTTGAGCAGACAGCGGCCAAAAGGATGGCGGCGAGGTTGCTATCGGCTCATCCGATGAGACGATGCGCCCAGGTGGCGGTGCTTATCGAGCAGCTGTTTCCCTCATAAGCAGGCACAAAGCTGCTGCAGTGGGCAGACGCTTTTCCCTTCCCCTCCTCACCAGTGCAATCTTTCTTTAGCCTCGTCCACCTGGCGACCGAGCACATCGCGCTCCCTCCGTGCCTGAGCGCTGCCTGATCTCGGGCAGGATGTCGTCGTCGATCTCGCACCACCGCCCTGATCAACAGGCCCAGAGCACGACAGTGCCAGCTTCTTCGAGCCCTTCACGGTCGCAACAGGCAGGCACGCGCACCGCTGGTGCTCCTCATGCGGTGAAGCGAAAGGCGCCGCGCAGCTACGAGACGAGCGACGATGGCTACAAGAGCCGCGAAACCGACGAAAAGAGCCGCGAATCCGACGAAAAGAGCCAGAAAACCGACGACAAGAGCGGCGCGACCGACAACCAGAGCCATGGCGCCACCGATGACGAGGAATACGAGGAGATAGCCATGAACGAGATCCGGCAGAGCGCATTCTTCATCCTCGACCACGCTTCGAGGCGCCCGGGCCCAGGGCCCACCGGCAGCGATAGCATGCACTCGCTGCGCAGCTCCCAGGTCGAGGATCCGGACTGGGCCGCTATTCCCGAGAAGGCCTTCGTAGGGCGGGGATCGGCCCTGCACTGCGAGCACTGCGGCTCGAGCACACACTTGACGCTCGGTCGCACGCCGAGCATGGCGTCTCTGGCCAACAGCGGCAATGAGCGCGCCGCCTTCGAGCAATCTCGCCAACAGGCAGCCACGTCGGCGACTGCACTGCTCGGCACCGAGCAGGAAGGCGAGGACCGCCGCCGAGGCTGGCCATCCCCTCCTCTGCAGGCCCATCTACGCGCTTCAGTGACGGCCAACAGCACCGACATGCACTCCGGAGATGCGCGGGACGGAACGCTCAGCGGCCATGGTCACGACCACGGCCACCCTACGCTCCCGCCTGAGGACACGTGGCAGCCTGTCATGGCCCTCATGGCCAGCCTTCAAGCGCTCGTACAGCCTGATCCAGCCGTTGCGAGAAGCCCGCCGCTGACGACGCGCCCCGCGACGCAGCTGCGCCTTTGGAAGCCCCTGCCGCCGCCGCCGCCGACCGAGGTCACGTTCGGCCGCAACGATCCGGCCAACCCGCAGACATGGTCCAAGACGCAGAGGTGGTTCATCACGGCGTTGATGGGCGCCGCCATGGTCAATGCGACGCTGGCCTCGACCATCGCTAACGGCGCGATGACCGAGCTGGCCCCTGCCCTCGGCCTCGGCCCCACCGAGAGGCTGCTTGTGACGACGCTGTTTGTCGGCGGCTGCGTGGCCGGTCCCATCCTCTGGGCGCCGCTCTCGGAGCTGTGGGGACGTCGCCCGACCTTCCTACTCTCGACCGCCGTCTATGCACTGTTTCAGATCGGCTGCGCGAGGTCGAGGGGCAAAGCTACGCTGCTGGCTTGCCGCTTCTTTTCCGGGGCGTTTGCGAGCTCGGCCCTCACCAACGCTGGTGGTGTCATCACGGATCTCTTTCCTCCCATGGAGCGCGGAGCTCCCATGATTGGTGAGTCCCGCCGGGGCGGATCAGCGCGCAAAGGGGGACAGGTCGAGCTGAGCGGAGCGGGACTGGTTTGGCCCCCAATCAGTCTTTTCCGGCAGCCCCTTTCTGGGTGAGTGGCGGTGGCGAGAGCAGGTTGACCGACACCGGCGACGCCCAGTTCTGATGGCACCTCAACGATTGCGTTCGCTCCCGCAAGGTCCGGTGCTGGGCCCCTTGATCGGGGGCGCCGTCGTGGCCGTCGGCTCGTGGCCGTCCGTATTTTGGCTGCTCTTCATCGTCGGCAGCCTCCTGGAAGTGGCGCTGCTGCTGGCGTTGCCAGAGACGTACGCGCCGCTGATCCTCACTCGGATCGCTCACAAGAGGCGACGGTACGACCCGAGATGGTACGGTCCCCTGGACCGCATGGACAAGACTTTCCGCTCCCTCGTCACGGTCAACTTGGCTCGGCCCGTAAGTCTTGCAGCAGGCCACGTCGAGCCAAGTCTGTGCATGAGCTTGGTGCGGCATCGCACTCAACCCCAACCCTTCTTCAACACAGCTCGTCATGGTCTGTACGGAGCCCATCCTTGCATCGGCCACCATCTTCATGTCCTACCTGTTCGCCCTTCTGTGAGTCATGCTTGGTCGAGCGCGGGCGCTTATCGGACATCGAAGCTCCTCTCTGGCTCATCCTCATCGCGCTCGACTCTCTCCAGCTACATCTTCTTCGTGTCATGGCCAGCTATCTTTGGGGCGGGCGGGATCTACGGCTTCGGCGCCGTTAGCAGTGAGTGATTGTAGTGAGCCTGCCCTTCCCCAGTCGAAGGCGTTGTCGGCTGACTCCGTCAGGTGGTCGTCCATCGACGTCTCCTCCGACTGTCCAGCCGGGCTTTCGTACCTGCCAATGGGAGTCGGATGTGGGATTGCGGCGGCCTGCATCCCCTTCTTCAACCGTCTCTACATCCAGGCATGCCAAAGGGAGAGGAAGCCGTGCCCGGAGGAGCGTCTTGTCTCGATCTACCCGGTGGCCCCCTGCGTGGCGATTGGCTTCCTGTGAGAGGCGCCACTCGTTCTTCGGGCAGGGTAGTGTGATCGAAGCTGATACCGAACTCGAACTTCCTACCCTCGACAGATGGGCTGGATGGTCCGCAAGCTCTGGCGTCCACTGGATGTGAGTCGATCCGCATCTGCGCGCTCAACGACTTGCGTGTTGTTGTGCTGCCAGGCTTCGCTGACAACAATCCGGCGGTCCCATCGCTCACAACAGCGTGCCGATGCTGGCCGGGGCCCTGATCGGGTTCGGAATGGTGCTTGCCTTCCAGGGCTGGCTGACCTACCTTGGCGATTGCTACCGCAGCTATGCGGCTTCGGCGGTGAGCGTCGGCAGTGTGGAGTGCAGAGTCGGGCCGAAGACAGAGGCCTGGGCCTGGCATTGCAAGCTGAAGTTGCACTCAGGCTCACGACCTCTGACACTCACTTTGGCTACCTGCTTTGGCTGCTGCTACGATGTATCGCCTGCTCATTTCTCACGCCACGCCGCCATGCCTTGAAACAGGTCGCAGGCACGGTCATCGTGCGCTCGGTGGCGGGCGCGACGCTGCCGCTCGTCGTGAGCAGGCTGCTCTCGGCGCTTGGGGGCGTCGGCTGGCTGTACACCCTGCTTGCTGGCCTGGCGCTGCTCCTAACGCCGCTACCGTTCGTCTTTGCCAGGTGAGCGCCACCTTCGAAGACCAGCAGACCAGCGGAGAAGCAAAGACGCCACACCCAACCCGCGAATTGCTGACTGTCTGGCTGTGCGCCGCACTCTCGGCAGATACGGCGCGGGACTGCGAGCCAAGTCAGCGTATCGGACGCCGTAGCGCGTGCGGATGACGACCAAGAACGGTACGACAAAGGACCTCATCCTGATATGGATCGATGAGACCGAGAAGAGAAACGAAGCAAGGACCACGGTGTACATGGAGGATGAAGTGGTCGCGGCGCCAGACGACGAACGATGGACTGGTCAAGGCAGGCAAGGCGCGGTGACACCGGCCCTCGTGGCCCGCGCCGGTTCCAGTCTGGACCTGCTCATCTTTCCCCGCATTCGAGTCGGGCTTGGGCGTTGGGTCCGGTTCGTTTGGCAGGGACCTCGAGGCACGGCGACGGCGACGCCGCCGGCTTTCAGCTGCGAAAAAAAGAAGTCGTACGCGAGAAATTTCATCAGCCTGCTTGCTGCTTACCACGGCCCCTCTGCCTTGCTGCCTGCGCTCTGGATCCTTGATTAACGGATTGACGGAGAGAAGGCGGGCTTCGATCCGGGACATCGCCGACCAACACCCCGACTGCCACATCTGCCCTTCGAGACCGTCCATTGGGCACGATCCCTGTGCCTCTCGCCGGATCCATCACCGCCGCTGCTCTAGGTCCATCCATCGCCCGTCTTTGAACGAACTGCGCCGACCGGATCGACCCTAAACGAGCCAGCCTGGAGGATAGACGAGCTCGTGCACCTCTCCGGCCCGCTTCCAACACTCCGTCCTCATCGCCTTTGCTCTTTAAGACGGCAAGCTCGACCTCGTCTCGTCTCACCTACTGGCCGCCTACACCACTTTCTCCCTCTCTCTCTTCGACTCTGTCTGCCCCCGTTCAAGATGGACGAGATCATACCGGGCCTCTGGATCGGCGGGCTGACTTCGGCGCTGTCGATCGACTACCTCACCCAGGCCGGCGTCACCCACATCATCAGCTGCATGAAGCAGCGGCTGCCTCCGCCGCCGACACTGCTCGACGGCCGCACCATCCCGGCCTCGAACATGCGCCAGGTTCGCGTCGACGACGTGGAGCAGGCGCCCATCCTAGCCCACTTTGCCAGCTGCAACGACTTCATCAGCGAGGTGCTCAAAGAGGAGTGGGTGCCATCAGCCGACGACGACGGCGACGGCGACGACGTGCCCTCGCCGGCCTCGGGCGAGAAGGTGGCGGGCGAGCTTGACCTGCTGGTCCAGGGGCGGCAGAAGCGCAACGGCAAGTGGGGACACTGGCAGACGACGGGCGACGGCACCGTCCTCGTCCACTGCCAGGCGGGCTGCTCGCGCAGCGTGGCCATCGCCGCCGCCTACCTCATGTCTACGCGGCGCATCTCGACGTCCGAGGCGGTCAAGATGATCCAGGCCCGCCGGGCGCGCGCCCAACCCAACCCGGGCTTCATGGCGCAGCTCGAGCTGTACGAGCAGGTGGGCTACGAGATCGACATGCGCCACCAGGCCGTCCGCCGCTTCCTCATGAGCAAGACCAACATCCTCAACGGCGACTCGATCGATGACATGCTCCTCTCTTACTACCCGAGCCCGTACCCCTCGCCCGCCCTCTCGCAGGGCCTCAAGGGCCTCTCGACGATCTCGGACAGCGCTGCCGACGTGAGCGACATGGCGCCCCTGGATGGCACTGGCAGCGGCGGCAGCAGCAAGAGCGGCAGCCGCCGGCCCAGCGGCAGCAACGGCTCGCCGAACCGGGATCCGCGCGGCACCGTCAGCGCAAACGCCGCGCTCTCGACGTCGCCGACGACGCAGGTGGGCGAGCACTTTACGCGGCTGTCGACCGACACCGCCTCGACCTCGATTGCCCAGAGCGAAGAGGTGCGTGTTACCAAGAACTCGGGCAGGCTTCCCGGCGGCGTCTCGTCGATCAAGGGCCACGAGGGCCTCGAGAACCGGGGCAAGCTGCCCAAGCCTACCTTCTCGGGTCCCAAGCTGCGCTGCAAGGCGTGCCGGCGCGAGCTGGCCGCCCTCGACCACGTCATCGAGCACCAGGAGGGCCAAGGTCAGATGGCGTTCGAGCACCGCAAGCGCGAGGCGGGCAACGCCAAGTACGCCGGCCAGACGCGCGTCACCGACACGTCCTCTTCGACCACGACGGTGCCGAGCGGCGTCGAGGCGGAAAAGGGGCGGCTGGACATGCAGCGTATGTTTGGTGCTCGGCCAAGCGTCATCAAGAAGGTGGTCGACGACGACGACGACGACGAGGGGCCGATTGGTTCCGGGGCGAACCAGGAGGCCAAGGGAGAGAGTGAGAAGGCAGAGGGAGCAAAGGAGAGCGAGTCGTCTCCAGCTCCCACCGCTCCTGCTAGCAGCGCCTCTGCCTCTCCCGCCGCGCCTGGTGCTGGTGCTGCTGGTGCTGCTGCTGCTGGCAGTGTCAACCAGGGCACAGCACCGGCTACAGGGCGTCGGATCCAATCAGCCTCGTCGCTCTCTTCCCGATTGCCGCCTCACCTCGCCGCACTCCGGGGCGGTCCGCGTCCAGCCGCTCCCCCTTCCTCGATTCCGGGCACGACACCATCGCCCGCCTCGACGGCAGCCAGGCCGTCGGCGCCGCTGCCGCCGCCGGAATCGACGCGGCCGGCCATCCTGCACTCGTCGTCGTGCTCTGCCTACTTTATCGAGCCCATGGCGTGGATGTCGCAGCTCGAAGACGGCGAGGTGAGCGGCAAGCTGTCGTGTCCGGCGTCCAAGTGCGGCGCCAAGCTCGGCAGTTGGGACTGGGCTGGCATGCAGTGCGGCTGGTGAGTTCCACCTTTGCCCCGCCCGTACTTCTATGCGTCTTGATTTGTCGTTTCGAGGAATGCGCGAGCTGACCACCTGCCTGTGTTGATCATCATCGATTCGCTCGTGCTGCTGCTCCGCGTCGACGCAGCGGCGCTTGGGTGACGCCCGCTTTCGCTCTGCACAGGTCCAAGGTCGATGAGGTCTGAAGAACTCTCTTCGCCTCGGCGACGCCTCCTTCGATAACGGTCTAGACCCGGCTCGATACACTTGCCCCTCTACCATACACATGACGCCCTCCCGTAGCTTCCTACATTGTCTCCATCGCCACTGCCATCGCCACCTTCATCATCACCTCTGTACGCATCATCTTCACGGGCCCGCATCAATCAGAACAGAACCTAGAGCCGCAGGGGGGACGCGCGTGCGTAGATGACGGCACCGCATCGGCGAGATGGGCCGGCGGTGGTCGTCTCGTGATTGCAACAGGTAAGCCTACCGGACCGCCCGGTCTACCATCGGGGCACCGCAGGCCAGATCGACCCGGCCTGACCGCGCGGCAGCTCAGAACTGGTACCTCTCCTTCTTCTCCTCGCGCTCCCTCTCGTCTCGCCTCTGGGCCTTCTGGTGTCTCTGCCGACTCAGCTCCTCCCTGACCTGCGCCACTCCCTCGCGATCCTTGCCCTCGACGCTGGCGAACCGGCTGCTGCTGCGCCTCTGCTCCTCTTCGCGCTGCAGCCGCGACAGCTTGGCCTGCACCTCTTCGGGCGTCAGGCCCTCGAGTTCCGCCGGGTCGACGGCGAGCTCGATCTGGTCCGCACCCGACGCGGCGCCGCCCGCCTTGCGCTTCGTGCCGCGCTCCTCGGTCCCCAGCGCGGGCCCCAGATCGTAGATCCGCTCCGAGCCCATGAAGCCCGTGATCGACGTCGAGCGTTCGGGCAGCACCTGGTACAGCGCCCGCGGTGGCGCGTCTGGCCCAGCTGATGCTGCGGCGGCCGAAGACGACGGCACCGTCGAGTCGCTGCCATTGCGCGAGTCTTTGCGCAGCTCGAACGTCGACGGCGTCTCCATGCCGCGGAACGTCGACGCCACCGAGGCAGTCCCGCTCGGCGTCTCGAGACCGCCCGCACGATCCGCGTCGCCCGTCTGCTGCCCTTCCTCGCCCTCTTCGCCCTCGTCGTCGCCGCCTTCGTCCTCGTCCTCGTCCTCTTCCTCTTCATCGTCGGTCTCTTCTGGTTCGAGCTCGCCCCATGGCTCCTTTTGCACCGGGTCCGCGTACTCGTTGCCGTCGGCCTCGTTACCGGCGCCGAGCACGTCGCCGTACAGCGGGCGGCCGTACTCGTCGACTGGCGGACGGCCCCAGCCGCCGGGGTGAAAGCCCCACTGGGCGCCCTCGGGGATGGGCGCGTTCAGGCCTGGCACCTTGAGGTGCGGATAGCTTGGCGGCGGGCCGTATCGCTGCATGGCAATGAGCCAGGGGGGCGGCGCGAGTGGCGGGATGCTGAGCGCCTCTTTGAGCTCGTCGCTGAGGTCGCCCGGCCGGCGGTCCTTAAACTTGCACTCGTTTTCCTTGCCCTCGTAGTAGGTTTCGCCGTACGGCGAGAGGTCGGGCTTGCTCTGGAACTTGAAGAAGGCGTCGTGGAGCTTCTGGTAGTCGATGTCCATCTTGCCCATCTTTGGCTGGACGCGCTCGCGCGTCTTTTGCTTGAGCGTCTGCTCGGCCTCCTTTTCCTTGAGGGCGTCCTTCATGGTGGCGATGCCCGTGTCGGCGATGTAGTGGGGCAGCTGGTAGGGCGGCTTTTCGATGCCGCGCTTGTTCTGGAGATAGTCGCGCTTCTGGCTCCAGTGGGGCGGGACGGGCACCGTATTTCGCTGCGACTTGAGCTGGACCAGGAGGCGCGGGTCGTTTGCCGTCACGTCGGTCCACTCGACGACTTCGGGCTTGCGCACGAGCTGCTTGAGCTCGGCCACGGTGAGGCGCTGCAGCTTGCGCTGCTTGCGCTGCGACAGCTTGGGGCGGCTGTTGCCCTCGCCATCGGACGCCTCGCTGTCCGAAGCCACCTCTTCGTCCGAATAGATGACTTCGCCCTTTTGCGGTCCCGCGAAGCCGTCGGCCCCATCGCCAGCGCCGTCGCCGCCATCGGCAGGCTGCTGGAAGCGGGAGAAGACGTGGCTGAAGGCCTTGTAGGCGTCCGATTCCGGATCGAGCTCGAGGACACTGTCGTCGATCAGGCTGGGACGCGACGTCCGCGCGGAGGTGGATGTGCTGGCTGTGGGATCCGAGGTTGACGTCGAGGTCGAGGCCGAGGGTGTGGCGGGTGCATCGGATGCTGACGCTGCGGATGCCGGGGCACCGTTCTGCTGTTGTTGCTGCTGTTGCTGCTTCTTCTTCTGACGCCGCTTGGCGTTCTTTGTGAGGGGATGTGGTGCCGCGCCATTGGGCTGAGCGGTCTGCATTGCTGTAGCGGCCATATTTGTCGTGGCCTTGGCTGTCGTTGTCGATGTGCGGGGCTGGCTGTGGCGGGGAGGGAAGGGGGTGGTGGCGGGATGGGGCGGTGAGGGGGCAGCGTCGCGAGTTGGGTGGCTCGGGAATCGGCCATCGACCCTCCTCGCTCCACCTTGCGGGGGTGCCCACCCGCCCTGACCCATGGCATGTCAGAATGACTAAGCGTCTGGATCGACGAGGAGGGCGAAGTGCTGGCGCTGCTGCGGAGCCTTCTCCCCGCTGCAAGCTGGCCTGGCCTGGCCTGGTCCTGTCTTCGAGGCTCTCTCGCCCTAGCCTTTGCTTTTCGCCCGCTGGCTTGCAGGCCCAGCACACTATGCTCGTCGACAGCGCGCTACAGTCTGCTTGCCCTCATAGCGAGCTGATGAGGGCACATCTCGAGTCGAGTGGCGGCCATGGCGACAAGGCAGACGCTGGTTGAGCGAGAGCAGCGACAGCCCTCGTCGCCCTCGATCGAGGCGTGGAATACAAACCTTGCGCTGGCTCTGCGGAATACAAAATCGAGGGCGCGAGCGAGGGGGCCGAATACAAAATCTGGCCTTGCCCTTTGCAGCTGGCGCGCGCTCCTGCTCGACGGCCGGCCAGAGGAGGGCGAAGAAGAAAAAAATTCTTGAATTCAACAACGAGGTGAGAGGCGGGCGAGAGAGGCCAGGGTCAGGGCGGCAGAGAGAGGGCGAGAAGCCAACCAAGCAAGGCCGGGCGAGCCAGCTCGAGGTCCCACAGGCAGGCCACCAAGGCTGGCTGGCTGGCAAGGCTGGGCGGGCGGCAGGCCGACGGCGCGCGCCGCCAGCCCAGGCGCTCGCTGCTGCCTGGTCGAAACCGTCTCGACACCATCATCTTCGACACCCCACCCCCCTCCCGCCTTCTCTGCTATTCACACGACCCGCCCGCGCGACGCACCCAGAGGAAAGCATCTCAGCTGCTCTCCTCGACACACCTTTCCGACTCCCTTCCTCTTTCGACCTGCGGATCATCGCTGGAAGAAGGAGAAACACGGAAAGCCGCACCGCCCTTCCCCCCTCAGTCTTAGCAGACGGCACTTCTCATCTTTCCCCCAACCGCCACCACCGCCACCGATCTCACCGCAACAGCACCGCCGCTCTCCGGCTATCGCAGCAGCACCGCCATCTCTTGCGATCTCCGAAGCAGCGACGACTAGCCACCCTTCCAACCTCTGCCCATCATGGCCCCCTTTGCCAAGCCCGAGACCGTGCTCAAACGGTCCGAGGAGCTCATCAATGTCGGCCAGACGACCGCCGCCCTCTCGGCGCTCAACGAGATCTTCACCTCCCGCAGGTTCAAGCAGACCCCGCTGACTGCGCTCGAGCCCATCATGATCCGCTTCGTCGAGCTCTGCGTCGACCTCCGCCGCGGCAGGATGGCAAAGGAGGGCCTCATGCAGTACAAGAACGTCTCGCAGAACACCAACGCCCAGTCCATCGAGCTCGTCATCAAGCACTTTATCACGCTCGCCGACGCAAAGGTCGTCGAGGCCCAGAGCAAGGCCGACGCCGCCGTCGGCGAGGCCGAGGTCGACGACCTCGAGGAGTCCGAGACGCCCGAGAGCATGCTCCTCGGCAGCGTCAGCGCCGACCAGAGCAAGGACCGCACTGACCGCGTCCTCGTCACCCCCTGGCTCAAGTTCCTCTGGGAGGCCTACCGCACCGCCCTCGACATCCTGCGCAACAATGCCCGCCTCGAGCTGCCCTACCAGCAGGTGGCCAACCAGGCGCTCAAGTTCTGCCTCCAGTACGAGCGCAAGACCGAGTTCCGCCGCCTCTGCGAGGTTCTCCGCCAGCACCTCCAGAACGTCGCCCGCTACTCGCACCACGCCCACGCCATCAACCTCACCGACCAGGACACGCTGCAGCGCCACCTCGACACCCGCTTCGCCCAGCTCAACAGCGCCGTCGAGCTCGAGCTCTGGCAGGAGGCCTTCCGCAGCGTCGAGGACGTCCACAACCTGCTCACCATGGCCAAGAAGGCGCCCAGGCCCGCCATGATGGCAAACTACTACGAGAAGCTCGCCAGGATCTTTATGGTCTCGGACAACAACCTCTTCCACGCCGCCGCCTGGAACCGCTACTACGCCCTCGCCCGCGGCGCCGCCAAGACCGAGGAGGAGCACACGCGCATGGCCTCGTACGTGCTCATCAGCGCGCTCGCCGTCCCCGTCATCTCGAGCAACGCGCCCGGCACCGGCAACATGAACAAGTCCAAGACCGACTTCCTCCAGGGCGACCAGGAGACGCGCAGCCGCACCGGCCGCCTCACGTCGCTGCTCGGCCTCAGCCGCACGCCGACCCGCGCCGGCCTGCTCAAGGAGGCGCTCAACCGCGACATCCTCAAGCGCGCTCGCCCCGAGCTGCGCGAGCTGCACAACATCCTCGAGGTCGAGTTCCACCCGCTCTCGATCTGCGCCAAGATCCAGCCCATCCTGTCCCAGATCGCCCAGGACCCCGAGATGGCCAAGTACGTCCAGCCGCTCCACTCGGTCGTCCTCACCCGCCTCTTCCAGCAGCTCTCGCAGGTCTACGACGCCGTCAAGCTCACCAAGGTCCTCGAGCTCGTCTCGTCGTTCCAGGCGCCCTACGACTACACGGCGGCCGAGATTGAGAAGTTCTGCCTCAACGCCTGCAAGAAGGGTCACTTCAACATCCGCATCGACCACGTCGCACAGGCCATCACGTTCCAGGACGACGTCTTCGCCGCCGACGTCCACCCCTCGGCCTCGACGTCGTCCGAGGCCGACGCGGTCCGCCTCCAGGCCACGCCCTCGCAGCTCGTCCGCACCCAGCTGAGCCGTCTGGCGTCGTGCCTCGACACCACGCTCAAGACCATCGACCCGTCGATCCTCGAAAACGCCCAGCGCGCCAAGCAGGAGGTGTTTGCGCGCGCCGTCGCCGCCGCCGAGCAGGAGCACAAGGCCGCCGTCGCCCGCAAGGCCATCCTGGCTCGCCGCAAGGAGCTGCTCGAGGAGCGCGCCGCCCGCCGCGAGAAGGACGAGGCCAACGCCAAGGCCGAGCGCGCCCGCCTGGCCGCCGAGGCCGAGAAGCTGCGCCTCGCCGAGGAGGCCAAGAAGCGCGAGCAGGACCGCATCCAGAAGGAGCTCGAGGCGGTCCGCATCGAGGAGGCCAAGAAGATGGCCAAGTCGCTGCAGGAGAAGGGCGGCCTCAAGCTGAGCGAGGAGGAGCTGGCCAACCTCGACACAAACAAGCTGGTCCAGATGCAGGTCGAGCAGATCGAAAAGGAGAAGAAGGACATGGGCGAGCGCCTGCGCATCATCCACCGCCGCATCGACCACCTCGAGCGCGCCTACCGCCGCGAGGAGATCCCGCTGCTGGCGGCCGACTACGAGAAGCAAAAGGCCGAGGACCTGGCGTACCACAAGGCGGCGAGGATCACGCTGCTGCAGACGTCCAAGGAGAAGCACGCGTCCGACCTCGAGCTCAAGAAGCGCCTGTCGCGCGTGCTGCCCGACTACACCGAGCTGCGCCGCGTCATCGAGGACAAGCGCAAGGGCGAGTTCGAGGAGCGACGCAGGAACGCCGCCGAGCAGATCGAGCGCGAGAAGGAGAAGCGTCGCCAGCAGGTCCGCCAGCAGCGCGAGCAGGAGGCGCGCGAGGCCGCCGAGGAGGAGCGGAGGCGCGCCGAGCAGGAGGAGCTCGACCGCATCCGCGAGGAAGGTGAGTTTGCGATGCGCCCGCCGTCGTCGACGATGTTGGCCCCGCGGCCGTCGAACGAGCAGGCAGACGAACATCCGCTGACTCCCCACCCATTCATTGCCATCGCCATCACATCACGCCTGCAGAGGAGCGAGTGGCCGCCGAGCAGCGCCGCATCGAGCAGGAGAAGGAGGCCGAGCGCGAGGCCGAGAAGCGGGCCGAGATCGAGCAGCGACAGGCCAAGCTCAACGAGATTGCCGAGAGGCAGAGGCAGCGAGAGGCCGAGATCGAGGCCAAGCTCAAGGCCAAGGAGGCCGAGAGGATGGGTGCACCGCGAGCGTCGCCGGTTGCCGCTGCCCCCGCCGCCGGTGGCGAGGCCCCGCCTGCCAACACGTGGCGTCGTGCGCCCCCGCTGGTGCCGTCGCCGAGGCGCGGTCCGAGGCTCAGCGACCCCCGCCTTCGTCGCGCGAGCTGTGGCGGAGGAGGCTGCGTG